TTTTTTTTTTCATCTGTTAAAATATAAAAAATATAGGTGTTAATTAAAATATATTACGGCCTTCATTTTATCTGTGAACAACTTTTCCCCCAGCAATTTTGCTCCAACTTATATTGATAGCAATGTTTCTTAAAAAAAATTTCACTAGAGAGGTATTTTAGAGAGATTATTTTTCAATTTTCTCAGATGTTTTCCTAAATGTGAAAAACTGGAATTAAATATGGGAAAACCGGGAAAAACATAGGAAAATTGATAAAATCGGTGCAGCATTAAATAAATATTATAATATTATAAAATAATAAAATAAATAAACATCTTTGTAAAACCATTAGCTTCTTCGCTCCATTCAGAATCTAAAGTATAAAATAATTAAAAATATTTAAGCAATTAGGCATGTGTATAAATATAAAAGTTTTATTATAGCTGAAAATTGCATAACTATAAATACTATTGGTAATATATTAATATGCCGATGGTCGCGTTTTATAACATAGATATCGGAACATAATAGACTGAAATATTATGATAGTCCATTGGTACCTTTTTTTTTATAATATTAATGCATCATCTATAGATAATTATTATTACTATAGTACCTACTAAATATATTTTATATGTATGATGTAATAATTAACATAACTAAAAATTAAAACCAACTAGTTACTACTTTTTTTTCCGAGAAACCCGAAACTACCAAGAAACTTCAAACAAATACATAAAAAAAAAAGGTTCATGTGGGGGGATATGAAACCCTCATCCTCCCCCCCCCCGTGATCATGCCCATGCCATTTATAGTACCTATATAATACACAATTTATTAATTGGTCAATTTTAAGTAATAATGCCAAGGAAAACTTATTCTGTCTTTTTATCTTTTCTATAAACTATTTTTAAATAATGTAACACAAATATGTTCTGATAAAATGGGTAAAAGTTAACACATTTCCAATAAGAGAACTGTAAGTACTTACTAAACGGATCTCTTCGCTAAGTCTAGAAATAAATATTTGTTCGGGTCATTTTTTAATAAATAAAAAAAACCGCACCGAATCTACAAAAAATGTAAGCCAATTGAATGTTCATCTTAAAATGAAATAAATCTCTTCTATAAAATTTTAAATTTGAATAAATTAAGTTAATATACATTCTGTAGTCGGCCCTGAAAAACTATTGCGACTGAAACGAAAAACAACTGTTGGGCAATGGGCAGTCACGTGTAGTACGTACGGCGCAATCTCGAACAAGAGACAAAACGCGGGACCGTTCGAGATGAAGTTTATAATATGGTTTTATGATTATATAACCATAATATTATAATCATAGGTAAAAATGAAGTTTGAAAAAATTAAGTTTTGTACGATATGTTCAAAGGAAGGAAGGAATCGCGAAAGCTATTTGTTTCGTTTTTCTTCATGAAATGTGTTTCGATAACATTACTATATAACTGTCAATCGAAAAGATTTATACAGCAGTAATTATTTAGTGAAGTATAATAATACAGACATGTCAAATTAAAATATCTTATATTATAGAGTTTATTTTTAATGTTGCTGATATGCTTTTGGAATGCACACATTTTAAATGAAAGCGAAAGCGCGATCGTTTTCGCGTCACTGATTTTTCATCCGTAATTATATGGTGATAATAATGACCATATGTATAAAATTGAAATTCTTCCTGCCTGTTAATTTATACACATTTACAGTTTTATTCTGATATTTATGAAACTTGTACACTTAACATTCAAACCTAGAGGAAGATTTATTGCAACTCGTCGAAATTCAACCCCTAAGAGGGGCCAACACAACGTTTTTGATATTTTTGGAACGAAAATTTAATTTTTTTTGTCAATTAGGAAACACGTTTTCAGAGAGACACGTTAAACTAAATTTCTTTATATATATAACTGTTTTTGAAAGGATTAATCCTGGAAAGTACGTAGTAATTCAGCTATATGGTATACAATAAGTATGTATGGTATTTTCGATACTACTCCATTGCTGGGATATAAGCTTAAAAAGGTTGTAATTATTGTTTACATAACTTTGATTTATGAACGACAAAAAGCCTATTGGGAAAGAGTAGTATCCGATTTGGAATAAGAGAAGAGAAGAAGAAGGAAAAACAGAAATATATGGGAAGAAAGGAAAAAGAGAGGATTGAAAGATTAAGAAAAGTGTTGAAATGATTGAGAGAGACGAAATGGGTCAGAAGTGGAAAGTGGGGATGCTTTAAAAACTGAAGAAAGTATTTTCTTTAGTCTTAGTCCAAAAGTATACTTCATGATTCAATTTTTTCCGTGTAGTAGATTTCTTAGATTTTGAGTGGAACAAGGAATGTATTGGTTTTACAATAAGGTTTTTTTTTGTGAACAACTTTTCTACTAGAAATTTTGCTCCGATTTTCTAGTGCAGCAATTTTTCCAAAAGGAAATCTGACTGGGGTGGTACTTTAAAGAGGTTATTTTTTGATTTTCCCAAAAGTTTTCCTAAGAAATGGGAAATACTAGGAAAAAAACGTAGGTATAACGGGAAAATTTACGAAATGTAATGTTTTTGAATCGTAAATATGAGGCCTTTCAAAACATGTATAACTGAATACCGCTCAGAATCGTTTTTTGTTAGCAATAATTAATCGTTGCGTACACTAAATTTTCCCTCTATCTTCCCAACTTCTCATTTACAACAGTGGCCCACTCATCGTGCAAAGTATATCCGTTTGATTTTTTATTATTATTATTCTTTAATTTTACTTTTATAAAAATACTTTATTTAATCTGATTTTTTTTTTTGATTTTTAATTATCGTAAAATGTTATTTTTTGTATTTTAAAGGGATCCTTTTCATAAAAATAAAAACAAAAGTAAATTTTTGGATTTGCCAAATCACATCTGAACTTCTCTCAACTCTGTATACATTATACGTTTTGTATTGTATTATCCTGAACTTATTAAAATACGTCATCATATTCCGCAATACAAAATTTAAATATTGATGACTTTGTTTTAGCTTTATTATTATTTTTTTAATATTCTCCTATCACATTTTGTTAGTCCATCTTTGACCTTTTTTAATGATGACTCAAATATGAAATACCTGCATACAAATTTCAATTTTCATCTTTAAGCAAGTCTTTTGTGATTGTAAATCGAATTTAAATAATGGATATTAACTTGAGTATCCGCGCCTGCAGCAGGAGTTTATCGGCTGATGTTTAGGTTTGTTTTAAACAATTACTATGTACTTTATTTTCTATGGTAAGCTATTTGAATGCTTTGAAAATATGTACATTGTACAACATACAATTCATATTCATATACCTATATAGTATATGAATATATTTTATGAAATTATTATATATATTATATATGTATGATATTTCATACTTTTTTCGTATCATAAACCATTACTTTAAATTACTTGTTGATATAAATAGATCAGGACATAAGATCAGTAATATGTTTTATTGCCTGCAATAAGACATATTCATAACCTTATGTTTTTCCCAAAAGGGAGACATTTTTTTCGATTTTTTTTAAAATTATCAGTCCAAATACAATCTAATAAACGTATTTTTAAATCATATTTATAGTTTAAAATGTTTACCTTTTAAGCTATTTGGTTCACATTCATTTGATATATTTTGCCATATTTATCGTATTTTTTTTTCCTGGTCACATTTTTAATAATGTTAGGGGGTTATGAATGATTTAGGCTGTTGAACCCCTAACCCTCCAAATCTTCACCTATGATGTTTATACCTGCTTATCATATTAAACCCCGATTTTTGTTGTTGTAGAGCCAAAGTATTAATATGCGATATTCATTTTAGATTTAAGAAAGTTAGATGAAAGGCTTTATTGGTACATCCGAATACAGCATACAAAACCGACGTTTTACAGAAAAAAAAAAAAATACAAAAAAGCCCAGACTGTCAGAGAGTTTTCGATAAAGAACATAATATTTTTGGATTACTAGCATTGTATAAACACGAATAACTGATAAGAACACAAAACTACTCATTCTTCACACTGCAGATGTAAGTACGTAGTAGAATGATTATTTAAACTCTCGGCCTATATATTTCCTTGGTGCGTTTCTATTGGCAACATTTAAAAACAACCATGCGCATCATCCGCAATACAAATTTAAGTACAAGTGCAGAGTTAAGCCCCGCCCGGCCACGCTCTTAACGGGTCCGCGGATTCCCGGCTACTGTGTGCGGCACAGATGGCGCAGAAATACGAAAGAGCGTAATTTATTATTAATCGAGAGCGATACATAACGGCGTTGTTCCGACGACGCACGTTCGGGTGGCCACTAAGCCGACCGTGCCGTGTCGCGGCGCCTCGTAAAGGCAGTTTCGAGTTCGTACGGAAGGCGCGCACCCGCGAAAAGGCCGAGGCGCACCCTTATATAGCGGCATGACGGCGCATGGCCTGTACACAGAGGCCGTTATCGACACGTTCCCCGGGGCGCGCGCGCCACGCACGATACAATGCACGCGACCCGTCGGCGGTGGCGAAAACGCGCGAACACCATACAATATTGTATGCCCACTAACAACTTATAACCGCATTGTATACTGTCGCGACCGTTTACACACTCGCGTTATAACACTAACCCCGCGGTGGCCGACGCGACCCGCGGCACGGCTGTACTGCACTGCAGTGCATGTCCGCAGCGCTAACGGCACGCCATCGGTATAATAATTATTATAATGTATGCAACCGGTAGCAATAGCACTACAATAATTGATATTATAATATTGCGCGACAATAACATAAAAATAGGTACTACAACAGTGGGTATTTACGGTACGCGACGACGACGACCCGCGCGCAATATTATACCAATACGCGTGTATACGCAAGGTGCGCGCGCTACGGCCGTGACCAATTAACACGCGAGCGCGCGCTAGTCGTACGAATACATAATATACATGTATACAATATACATTATATACTATACCCATATACAATGTATATACACTATTTTTATATGGTATATACGATATACGCGCGCGAGTACCCTACACCGCCGCCGCATCGTATCACTACGTATACTCGCTCGCTGGCCGACTCGCGCACACCGCCGCCGTGCCGTCGGCTCGATACGCTCTCACAGTGCGCGTCGCTTACGTTGGCCGTACAGTCGTCCCGCCCGACAATAACAGTGCAGTTATCCTGCCGCTGCCGACGCCGCGACCCACAAGTTCGTCTCGAAACCCGCGACCGCGAATTGCCGCCGATCTATACATCCGCGTCGTCGCATCCCTCGAACATCGCGTTGCCGCGTCCCTCGCATGGTCGACCAGATCGCGGACGGCGACACGACCGACAGCAAAAAGGATCAAAGGTCAATAACAAGCACATAATTTTCCTTATTAAATGTAGATTATACAGGTAGAAATACTCGTGCATATACCATAATATTACCTACGCATATTTTATAACATTAAACATAATTATTGTAACATAATATTGTTATACTGCGTGTTCACGTGTGTCGATCAACGTGCTCGGCGTAACGGAAAATCGAATCCTGTCCCACGCATCATCGTTCGTATGTAGGTAGTCGAGTATACAGAATAGTATTACACACCGCACGCAGCGGGAAATTACCGCCGACGACGCAGGTAATTTTACGCGCGCCCGTAAAACAAATCCTTGCGCGGCACGAGATACGACGGCAGCAGATCGGGTCGGCATTGCGTACGACCGATCGCGCTTTTGACGCCCCGCAAAGGGTCGCGGCTATAATATATCAAACGGCTCTAGAAGGTTTCAATTACGCGCGCGATTCGTCGAAACTAAAGTACCGAATCAATTCTCGGCAATAACGAACAAACGAGCGCGGCCACACGTAACTTAACGTGGCATTTTATTGACAAATGTTTTTCATTTTTTTATTCGTTTCGAATCGAGTAATATTTGTTTGCCCCGTTTATATATAATGTACAGAACTTATCTTTTTTTCCTATCATATTATATTCGCTATAATACAAACGACTTCCTACTGCGTTCGTAAACTGCCTCAAACACCCTGTAAATTAAAAATAAACAAAATAAATGTATGAAGACGAGTCTTAGCCTGGAGTATCATAAGAGTCATCGGTAGTACGCCTGCTATTGAACATAAATAACACGCGATACTATAATACTTCAGGCTAAGTTTTGTCTACGTATTTATTTATTTCATATTTTAAATTTTGCGTGAAGTAAGGAATATATTGGTTTTACTATGATGTGTTTTTATTTGTGTCCGTAAACAACTTTTCTACCAGAAATCTTGCTCCAATCGAAAACTTTATAGGAATTTTCTTGTCTTTGTAGTTGATGGATGCATTGTAGAAATAATTTTCATAGTTGTCTTAATAACTGGGAAAAAACTGATAATTTTTTTGGGTTTTCATTAAATCTAGCATGGAAATTTATGATATAACAAATTCAAATGTGAAATTTTAAAGCGTTTTTTTTTTTTTGCTTAATCCAATGTTTTTTACTAATTTCTTTGCTTGTTTGTTGATTTTCAATACTTGAGTCCCAAATTCAGATAATAATATTAAATTCTAAAAAAATTGGTAATATTATATCATTCAGTCTTAAATTATATTCATAATTATATATTTTCTGTATTGCACTTTTGACTTGTGCGATTATAAAATAAGTATAATTTAACCAAAATCTAAACACCGTATTTTTTTACGAAAACTAAGAAACAATTTTTTAAAAAATAAATATAAGTTGATTACATATATAAATATACAATATATTTAATAAGTATATATATAATATTTATTAATGGTATAATATGCATATAATAAATGCATAATATATAGACAAAAACGTAGCCTACAGTAGTATTATTTTTCTCTTTGTAAAATACTAATTATTTAATCTATGTTTGAAAAGTGCTGTAAGCGGTTAAGTTACAGATTTCAATAATTGTAAGGGACGCTCATTTTTTCTTAAGTGTCATGATCCCTCTTGTATTTCTTTTATTTTTCCAATTCGAGCACTGTCTAATAGATACCTCGCATACTTACCTTCTATTCATCACGAATGCACAATATTATTATCATTATAGACATAATGTATTTATGCGAATTTTATTATTTATATACCGTCTTAGATAAATCACTGTGATACAGCATTACATAATAATCATAATATAGTCTATAGGTAGGTAGCTATATATACAAACATAAAATAGTCTATAACTCTTTTAATAAATCTCATGGTTTTGATTTCAAACAGTGGTGTATTTAGGAATATGTCATGGGGAGGGTCCAGACAATTTTCATAATACACATCCGTGGGGGCTTTGCCCCCCACGCTCCCCAATTACACTTTTATATAGAAATTCAATTTATTACAATGAATTAACATAAATCCATTTTAATGTTAATTATTTATTTTTAATCATATAAAATAATATTTATATTACAAAATCCAATTTCCTAGGACTAAATGCCATCTCATTGATTATTTCATTAACATCTAGATGTATGTTCGGATGAATAGGCATCATAGCTATTTAGCATTTAGCCTCGTCTACATAATAATAAAATTAAAAATACAGTACAAATAAGTTAAATTGTTTTATAGTAGATATTAAATATTTTCCAAAATAATTAAAAGATTACTTCGTTCGTTGTTGATCTTAGATATGTTTTCAACCTTTACAAGGTTGAACAAGATTTTTCAGATGTTGCTGTTGACACCGGTTATGTGCAAAATATTTTTAATTAAAAAATGTATATTTGGAAAGTCATTATTTGGGCAGCCCAAAAGTGCTTCTAACCCACTTTTGATGTTTACATCTTGACTGGCTATTTTTAATTTCCATATTTTAATTTCAACATAAGCATTATCATTTTCCACTGGTGGTAAATAAAACCCAACCAAATTCTCAAATAATATTTTGTCTGCATCAGTAAATGTTGAACTAAATAAACATTCAAACCCTATCAAAATATACAGAACATAATATTTAATACCGATTTTTATATTAATCTAGATAAATCAATATACCTAATACCTTTAAAAACGGATTTGTGATTTAAAAATCGAGTTTTAAGTTGGTTGATAAAATTGTCAATAAATGACATAAATACTACTGATGACGCAAGTAGCGGTAGTAGACGTTGTCTTCATGAAAAAATTTGTTATTTTATACATTTCAAGACACAAAATTAACGTACAAAACGCAAACGAGAGTAAAGAGGGCCGTTCAGTACCAAAATGAATAATAAACGTAATCATTAATCACGACAATAATATTTACTGATAAACAATTGTATCAAGATCCGTGGCAGGTTTTTCTACAAAACAGAATAGGTCAATTTTAACTACTTTGTAGTTGTTCCCCAAGTGGCATAGTAAGTTAACAGCCGAAGATAATATACTCTTATCGATTTCCAACTGGTAAGACGTGTCAACCATGCATAACTATTCATGATAACATTTTTTTTCCCGATTACGTAAAAAAATAACAAGTTACAACTTATATTTGCACAGAATAAAATAATATATTATATATATTAGACCTTTAGATACGTATTTATGGAGCCAAAGGAAAGGGGTCCGGACCCCATGGACCCCCCCTCGTAAATACGCCACTAATTTTTAATATATAGTTGGGCCATTTAATTACTACTGTACTATAGTCATACACTCATACTATATAAATAGTTAAAGCATTTAGTGTAATCATTTGAGGAGTATTCATCCTGTACATTATTATTATATGATTATAATATATACAAAACTCGAACTGTGTATATTTTTAACCTAAAAAAACTCAAGGATAAAATATAACTAATTATAGACCAAACGTAATGTATTGATTTTACCTATCGTAAATAAATAAAAAAATAATCCGTTCAAATATTTTCGAATCACAGGCGATGAATGGCGATGACAGATTTAAATTATTTATACCAACAGGCAGGGTATTATTGTTCTTCGTAAAAATTCTTGATATACTATTATTTTTATTTGTGAATATTTATAATATTAAAACTCTTAACAATTTAATAAATATAATATGATTGAAATAAAGGCCCATGTTTAAGGAGAGGGGGAAGGTTAGTGGTAATTTGTTTTGTTCTTTAAAGACGGGCATTGTACATATTGATACCTTATATAAAGTAAAAATGTGTATAATATATATTATATAATTTGTTTTTTTGTTTTGTTTTATGAAGATAAAAAAGTTGTAATTTATTTAGCGTAGGCTACTTTATACATGTCTTCAACCCGTCTGGATGGTCTTTATCTCTCATAAGCTTGTGAATTTTGGAGTTCGGTTTTCACTAAACGATTAATTAGGCTCTAAAGAAAGTCTCCATAATTTTCAATCCGATCGGTGAAAAACCAGAGTTGTTTTACTTATTGAAAACTTACACCATTTCGATACTCCCGTTTTTATAGGTTTATGATTACCAGTTCAAATTTATTTTAAAATTCGTTAAAAGTAATTGTAATTTATTATATATTTTCAAATTAATACAATTTACAGCAGACTAATATTATTTATAGTAAAATATTGTTGTATTCTACTTTTTGGTAAACAAATTAGATTGGGCGCCGGAGGGGGGAATTAAAATATGTTGCCCCAGATCATAAAACTGCCAAGTTTGGACCTGTTAACATACCATAATTTATACATTTTATCATTAAGTACGTACTTATCTGTATACAATATTCACATTTATACCTACACAGCTAATACATATTATTATATCATTACATTAATCGTGAATACACTTTGGAAGTAAAAAATGCATACCTATCGAATTCTAATGTACTTGTAATAGTCGTCATACTAAATATTACGAATCGCAGTGTATTATGGCATTATTTAATTTTATTAACACGTGAAAGTCGAAATAATACATCATTACGACCATAGCGAATAGAAATATTAAAAAAATGTATAAGGTTTTTAATAAATATATTATACACAAATGTTAAAGGGTAAATGATAGGTAATTGCAGGTTTTACATCGCGGAATACATATTTCACTCTCTTATATATTTTTGCGATAAACAATTTTTGGTGGGTGTACTAAATATTTTACACATCACGCTGGTAAAACTGCATTTTATTGTATTCATCGGTCTTTTATATCAAACATAATATAGCGGTATCGATTGCTGTAGCTTCTGGCATATTATAACATAATAAATGTCTGTTTAACGTAGGTCAGTATTTTATAAAAAAAAAAAAAAAAAAAAAAAAAAAACGAAATGATACAGAATAAATCGTTTTTATGATAGTAAATATTATAGTGAATAATTAAACAAATTTTATATTTCTTAATTGATTTCTTAATGTAATATTTAATGTAGATATACATATATAAAAACAGTAAAAACTCAAAATAAAACCTAATGAGGAAAATAGTATTTCAATTTAAAATTAATAATATGAGAATAACACGCATAGAAATACAATTCGATAAATATACTTAATATTAGTATGCAATTATTATAATTTGTAATATTATACTTGAAATTATAATGGTATTAAAGTCGCAAAATACCTATCAATAATACATTTATTGTCGTAGCTTTATAGTAACTACCCACTATATGTACTTCTACATTATATAGATACCCACATACATACAAATAATATATATATATATAAAAAAAAAATTATGATCGAAGAAAATATGTAATATTTACAATATATCATTATGAATTAATATATACCTATTTATAGGTCGTAAGTATTGAAATATCATACATAATATATTTATTTATTCGATAGGTATATAGGTACGTACAATTAACTATACTTAAGTAGGTATATTATATTTTAAGTGATTAATATCGAAACGTATATCAATTAAAAATATAAAAGACGTTTTTTTTGAGATGAATATAGTATAATAATTCTAACAATTATAAAAAATAAGTAAAAACAAAATTACAAAACCAAAGATAGATATATCTTATATAACATTATAATCTTTTTACGCAGGACTCTATAACGGGATAATAGGACCCTAATTTAGTAGTGGGGAAAATCAAAAGTGCAAATTGGCTCCACGAATTTGGTCACCTGTACACACGTAGAGAAATTTAAAACGTAATTATCAAATTTAGTCCTGTATAGTAATATTATTGTATATTATGGATACGCTTATTTTTCCTACATTGATTGCACAAAGTATTCACATTTACATCAAAATACGTTAAATACAATTTTAGATATAATACTGGGTAGTTTTATTTTTCTGAAAAACCTCTCTGAAAAATATAAATATTCATCATTTTTTATATTTGTATTGTTTACATTTTAAGTTTTTTCATCCAATTCTATTTTTTACAATAAGACTTGATATATTTAATTTCGTATTATCAAATATATTGTATACTTTTGTTATTTTATGTACTTATTATGTTACTAAAATAGTTACCCTATTTAAAAATAATAAACATGTCAAGTTTTGTTTTGAATATTAATTTTGTTTATTATATATTAGCATATTGAATATTAATTTTGTGATTTTATAGTATTATTGAATAGATACTAAATACTTTTATACTCGTAAAACAAACAAACAATACAAAATATTATTTTTACTTATAAAAGCTGAATTAGAAGAGAAAAATTTCTGAAAAAAGCCCGGATTTTATTAAACAATAGGAGAGTGGATTTAACTCAAAAAAACAGCCAGAGTTTTTTTCTGGTTGGGTTTTTTATATCAATCTTATTATAAATATTAGTTTTTCTTCCTACTTTGCCCGAAACATAAAAAAATAACTAAATAAATATACAAATATAAATCTCATTAATTGAAACTCGTGTCTTATCGTTTTAGAATTATTGAAATCTGAAAAGTTTTTATGTACCTACGTACCTTATGACATCATTTTTGGGAGTGGGGCTTTTGGCTTTTGTACTTTAGAAAGGTAAGCCTTATCTATATATAATTTTAACAGAAATGATATCAGACACAACTAGAAGATGGGCATGGTGGGCTCACCAAATTTTAGGTTTACCGAATTATTTTAAAACGAAAATTAATTTTTAACAACATTATAATATATTGTTTTTTTTTTTTTTAAATGATTAATGCGTAAACTGTAAAACAATTTTATTATCATCTTATCATAATATTGTACAATATTTGTTATAATACATCGAATCACATCCGGTAGGTATGTTGATAATGGTTCAGGTTCGCATTTCACTTATCAACATATAGGTTTATCATAATGATACCTTATACTTATACCTATATTATAATACGAAAAACGTTTACGTTTGCACCACTCTATATTATATTATACTTCTCTATCTATAGAACGAATAATATGCATAGAATATAGTCTCTATACTATAGACTATACGCGTCTATAGGTATATTGTACGATTTATACGATTTATCTATGACGCTCTAATGAGTGTAAAAAACATAAACAAATACCTTTAATATAGACAATAGAAAAACGTTGTTTTCTTGGTTAAATAGTAAACAAATCCAATATCTACCTTTTGATAGTGTACATACAAAATGGATTACCGAACAGAAAATTATAAAGAACCTCGCTATATTTTAATGCTTAAATAATCAACATGCACAATAGGTTGTTTATAACAATGAATCATAACACGTATTATATTAAAATATAGTAGGAAGATAGGTATATTATGCCTTTATATTATTAATACGGCATTGTATTGATTAATAATTAATATTAATAGTATTTATTCTAAATCATTATTATTTGTAAATGTATTAATTACAAAATAAATGGGGAAAAAATAAAATATTTTTCTTCTTTTCCGCACATAATCTTATTAAGATCAGTTTGCAGCAATCCTTCTCTCTTCCCCGTGTTACTCGCTTTAATATGGGAATATTATAATATTGGCTTATAACAGGTGTATTATATTTATTGGTGCTATTATACGTGTGTGAAGTAGTGTAGGTATAGTATTAAAATAGGTACGAATAGAAGGACAAATTGTTTTCAAAAATAACAAATTAACATATAATATATACGTCTTGGGTAGGTACCGCGGCTTTTTTCGTTATATATAAAGTGTCCATTCGTAACGCATGGATTGTCCGAAAAGAATAATATATCGAAATTAACGAAACGAAGTGCTTTAATTTATACTTCTTCACGTTCGAAATATTGTGTAAAAACAAACAGTATAATAATATAAAGGTATATGGGTATACCATTCATCATCGTACACCTACTAAAGTACTAACTGATAATATTGTGTTAAATAATAATCAAACAATAGACGTTTTTGTCATCATTATATTTTGGCGATCCGTAAATCGTATTGCTAATGTCACTAGGTATATTCTTGTATTATTATAGTGTATACAGGTTATAACTTCATAATTTTATAATATATTTAATATAAATGTATTTAGATATCTACGTACATATATTGTGTTAAAATAAAATATATAGATTTTTGTATACCTTATAGTTATAATAAATGTAGTTGAGTGTAAAAAGAAATATATATGTTGATAAAACATCAAGTTTCACGAGTTATTTGTTGAGTTTTGGCAAGTTCATGTTGAAAAAGCGACAAAATGTAATTTATGTCGATCAGTTTACAATTTTTAAACAGATTATAAATGTAGGTAAAACCTTAAGCTCAATGAGTTTTTTAACTCAAATAATTATAATAATTATAAGCAATGACATCATAGAAGTAGTAATAGTAGTAGTTATTGTAGTAGGTATAATAATAGGCTGAGATTTTTTCTCGTTGTTCGGATGATATATACTTGTATAATAATTTTTAATTCATGCATTGTCTACGCGTTTAAATAATTAACTCAATGCAAAACCAAAAAAATGTAAAATATAACTCATTTAAGTTGTTACAATAATCACTATTTTCTGGTTGATAATTTGACAAAGCCTTAATAGATATCCACAATAGCTTATTATTTGAGCCCTTCAACCAATATAATATTCTGTTATTAACTCATAAAAACCGCAATCGACAAAATTATACAAACTGCGTAAACTTAATTCTTCGATAGGTACTATGAAACATGAGTAATTGAGTATCATCACGTCTTTGCAGAAATACCTTTTCTATATTATAATAATATAAAATATAATATTTTCTCTGGAGTGTTAGGTGATAGACAGAAAATATAATATAGAATGAGTGTAGTATAAATGAGAATACTTTAGCAGATGAGTTGAATAACGAAAGAAGATAGGATAAGGAATGAGTACCTACATAAAAGGTAGCTTAGACTTGGCTTCGATAGTGGACAAAATGAGAGAATATGGACTAAGATGGTTTTGAGCACATCATAATTATGATTCCTTAAGAAGAGAGGAATCAGAAGCAGTAAGAATTATAATAATAATAAACGTAATGTAAAGAGGAGACAGGAAGACCGAAAAATGGGTGGATTGCAGGATGAGATTAAGAATGATACGAGAACGATGGGTGTATGTAAGGACGATGTAGGGAATCGGATCAATTAGAAGTTTAGGAGGAGAGTAGCCAACTTTAAATAGTTGTGAATTGTGATGAAGGTGGTGAAAAAAAAGGTTATTTTCACTAATGTTCTTGACGTTTTCTATGCATTTCGTAATAGCAACTCTCTTGGTCCCAAAAATATTTCTGCTTATCTGCTCTTTAATTTTCACCCCAGCCTCTTCTTTCCTATCTATATTCTATTTATTGTGATATCTTTCCATCCGTATAGAAAATCTATTCCATGACACCAATTTATAAATCGAGTGATTCTTTTGTTATAACTAACTTCATTTCTGATCTTCATTTTATCAAAACTATAATTTTATATATACAAGCAAACTGTTTGAATCAATTATATCTAAAATTGCATTAAACGAAGCATCGATCATATACTTATATCTGAACAGCATTGATTCCAACCCGATGAATCCATCTTTTCAAGTAGTTTATCCTATTCAAATTTAAAGAGACGGACATACTTCACACGACGGGTGGGCTAATGTTGTAGGTGAGAAGTTGGGAAGCTAAGAAATAAAAGGAATTTAATTTATATCTGTACGCAACGATAAACTATTAGTAATGAAAAACGATTTAGAGTGAAGTTCGGTTATTCATATTTACAATTTTAGTCAAAATTAAATATTAAATTTCTTATAAAAAAACTACAATGAACTGATTTTTTTTCTACCATATTATGAGACTTTTAGCGAACTTCCAGTTAAATTTTCAAGCATTTCTGTTTGATTTTTCCACAGAGTATCTACCAAATAAAAATTAAGTAAAAAATTCACAAAATTAAAATGTCTACAAATAGTTCAAAACTAACTCGGATATTTTTAAAATTTGACCACGTCTAGAAAAGTTAAATATAAGTTTTCTGTCCAAAGGTCAAGTCTCTGTAAATATTTTTAACAAAATTACAACAAAACAATTCAATTTAAAATAATAAAAGCATTATTTTAGTAAATTCTCTCGTTATTTCTACATTTTTTTTTTCGGATTTGTTCAATTATTAAAAAAAAATTACACATAAAATCAAAAACGACTTTCACACTCACCAACAATTGCAAAAAGTAATTGGATTTTTTTGGTTGGATTTTTAGATTACTATATACTTGGCAATTATCTGAAATTATAAAAACTGAACGTTCTCAATCGTAATAAGCAAAAAGGTATGGAGAACAGTTCTCAATCGTATTTCTACCAATTATTTGTACGACCCATTCAAAGATATCCCACATCGAATTTCTATCCTTATGATTACTTAAAGTTAACCAACGTTTTTTAACTCCTTAGTTTTCTGGATATTTTTGTTTTTCTTAAAAAGAGTTGACTTTATAATTCTCTCTAATCCTACTCTGACATCACCTCTCACGGCCATAAACACCCCCATCACCACATATTCAGATCATACACTCCCAGATCCCTTATTTTTAGTAGTTCTTAGAGTAGTTTCAAAATTGCACCGTTTGATCTTAGTTTTTACTTTCAGTTCAAAGATTTAAATTTAAACTGTTAAATTTGTTTACACTCACATTCTTACTTTTTTGTCCCTATCTCTGTAATTTCTGCTTATCGTAGATAATACAACAGATTTAGTTATCTACTTAAATTATTTAATCAACTTGATTTCACCATTTATATATTATAAAGAGAAAATATTTATTTGTATATTTGTAAACGAGCATAATTATAAATACAATTTATAAAAAGAAACGGTTTGTGCACTTCGAAGTTCGAACTTTAGTTATTTCAGTAACGCATAGTATTATAATTATATTGTTTTAATGATAATTGTATTATTGTCTTCAAGATAGATTTAAGGTAATGAAGCTTATAATTAAAGCACTCAATTGTTACTATTATGTATTTCAAATTCTATAAAAAAATTTTCTTGGGATATTCGGAAAATTAAATTACGAAATTTGAAAATTATCTGTTTTATAAGTAGGTTCCTAATATTGCATGTCTTCAAAAATACTGTTAAATACATTATAAGTGTTTTACTTAATTCAAAATTATTTTGGTCTTTTAAAGTTCATTTAAACCATATAATACTTCTATTTAATGTCTAACAAATATATCTAGGTGTATACCTAGGTATAATGGCTAATTAGTAATTATTAAAAAATAATCTGATAAGATAAGTATCAAAATAATGCAACGTAATACGAAATACTGATATACAACAGAGAGCAAAATCTAAGTAATTTAATGATTACTTATACTTATTATAAATGTATCATTCATAATTAAAATATGTTTATCTTCTATAAAATATAGGTGTGTAGCATCATGGCATCATATCCTTAACACCTCAACAGTAATAAATACCTACTACATGAATTTAACTTCTAAACATTTTAAAATTTATATAATACCTAATAATTTTGGGCGTTCATTTTGATATATTACTTATAATTTAATTTTAGTCTCTATACTACAAATACACTCAAGATTACTCGAGAAATATTTGTTCGAAGACGAATTAATGAATGTCGAAACAATAAAAATAGTTTAAAAACTATTGTTCTAAGTATGATCTATGATAGTATCTACATTTTCAAAAATAATATAGTTTTATCGTTTTTATAGTTTTAAAATTTAACATCATACATTAAATATTATGTATTTTAACAAAGATCGTTAGCTGACGTTTTGCTCTTTAAATATTCATTTAAACTTACGTAGTTATTTAAAAATTCTTTAAAAGTGGTTGATTAAAATACGAACATTAATAAAGTCGTTGAGATTAATTAAATATTACTTCTTTAATTTAATTTGAACGTTAAATCTCTAAAAAGTAAATAGGTACCTAAAATATTATGTATACTGTTATAATATACTTATACACAGTTTCTGCAAAAGCAACTCTCTAGGGGGTTAAGCAATTATTTTACTCTGAAGCATAAAATAAAGCCACTAACAAAAAAAAGAAAAGACGTCCTAGGATAATGGAGACGGGTGCAACCACTGTGGTAGATAATTTAATGTATACCTGTAATCTACGATTGATAATCAAAAACCGATTCTAAGCGCAGTTTAGTTAATAGTGATGCTTTATCAACAATATATATTTCATATTATGGTAAAATAATTGAATAGGCATTATATATTTTCTTTAATAATATTTGTTTAATATTGTCTCGATTTTCCCCGTTTTCCCATGTTTTTTCTCGGATTGTCACACTTGCTAAGGAAACACTTGGCAAAATTTAAAAATAACCTTCCTAAAGTACCTTCCCAGTCAGATTTACTTTCAGAAAAAGTGCTATCATTGTAAAATGGAGCAAAATTGCTGGTAGAAAAGTTGTACACAGAAAATAAAGGACATAATATTTTTTTACTAATATCTACATTTCATACATTTTCTGTTTTCTGACATTTAATACCGGTTTTTCCCAGTTATTATGAAAATCGATTGAAAAATCACAAAAATGATCTCCTTAACCCATGAAGATAAAATTTCCTTTCAGAAAAATAAACTACACTTGATACATAGAAGCAAGATTTCTGGTAGAAAAGTTTGCACAACAAATCGAGGGATATTTTTCAATTAAAATCATCCGAGCGAGCGATAGCTAGGTCTCTAGGTACACATAAAATACATTTGTTTTTCCCTATTTAGTTAAAAGGTGAGAAAAGTACAAATAATTTCTTTTCGAACCCTAAGGCTTTGAACCCACAATCCCTAGTATGACATTAGGCATTCATGACCATTCGACTACAACAAACGTACAATAAAGTGACAATATAGAATTATTTAATATAAACATGTAATAATAATATCTGCATAATATCTGAACTTCAAAAAGCTATAATTTTGAAACTTCGTCAGTCCGCTTAATTCTGACTATACCATCATTTTTAAATCGGCAATACACATACGTTCGAAAAAAAAATAAAAATTATATTTTTTCTACATCATTTTTTACTCAAACAATTTTCGTCAAAATATAGTATCAAAATTCCTTTATAAAACAAATACTACATTAAACTCAATTTTTTTTTAAGTTTTTATTATTTGAATATTTTTAAACAATCATTGTTGTCATGGAAATGAGCATTGTTGTATTTATTTCATCATAATATGACATATATATTGTTAACGAAGCAACACTATCAAATGAACTCAGCTCAGAATCGTTTTTTCATTATCAATGGTTTATCTTTGCTTACAGATATACACTAAATTCCTGTCTGTATCCTACCTTTTCTTTCCACCTAAAACCAGTAGCCTACGTGTGATGTAAGGTAAAATAATTACAATGCGCGTTTCCATAACAACAATGATTGTTTTAAAAAGATTAAAATAATAAAAACTTGGTAATAACAATAAATAAATAAAAACGGTTGCCAATTACAACCTTATTTTAAATCTTTCAATTTTTTATAACCTTAAGAACCAGGTTTCCTCGTTATCTCTACTATTAATAAGAATTTATAAAAACGACTTCTTTAAAGTACCACCCAGAGAATATTTCCTTTCAGAAAAGGTGCTATACTTTGATAATGGGAGTATGCTTTCTAGTAGAAAAAGTGTTCACATAAAATTAAAATAAACATCTTTGTAAAACCCATATATGCTTCTAAATTCAAAATTTAATAAAATAACAATGCAAAATTTAATGCACTTTTTTTTTTAATAATTTATTAATAATTTTTTGGAGCAATAAATATGTTTTATATTGTAATTGTAAATATAAACTACACGATGTGACAATGAATTTTCACATCCATTACAAATTTAAATGAATTTATTGAAAAAACAAATAAAAAACACCAATGGGGCTGTTTAAACCTCAATGAATCACCCCGGTGAATACGCCCATGATGTAAGCATTAAAAATGTACATACTCGTATAAATATAGAGATGATAAAATTTATAATTCCTCATAAATTAAAAAAATATTAATAGTCGTATAATATGTAAGAAAATCAATAATTTTAATCACAACCAACGATCGAAAAAAGTTAAAATTTGAATAAAACTACCATTTGTATGAGTATTTGATATATACAGATTGATTCACTAAGCTTGCTTACCCTATTTTTGGTTACATTTTGCATGTATTCAAGTTCTGATTTTTGGAATTTTTAAATGTATTTAAAGCCGATATTTTTGAATACTTAGATTTTTCACAATACTTAAGGTGTATTCTGTGGCGATACTAACTTCGGTTTTTCAAATGAGAACCTATATTAAAATTTCGTAAAGAGACGGAGTATACTGAGTTTTCTCAACAAACGTGAAAAACCGAAAAATAACAGAAGAAAAACTGGAAAATGTATGAAATGTAGGTATTAGCTGAAAAATATTTCAGCCTTCATTTTTCCTGTGTACTACTTTTCAACCAGCAATTTTGCTCCGATTTATAACAAAGAAAATAAATCTGACTAGAAAGATACTTTAGGGAGGTAATTTTTCGATTTTTCCAATAAATGTGAAAAATCGGTAAAAACGCAGGAAAACTGGTAAATCGGTACAATATTAAACAAATATTATTAAAGAAAATATATAATGCTTATTTAATTATTTTACCATAATGTGACATATATTGTTGACAAAGTATCGCTATCAAATGAACTGCACTCAGAATCGTTTTTTAGTTAGCAATGGTTTATCGTTGCTTATACATATGTACCTTAAATTACCTATAACAGTGGCTGCACCTATCCCCATTATCCTAGGACGATTTTTGAGAATGAAAGTATGATTTAAATTTAGCTATTTAGATTTATAATTATTATTAAGGAACTTATTTTTCTGTCGTTTATTATATTTATTCGATTAAAAGTCAAAAATACGAACCACATACAAAATTGTTCTTAATCTATAATTTATCTATAAAAAAATAAAATAATAAGATTAAAAAAATACAACTTAAATATAAAGTTTTATTTATATGTATACATTATACACGTGTGTGTATATATAAATATATTTGTACCTGTTCCACCGATCCATTATAACCTATTGTTATAATATATATTGAATATCATTTAGATATTTTAAGATATACATAAATCTTTCAATCAAAATACGCCTTAGGTACATGGAAATTTATTAGTTTAAGATGGTGAGATAATGTATATTTTACCTCAGCTTTAAATTGATAAATTACGTTCGTCAAACATTTACGACGTACGTAGTATGGGTTTTTTTTATTATTATTATTTTTTTTTAATGGTATATGACTAAGATTTTCGAAGAAAACATTTATACAAGTATGGAATATTCACGCAATATACTCAGTAAGTAGGTATGAACTATGAATAGAATATTAAATAATAATAAGATAAGAGTACAAACAGGTCAGTTATTGATATTTTTTTCTAATTATAAAATATAATTTTGCCTATTTAGCTACCTATACAATAAATTTAATAGTAGGTTCCTAAGTTAGTACCTACATAGCGCAAATACTGTTATCAATATATTATTATATAATGTTTTTAAATTAATTTGATATGATTATTTATTAGGCAAATTATATTATAGTAGATATTTAAATAAACGTACCTTGTATTGTAGGTATATTATAAAATATTTTCAATAACTAAATATTATGTTCACAATTTACAACATTAAACATATTGATATGAAATATAATTATATAAAGTAAAAAATAAATATAGCAATTAAATTCATCGGGACTAACCCCACGGTCCTCACAAGTAAATTAAATTTATTACATTATCATATAATTCGTTATAACTTTCATTTTATGAATTATGATTTAAAAATCAAAACAATTTATTTATATTAAACTACTATATTATTAGTTACGAGAAAGGTTATTTTGTAGCATTTTGTATATAATAGTAGCTGGTACATTGGAGAGGTCAATTTATTATTATCTTTGCAATTTTCATTTGAGATTTTTTTAAGATTTATGTGGATAAAATTGTTTGGCCTAACAGAAATGCTTACAAATTTAACATGAGGTTCATTATACGTTGTACTAAGTGGTAATACAAAATCAAGGATAAAGTAGTCGTTTTTCGTAAATATCAAAAAACCACTTTCTTGACGTTTTTCTATTGGATTAATGTTTCTGGTAGAAAACATAGTATGCGCAAATTTGAAACCAATGAAATCGGTAACGTCGCTGTGCGTGGCGTGCCGTAAATATATTTTGACCTTTTTCCGATAAATTTTTCCCGAATTTTTCCATTTATAAAAAAAACCCATTAGAAAATCAAAAAATGACTTTTAAATCAACAACTAGATAAAAATTTTCTTTCGGAAAAAGTGGCTACACATGATACATCATATCCAAACCATTACATCTATCGTTGTACGCTCCGAATCTAAAATAAATCACTTTACATTTAATATGTTCAAGTTATCATAGTTATCATTCATTTAAAATCTGTAGCTTGCCATAATCTACAAAGAAAATCCCATTTACAAATTCATAAAATCCTAAAAATATCGGCACTTGTAAAGAATAATATATAATATTTGTCTAGCTTATTTATTCGATTACTCATAATTAAATTATTATTATATTATTTGTATTAGGATCATAATCATGCAAATAAAAATCGAAATATTTTTAGAAAAGATTTATAAAATATTGCAGTATTATTAATGACAATGTTTGTTTAATAAAATATTAACTACATTGTATTTAGTATTTTCAGAATATTGCATACAAACAAACAAACGTCATAAATATAATATATAACGATTTATTAAATAAAAACCTTTATATTGTGTAATTGAACACAATACAATGAAGTTTTCACTGATATTGTGAAAAAATATGTACCTACATTTTTCAGTTCTTCGCAGTTTTAGATAATATTATCATTATTATACTTCCATGAATTTCTGTAGTGTATTTATTTTATTTAAACATTTGTATTTTTGAGTACATACGTTGTATGTAGGTACCTACATGCATACTATGCATGACTACTGAAATAATGTTTTCTCCAATAATACAATAATTATGCAATACAAAATTCTTAAGTTATACAACAAAATATAACAGCAGCTACTACTACACGTCAGTTATTCGAACTTGTTTGTTCGATATTGTATACTCAAAACCCAAAAGTTAATTAAAATTTGTTCTTTATATTATACTTATAGTATTATAGGCAGGCAGGCAAGTAGGTATACCTCTCATTATATTAATGAGCAGCGTGTGTCCGATTTCTTTTTTCGACAGACGACATATTATTCAGACCTTAATTTCTAATAATATATTATAGTAACACGTATGCTATTTGATCCCATACTGTAGAGTTTATTGTTGTTAGGCGGTCTATTACTTTTGGTAAATGGTGTGCGAATTCATTTGATGCGGACCCCTGCCCTATTTCTCCGATTCCGGTGGATAATATTAATATATTACATTTACATCCTTTTTATCGGTCAATATCAATTAACGGGGTGACATAGTTCTCATTCGGTCCTAACGCATGTATCGCTATCACACTCGTAAATAATATTATAATACGGAAGTGTTCGTATGTTGTCCATTATGAAAATGAAAATTTAAATTAATTAAGCCCTATATAAATTACGCGAATATAAAATAAATTCGCGTTAAGTTTGATCACAGTTCTCAAGCAAATAAATGTTCCGTATACTAGGGATACCTAATATTGTTATTTACTCAACACGATAAAAGCATGCAATCAACAAATATTTAAGCCAACAATAATAAAATCCTAAAGCTTTTTTTTAATTTGTTGAAAAATGGTTTGAACTCATCAAAACGCTTAGGTGTTTATTGTTTTACTTATTAAATTCTGGGCAGAGCGAGATGTATATATGCATCTATTTTATTTTTACCTTTTACCTTGAAAAATTGCTTTTTCACGGAACAGTTATTAAAATGCTTAAAAAGTTTTACTAGGCAACTTTATATTAATTAGTGTACCAGTGTGGATCAGAGTGTCATATATCTCCTGAAATAATAAAGACAAAAATGTTCGTTTATATATATATTACTCACGGGGATAAGGAATACAAATATTAATATTTGAATTAAATTTGTATGTTTTAATAAAAAATCAAAAAAAAATGTTTATACTATTTTTGAAAGATTTGAAAATAGCCATTTTATACAGTTAATTATTCTAAAAATAATTGTTTAAAGTTTACAGAAAATTACCTATAACTATGCTGTAATCGCATTCACTAATTGATTATTATTATTATTATTATAGCTAATTGACTGTACACTATTTTTTCTCGGAACTTAAAAAATTATTAAAAATCACGAATTTAATTAATAAAGTTAATGTATATATAATATTTTCTGAATTAAATTAATCTATATAAAATCATTGTTTAGTAACTGGATTTAACTAGAAATAAAATATAAATTTTAAATAAAATATATACCCTAATGTATTATAAAATAAATAGTCAACACTTACAAAATAAATACGTAATAGTGATATTACTTCAATGCTATAATAATGTACAGTTTCAGTTGTATTCAATAAAACTAAAGAATTCAAATTTTACAGTTGACCAAACGATAATTTTTTTTATATAGTACTTCATTTAAAAATTTACATTTTTATTATTTTTATTATAATTTTTTGTACAAATGTATATTACTATTAACTATTTTGAACTTCGTCCCTTGTATCTATAGTAAAGTAAAAGTATATTATAAACTTTAAATTTTCATTACCCACCAATTATTATTATTTTAAACAAACATTTTCTGCAATGTGATAATATTTCTTAACATATAGGTATCACAACATATATCTACCCACGTGAAATTCTGCAACATACTCTCACGTGACATTTCCATTAGCTGAGTCAAATTATAAAAAAATATGGTGTTATAAAAACGAATCGTGATATTTTTTAAAATATATTATACCTAGTACCTACAACATACCCACCATAATAAAATTTATTTACATTATTATTATTTATTAGTCAGAGAATCTAGCCTATTTGGTCCTGGACCATGGTGGTAATGGTGGATCTAAAGCTCTTTAGAGGAAGTCTAAAATTAGTTTAATATTATTATATTGTATACTATAAATTCATATTTTTAACGTTCAAATATACAACGCTGGAGAACCCCCTTCCCAATCATTTATGACCTTAGGTACCTATGCTACCCAATTAACAACTTTTTATAAAAGTCCAAAGGGGGGGATTATCATGTTATCCTTTAAATTCAACACTGTCTAGTGCTCTAAATCGTAGAATTATAAAATATAGACCTATACTCCGACCCAGTGATATAATTTGGGCATAAGGTCAGGATTGCAAAAATTACTAAAGGTTACTAAGATCTGTGTGCGATTTGCCCCCACACCCCCAACATTATAAAAACATACGATGTTTTTCAACCTAACTTCAATACAATCATTTGTATATATTATTATGTATTATTAATATAAAATACATTATAAATCTATATAATTCTTCTTATTTAGGTACATATTATTAAAAACTATGAATTTTATAAATCATAATCTTTTAAAATTAGATTATAAAAATCTAGAATTTTCAAATTGTAACTGTTTTACTGTTGTTTTCTATTTGAATGTATTTATAGTAATGACTTATACATTTATTGGTTATTTAAATTGTTATTTAAATATATTTTTACTTTTTAATGCTTGATAATTAAAATATTCCATAACTTACATAAAAAAATATAATAAAATATTATATAAGTAAAAATACGATGACAGATAAGGTTAAATCTAAAAATAGATTTTTATTTAATTTGGAATAGCCAAATAGTGAATTGAAAATTGTAAAAAACTGTATTTTCATCGGTAGAGTAATGATTCATATATAATTTCAAATTTTATAATTTTCGAACATATTTTTTTTTCGTAATTAAACAATTACTTACCCATTTTAATTTTAATGAAAATCGATAAATACAGAAATTTCAGGGGTTGCAAATCAACCTCGGCATTATATTTGGGGTCGCAAGTGCGATTCATTGCGACCTCTCTAATTACGCCACTGCTCCGGTCCACAAGAACAAGGTACTCGTTCATACGCGTAACGGACGGCGTTGAACGTCTCGGGGAAATATTTCCCCTACTTAAACATTTCGGGTGGCAACGTGCTACCGCATGTGTACCATTATACAGCTAATGAGGTTTTTAGTGGGACTGCGCAAACTTGGATGAGTTTTGGTCAAAATACGGGTTCCTTTTCAAGGTGATACGTGAAAATCAAAATTATTAAATTAAACTAGGTATTATATAAAATGAATTTTAAGATACTCTCGTGAGAATTTACTAATATTGTAAAAAAAAATAAAATAATAACCTTCACATTTCATTTTAACATAATATTACTATGTATATTTATAAAATCGATCAAATATTTAATGAAATGGATTTTAATAATTATTTTTTTTATATCAACGATTCGATTTTGTTTTTTAAAAATCATAATCATTAATATTATAAAAACATTTAGGTATCAAAGGTAAATAGTCTTTAAATATTGTTGAATTGAATAAATAACATAATAATTAAAAATAATCTGCAACGTGTTTGCATTGTATAATATTTGTTAATACCTTAGACTATTAACCAAACCGTATTGTTTTCAATGTAAAAAAAAAAATCCTTAACAATAATATATCTGATAAACATCACAATTTTGGTCTGTATTCTTTCCAAACTTATTAAATTATTATTATTTAAACGACGCTACGTAAAGGCTACAATAATAATAATTTCAATACGTGCAATTTAACGTATTATATAAATATGGGTAGGTACCTAATCTGATCGATATCTTGTTTAAACTTCAATTTTACGCCTTAATAATGATTATTAGGAGCTTAGAGGACAGTAGCTCTAGTTCCCCTCCTCAAATATTTGAGAAATGGTGATTAAAAATATAAAAATAAGGCGTGTTCTGGAGTCGTAGAACGGTATTAATATAGGAAAGCTTTCGGATGCCCCTATGAAAAATCTCTGGAAACTAAGTATAATAATATTATTGAACAGTAAACTGTTAGTATAAACTAACAAAAAATATAGATTTTATGACATTTTAAACGATCAAAAATAATAATCGTACTAATGGAAATAAAACTAAAATAACTAATGATCATCCGAATCCGTATAAAATTAAACGTAATAATATCGATAATCGAAATAATATACCTGCATTGACAATTAATAACGTTAATATTATTTATTTGCATAAATATTATTCGTAGGCACCGATAATACAGAACGTATTTTATTATTAGTGTTGTTACAATTATTTGTCCATAATCTACACTACCGACTCTGTACTATTGGCCTTTGCATCTTGACGAAAAAAAAATAACAATTTAAATCGATAATAGAAACAATTTTGAACAGTTTAATGAAGACTATATTAGGATGCTAAAATTATACAAGTATGTATGCTGAATTTATTTTATTAATTATTAGTTAGAGAAGTCCGATGATAGAATTTTAAACTATAACATTTCCGAATTTCTTGCAGATTACTTAGCTTATCTGTATTATTTAAAAATACATATAAAATCGGTATACACTAAATTATAATATTAAACTAAAAGTTATATATTCTATATAATAATTTATGATTTAATACTATTGCTTATAGTTTAATTTAATTTATTTGACATATCATAGAATTAATTAATTAAACTTTTTTTTTCAAAACAAATAAAATAAATAAAACAAACACGAAGTGAACTTAAATAAATGCTTGTAATAATTTGACTTACTTTATATTTTCAATTTGCTAAACATTTTTATATAGGTAAGTAACTTTTCATATACTTATATTGTATTATATATTTATAAAAATATTTATATTATATTTATTTATGAAGCTTAAGGGCATATTTTACTATCTCGGTCTTAAAAACGTACGATATACAAATTTGCGTTCAGCAGGGACAACTTTGTGCTGTTTTTTTTTAATGTTAGAATGAATTGACCTATTATCAAACTTCCAGATAAAAACATTATCTGTAATATAACATTGTTCATAAAAACCATGCAGGTAGTTTTTTACATTTTAATCTCACCATTCCTACTATACAGTATTTTTTTTTATTTATAAATATATGAAATTTATTTAAATTTAAATAGTAAATACATTAAAAAATGTGTACGCAAATAATTTGTTTTGATCGTCAAAATTAAAAATGAACTATACAATTTTATTAAATTTCATCAGAAAGTAGTAAAATACACACAATTATACTTCTAATATATTATGTTATTAAACTTTTTAAAAATTTTTAATTTTAAAAATGTAAAATATGTATGAATATGAACAATTTTTTTATTCGTCATATTAGTATCTTTTGTTACATCAGGTTTGACTAAAATGTAAAAAATTACTATTATTATTATTTTTTTTTTAATTTTAACGCTTTAAAATCAAATACACATTATACACATATAAAAAAATCTACGTAGGTCTAGTTTCTTCAAGAAAAAAAAAATAACACCTATCATGATTATATATAGTTAATAGACTTACGAGGTAACTATTGTAACTGAAAAACATGTGTAACTATGTCGCCATGCTAAACATCTCAAAAATATTAAATACGACGTAACCATTTTTATATCCAAAACAGCATATTATTTTAAAGGGAAAAAAAACATTATACCGGAAACAAATTTGTGTTAGTAACCGTGACGAAAAGTGTATTGTTGAATGGTTACTAACAAATGCGAATGTAATAAAAAATGTCTCAATGTCAGGACCTATTTGTATTATTAATATTAACCTTCGAAATTTGTTGCTTCGAAGCACCATATAATAACACATTATAATCAATAAATCAAAATTTATAAATGTAGTTATAGATAATGCAACTTAAAAATTATTGCGAAAAGTTTAAATTTATTTTAATTTTTCGTAATATACATTACGTATATTTTCATTTGCCCGTTTTTTCATTGAGTTTGTATTTAATTATAGCCGTAAAAGTGTTATATAAATATTATCGCTATGGCTACTACATGAATAGAGAAATTTCAGTTCAATAGAAAATGACTACAATAATACACGAACTCATCCGTTGCTTTAATAAAATCACGCCTGTATTTACAATAACTTTTATTGTTTCATGATAAAATAAAAATAATTTGTTTTCTGAGTTTAATCGTGACTAAAATCTACCTCATATTAAATATTACATCACAAATTATTATATAATATACTTATTATATGACCTCAAAAATGTGACTAAATTAAACTTTTAAATTCAGATCGTAGTAAGATTAATTGGAATTATTGGTTTTACTATGGATGTATGTTTTTATATTTTTTCAGATCCGGAGCGTAATCCAACATTTTGTTTTTTTTGTTCTTTGTTATTTTTTTTTTTTTTTGTTGTGCGTTTATGAGCAACTTTTTATCAGAAACCATGTTCCTATGTACCAAGTGTAGCATCTTTTCTGATTGGAAATTTTATCTTATTAGTACTTTGAGAGGTCATTTTTTGATTTTCGAAACGGTATTCAAAATAATTGAGAAAAAACCGGAAACAAAATTTAGGTAAAGCAAATATTTACGACGCGCCACGGTGATACCGTTTCACTGTTTTCAATTTTTTCAAACTATGTTTTTATCAAAAATATTAGAGAAATGACAATAAATATTTTTTGTTGCATTTGTAATCTATTTATAGTGGTACTTAATGCAGGGGTGGATTAACGAATAGACCAATCAGGCCTGGGCCCATGAGTGCCATAATTTTAAGTTGTAAAAGGGGCACAAATATTTGTTTGCTTCCATTATAAACAAACAATAGAAACCCGTAATTTCATTGAATTTTAATTGAATTATATCTTCATAGATGGTGTTTGAAGTCTGTGGCTGCCAGTGGCCTATATTACGTAGGAAATCGTAAATTAATATTCTTATCGGTTTTAACTTATCATGTTCTATAATTATACGGGGTCTACAATAAAATCAGATTGAATGCACTATCTCTATTAAATATAAAAAAATAAACTACTTCAAAGCTTGGATTATTCTAAAATAGTAACTGAATTCAGTACCAGGAAATCCAGAAAAAAAAATTAATTTAAATTAGTATTTTATGTAAATTACTATAAGTAATTAGTATAATTATAATTCTTAGTTACTGAACACTTATTTTTATTGTGCTTTGTTTTTATACATTTTTTTTCAATGTAAAATGCATGTTTAAAAAAAAAATACAAGAGATTTTAAATACTGAGCTGAGCGAGGAATGTATTGGTTTTACAATGATGTTTATTTTTTTTTCCTATACAATTTTCTATCAGCAATTTTACTCAACAACAATAAATATAATAATGGCACCATTTTATACAAGGCGCTAAGGGTGTTAAATTTCTTAATCCGGTTCTGACTCTGGGGATACAATTGTTAAACTAGACACAGATACTTAATAATTTAATTCAAGATTCAATGTAAGTTTATCTTAGTAGTTAAAAAAAGTTAAGCGTAGTATAGTAGTGTTTTTTTCATAAACGTTTTCAGATCAAATTTTGACGAAAATCGTAAATATTGCTGCCTTTCAGAACATGTTTAACCAAACTTCGCTCCTAACCGTTTTTCATTAACAATGAAGTTTATCATTGTTTACAGGTATTAATTAAATCCTACTTTTCCAACTTCCCACCTACAATAGTAGCTCATCCGTCCCCAGTATCAACTCTTTTTTTTTTATTATTTATTATTATTATTATTTTTTTTTTTTTTTTAGAAACCAACAACTATTATACACAATACAGGTGCAAAATCGTGAATTAGTAAAATCATATAGATGACTTGATGTGCTTAAGCTGGACTCAAGCATGCACCACCATACACCTGCTGTGGAGTGTGCTGTATATAAGCGTCGGCGCTGTTCAAATAGTTGCAGGCATATTTTTCCTATTCACAGTACCCGTGCTCAGAATAGGATCAAATATATGGACAGGGTCCTGGGTAACTATTATAATTTTCGATAAAAAAATAATACATAGGAAATTTAACCAAACTTAAATTTCTTACATTATTATAAATATATTTAATTATTATTATTAAATTTATAATAGATACCTATCCAACCTAACCTATGTTTAAATTATATGCATTTATTATTTTTTAACAATTGTATTTATTTTTATTTTGTTCAGAACGTGTTCTTTGGAGTCGGAGGAGCAGTTTTCTCGTGTGTAGGTGATTGGACAGCAGCCAAACAAAGAGGCTTGTTATGTATCACTATAACCATCTTAATCATGAACATAGTAAATTTTATCATATTGGAAATCGGAGAATGGAGATTCCTACAATCAGAATCCGCAAAACATATCATGTCAAAAGAAGGCTTGGAAACTTTAGTGTCATACGGTAAATTTTCTTTGAATTATTGTTTTTATTTTGGCATTTTATCCAAATAATAATTTTATATCTTAATACAGCGTGACGGATATTCTGCAGTAAAAATACTTACCTAATTAATGACTTGTGTCTTTAAAACTTAGTAAATTAATGTTTTTACATTTAAAAAAAAAATTACCTTAGTAGTATATATTTGTATGTTCTATCCCGCAGCAAAACGCCCCATGAAACCTAAAAATTTGGCCTCTCTGATTTGGGTTCTTTTAAAGCATCAAAACGTTCCATTCGAAATTGTATAATTTTACTCATATTTTAAATATTATTTTATTTTTCCAAGTTTTTAAACTGATTTTATTAAATTATATTTTTTTCGCAAACGTATACGATAAATTATTTTCAATTTTCAATCGTGGATCAGCCATTAAATAAAACACGCTGTATGTTTAAATTAAACATTTGTATTTATTAAACGTTTTATTTAGCGGCTAATCCACGATTAAAACTTGAAAATAATTTACCTTTTACATTTGTAAATAAAATATAATTTATAAAAACCCGTTTAAAAACACGAGAAAAATAAAAAAAAAAATAAATTTAATAATGTAGCCAAATCAGAGAGGCCAAAATTGTAATGTTTCACGAGGCGTTTTGCTGCGGGATAGAACATACTAATATATACTACTCACCTTATGGTTAGATTGGTGATCAATATTAATATTAATCTTGAGTACCGTACTAAACAATAGTATATTGGTATCTATACTTAGACAAAAAACATCCGACATTATAATATGATGTCATAAACGTATGATAATATAAAATACATTAACAAAATAAGCGCCTACCTAAATGAGAACTGGACATGGCGTACTGCGGAAAATATGATGAGAAAAAATGTAGAATCAATACCGAGGTCTATATTTTGTGATTAACAATTTTAATTTATAATATACAACGTGATCAGCATAACGTAATACACTCATTATCTCGGAAAAGTATTAACTTTTTTCGGACTTGTTTTTTAGAACATTTAAGAAATACCTAAGCAGCTCTTTGTTACATTATCGTTATTTTTTGTCACCTTTATGGCCTATTTTAACCATTACTCATTTATAATTTTCGAATAGTTACCTTATATACCTATTTAAAATTCCATAAACAGATGAAGTTTTAGTTTAAATACATGTTGGTGTTGACATTTTTAATTTCCAGACTAAGTTGATAACGTAAGACACTCTACGTTATGTTGATCACTCTGTACTATAAAAACCTATTATATACCTATAAATACCTATTAGATAGGTACCTATTCAATTTAATTTTTTTTCATAATATATGATTCTATAATAATATTGTCATAATTGTTCTCCTATGCAAGTGAATAACTGATAATAAAATTCAAAAAGATATAAGATTTATATTTATATAAAAAAGTATAATATGTATATTGATATAATGAGTATTATATTAATTTGTTTTACAGCTCGTTATACTACCAGTTTAAGCACATTAGTGGCCATAATCGGTGCATTTTTCGATTCTCAGATAACATTCTGTTGTATGCTGCGTGCAAATAAAACACAACAAAAACTCGAACCAGATAACAATAATTCAGACGCCGATTACATTATGCCAAGGGTATGTTTTTACATATCAATACTTGTATAATATAACACATTATTATTTTAAAATAATTTAATTGTTAAAAAATACAATACAATATGTATATGCAAAATTTATATGTAATTACAAGAAATAAGTAGATAAAAAACCCGTAAACCTAGACTAAAATACAAGAAAAATAATTAGGTGTAAATTTTAAAATCTGAATTTATCAAAGTATTACCTATGCGATTTACCAAGAAGTGTATTTTTTTCGGGAAACACTTTTCCACTAAATAAACAATGTTCCAATAGTTCACGTCACACAGTGGAAGGAATACGAGTTCTAGCTGACCAAAAATAGAAAAAGTTACCACCCCGTAATTATTGATTATAATCATTATGGCTATTATATTATCTGACGATGATAAATATATCGCAATATTAAATAACCATTAAATACTAAACAGGTAAGGCTCACTCAGATTGTTTAATTTTAAAGCCAGAACATGGAGTGTACCTCTGTAATAATAGTTATTTTCGCTATTTTTGTATTTAATAGCATTTCTTATTTTTAACAAAAATGGATCAACATATTGTACCGAGTAAGTGTTTTGGTTTTTGTTAGTATCATTATATATATTGAAATATGAAAAAAAGGCATATATATCATGTTATTACAAAAAATCTTCTTTATTTACATATAATGGAGTGGGCTATTTAATGAGGGGCTCTGGAGGGTAACCGTTATTTTTTTTCCATATATTGTATGTATTTAATAATGTTGTACCGAAAGCTTGTTTTGAAAGCAAATTTGACACCTTTTTAATTATGAATTAAATTGTAGCCATTTTTTATTTTTTCTTATAGATAAAACTGACATTGAAAGAAAAATATCAAATCGTTGTTTTGATATTTAAAGTTTTTAAAAATGTAAATGGTAGTTTTTATAACCGTGAAGCTCGAAGTGTCTTAATCCTTGACTATACATTTAAGAAATACATTTGGCAATAAATGAGATTTTGAAGATCATTTTTAAAAAAATGTGAAAGGAAAAATTGAAGAATTTTGTAGCCTATAAAAATTATGAACTATTAACTATAGTTAATGAGAAATATGTTTTATTTATAATATCTGACGGGTACAAGAAAAAAGACTTTTATAATTTATAATTAATCTCGCATTAAATGTTCAAGCATTCAAGTATTTCTATTCTACCAAACTATTTAATCTAAATAATACTTACCAAATTAAAACTAAAACAACTAAAAAATCCCAAATGCCTATAAATAGCCGAAACTTTGCCAGAAAGTTTTGAACATTTTACCACGTTTAGAAAAGATTTATAAAAGTATTCTTTGAAAATCTTAGCTAAATTTATTTTTATCAACTTACAACCAATATACAAAATCAAAAATAATGAAACTGTGAGTCTTTAACTTTCTTTTTTTTCCCAATTATTAAGAAAACTACTTTGAAAATAAAAATAAAAATTGTACATACACAAACTAGACAAAGTTTTCTTTCAGAAAAGATGCTGATCTTAAAATTTGGACTAAGATTTCTGGTAGAAAACAATTTTGGCCAGCTAGAATTCATATTCCTCCCACTGTGCGACGTAAGATGCAAATTTTCCCTCGATGGTATACTTAAATAAATAGTCTAAATTCCCATTAATTATTCTAAAAATAAAAAAAATTACAACAAATTATGTTACATTGATTTTTTTTTTTTGTTGATTTAAGAATTACCTCGGCTACAAAAAAAAAAAAACACGACGACTTTAATAATATTAATCTTACCAGTTGGCTGAGATTTAGGGTTGTTAGTGGCGTCTTTATCCGCTTCCATACCTTTTTGTATGCATATTATATAAATCATTAAATTACTTATATTATTGTATATTGGACTATATGTCCGTAAGTAAATTAATTAAATTAATTATACCGAATATATAGGTATTAATTGATAATTTAAATTATCAAAAAAATAAATAAATAATCCATATTTGTATACATAGATAATAAATAAATAGATAGGCTACTCATGTTACAATTTTATGTGAGGCGATGTTCTCGGAGGAGTGGTAAACTAAAGCGATTTATCATTTATCACTATGTAGGTAAAACGCCTCATTTTATGAAACTTGCAGTAACTATACCCGATGTCCCTCTTGAAACATTAAAATACTAATCAAATATGGATAGTAAAATAATCTTATCTTATCAGTTAATAATAAATAATATCATCAAACACGGTCCATGGTGTAACCCATAGAATATTAGTACTACTCTGGTGTGACCGCGGTAACGTGAAGTATGATATTAAAGACAGTTTGGATTTTAAATTGATAAACTGTATACTGACATTTTCATCATCCGCCTCCCAGAAATAATTTTAAATATGCAACTGGCTCCACTCAGTACAGTTTTTTGATCGTATTGATTTTCCGTTGCTTTCAGTATATAAACTAAATTGCTCTGTAATATCTTATTCAAACCTTTAAAACTTCCCACAACAGCGTGCCCTAATACCCATGGTGCGAACATTGTGAAATATATCCGGCAATTTTTTTTTTTTAAATTTAATCTAATATTTATATATAGCCCAGACACTCAGTTAATTAGAACATTTAAAAAATCACATTATTAATTATCATAAAGTTAACACTATATCATAAATTAATGATTATGTACATGTTGTACAGTATACACCCAGTGGATCCAGGAGGAGAACACAGGGGCACACCCCCCCCCTTTTAATGAACTACAGTTTTTATTTATATATTTTATATTAATTTGATATATAATGTATAATTAATTTAATGAAAATATAAAAATATAAATAATGTGTCCCTTCACTAAAAAAATGTCTGGACCCGCCGCTATATACACCCATAGACGTATTTTGAAATCTAATATTTAGTCTTTTATAGATCTAAAATACAAGACTCATGTGCAATATACCTTAATCAGCCGCATACTCATATTGTTATATAGTGATAAATAATAATATTCACGTACAAATACATAATTTTCATCAAAAAATAAATAGAAAAAACATAGGTACATAGATACTTTTTTATAAAAAAAATTGTTAATAGCTTTTCAGAAATAACTTAAATTTCAACATATTAACGAAGTTGTTTTCTAGCATTCTATGATTTATTTTACTAATTTTTACTAGTATAAGTTAAAAATTTTCAAAAAAGTAACTTATAACTAAATATTTTTAACTATACATAAATTATAACGACTGCCTAAAGTAAAGTTAATAATATAATAAATACCTTATCATTTATCTATCGCCGTACACAAATGTTAGGTACTCCACTACTCTCTTCCAACGCAAACTTAAAAGTAGATGTTCCACTTTTAAGTTTGCGGTTTAACGGAAATCAAAAACTTCAACACTAACATTAATTTTAACTAATACTCCATCTATTTATAGAATTTTTAATATATGTTGTCATTTAAAAATCAAAATTAGGTAGTGTTTTTACCCCCAAAAATAAGGGTGACAAAAAATAACATAAATATAAAATTGTAGAGCTGCTTGTTTCTTAAATGTTCTAGAAAACAAATTCCAGAAAAAATTATTAGTTGAGTGTACTCACTTCAATGGATCACCTGGTATATATAGATATAATATATATATTATTTATTAAATTTATAAGGTGCCCAAGCTGTAATTTCTGCTATAAAATCTGCAGTTAAAAGTTAACAATTTGAAATTTAGTTATTTAGGTACCATGTACATCTACTACAATAAATATGGTACAATAATAAAAATTTCATGGCTTAATTAAGTTTATTTTGTATGATGTAATTAAAACAAATGGGTATTTATAATTGAGCTAAATTAAGAATTTATAATTTCGAAACTTTTATGATGTATATAATGTACGCTGTTTAGGTCTTGTCTGTGTTTTCCTATAAAACAAAGGTAATTGTACAACATATTCATTTACCAAATTGTGTTATTCACTTTTATACATGGGTTGCCACTATGCTAGTGACGATGGGGCCAATCTCTTTACTAAATTCCATAAACTTTTTAAGGTGTTAGGTACATATTCCTTTAGGAATACTGTAGTAACATACAAGGTGATTTATTTATAAACCTTTTGTACATCTCTCAGAGAATTTTAAGTGAATTTGATTTCTGTTTTTTTTTTTCGAACATTATGGAATCATTTCATCTTTATTTTAACACCACTATTTTTAATTTGTTACCCCTACTCCTTATACCTTAAATGAGTATACATATACAATTTTTTAATTACTGATTATAAACTTGTTTTCAAATAGGAACCCTCCCCTTTTTAAGAACCACTTTATACAGTATGTATTCTCTGAGATGCAACTTAGTGATGGTGCCTGAGATGTTGAGTATTTGCACTCATAGCCCTTCCAGAGATTACTCAAGGTTGAAAAAAAAAGTGCAAACAAATTCTAATGTCCCAGTGAGATTTGAGTCAGTGAATATTAGACCACTTACGGTTCCTAACCTAGCACCTAACTTATCAAGCTACGCCAATTTATCTATGGGTATTAACATTTACCGATAATAGAAAATACTGAATATCACTTACACTTACTTCTATTATTCAATATATTAGATAATACATTTTTTTTTATAACTGCAAAAGAAATATTGGCGATTGCCATTAATGCTTTTGATGAACAAACCTTAAATATGCGTTATGGCAAAATATTTTTACTGGGCATCTCAAGTCTGAAATTCCAATAAATTTAGAACATTTATAGGTAGGTCTATTAACACCAAATTTTTCTTTATCTAAATTTGATTTAAGTTCTAATGCTTTTAAATCAATTGTATGGAAGGATTCGTTAAACTTTTAAATTTGCATTTATATTATGAACTAAATTTTAAAAGTTTAAACATTTTAAAATTTTAAAAGTTAAATAAAGAATGGATTGGGAATTGGTGGAGCAAAAGTGTTCGCCAAATCATTTATAATTACTGAGATAAGTACTGCCTAACTAAATAGGCAGTAGCATAGGCAGAGGTTTGGTTCTAGGGTTTTAACCCCCCCCCTCCAAAATCCTCCTTCAGCTAATTTTTTTTTTGTATTAATATTGATATTTTATAGTAAGAAGTATTAAAATTATTACGAAATCTAATGTGTCGGTAAATATCCATAATGATTTAGTTATAAAAATATATCGCAGCGAACAGAATCTAAAATACCGAAAATTCACTTAACCCCGTCTTCCCTGAGACCAAAGTGTTATTACGTGAGATTTTGTCAGATTTATGAACAATTTTGCTATAAAAGAAATGAATATCTGCGATTAAGATAGATAGGTATCTAATTTATTTCTGCAATATAATTTCAAACAAATAACATCACACTGTCTGTGTTGGACCTTGTCAACCAGTGGCGCGTTCGGATTTTGACCGGATAAGGGGAATACTCTTTTTTAAATAATCAAGGTTTTTCCGAATAAAAGATTTATTACATATATTATACATTAAAATATATTAAAATATCATTATATGTTATAGTATTTGATTTGCTAAGAATCATTTTCACGAAAAAAATCCCGCAAGGGATAATATAGTTTTCCACTGACGACATTCTTATTTATATAGTACAGCAAAGAAAACAATATTATTATTCATCTTACGTTTTTCAGTGGTGTATTTATGAGGGGAGGCACAAAGGACTATGACTTCTCCTTCATTGGCCGTCCCTATGCTATAAAGCATATTATATAAGCGTCGAGTCACCTGATGAGACGTCCAATCTACGTTTGCACGCAATACAATTATTTGGATAAATATGCGACAAATACACTCACTCATGCGTATATCTTGTAGCTAATCAAGACCCCTTATATAGAGATAATACTTATACATCACTTATATGTGTTTAAAATTATTGATATATGCACATACAGCGCCATTTATATAATTTCTTTAGGGTTAGGTTAAATTAAGATTATTATTTTTAAAACAATACTTTTCGTTTAATACTGATTTGATCTAAAATACAATAATAAGAACAAGTAAATAATTATAATTCTATAATTCTATATATTATTTTATATAATTATACAGTTATTATATTAATACACGAGTATACAATGTCTTATATCAAGTCGTCGTTTGTTTTTGTGTGTAAATCGCAGGTAAAATCCGAGTGTGTGCTGAGGTCGAACAGCACCTCCAGGAAAACATCAGACAACAATTATGGACGTTCGTGGGTGTTCGAGTCGGACGGCACTACAGGGCCAGGGGGCTGTAACACGTACCCGTCGACAGAATCGCTAAGTGCGCTCGACCATAGACCGGCTGGAATGGCGGCCGCAGCCACTGTATGCAATCGAACGGTGACATTGAAGCGCAGGGCGAAGCCAGTGACACCGGTAGTGATCGTCGAGATGCAGGACGGCTTGAGCAGCGGCCGGCCGACGCAGTTAATGACCAGCTTCTCGCGGACGCCGTCACCAGTAGGTCTGTCAGAGAGCTCGTCACAAGACTCCATGTTTAACTGCACCATCACCACCGGCACCATCACCGCCGGCACCAACACCGCTGGCATCTCTAATACGACCGCCGTCGTCGGAATGGCAGCTCCTATTTACGAGTGCCTAGAGAAGCTGACCGAGCCGTCCGTGTACAGATCCCGTCTGAACGCCATGACAGCCCTGTCGGCCAGTATCCAGGAAGCCATTGTAACTGCCGAACGGCCTCCCCGAAGTCTGTCGCCCAGGCCACCCCCAGCTGCCGAGCCCGTACAGTACGCCTCACTCATGGAAGAGTTACAAAAAACCATCGGTAACCGGCTGTCCAAACATATCGAATCGCCCGAAGAAAGGTATGCGTAATGCGATTGGCGTCGCATTCCCTATAATAGTTACTTGGTACAATATCCAGTGATAACACAGACTTTTTTTTAGATAATATAGAGTTTTAGATAGATAGATAGATAGGATTGACTCGTATATGAACGTGCGTGATGTCATTTTTTGATTTTTTCAAACTACTCGTATGTTTTCTAAAAGAAATATTGCTTTAATCAAAAATTGGCTAAAGACCTTATTTGTTGAATTCTAGATCTTTATGCTCACGAATAAAGTCGTTTTTTGATTTTCTGAGCAGTTTTTGTAATAATTGAAAAAACTAGAAAAAGATAAAAAATGAAAACTAATAAATTTACGGCGTCAGGATTCCTTTATTTTAAATTTTAAATTTGGAGTGGAGCGAGGAATGTATTAGCTTTACAGTAATGTTTATTTTTTTTCCTGTAAACTACTTTTCTACCATACATTTTGCTCCGATTTTCAAATGTAATACTTTGAAACTTGACTGGGGTACTTTAAAATTTAAATTTTTTTATTTTAAGTCCCCCCTCTTACAAAAAAAAAAAATTAAAAATATTGAATAAAACAAAATTTATTTCAAGTGCTAAATAGTTCTGTTAAACCCTGTACAACAAACTAACTACAAGAATATTTTATAAACAAAAACACAAATTTGAATATGTAAGTGGACGTTTCAATTTATTTTATTTTATTCTAGATTCAGTGCTGAATTAGACGACGTACTACAAGATATCCAAGATTTGGAATCTCCAAACGATGAATCTCCAAACAGAGAATCTCCAAATGGCCATAGCAACGACCGGACAGACGACAGTAGCGATAGTGATGCAGCTAGCATGAAGACTACTAAAACAGTTATATTAAATGGTAAGAATGCTGATGACTTAGGTTACGTATCCATGCGCAAAGACTGCGCACACTTGTTAAGCGTGTACGACCAAGTAGAATGTGAATTACCTGAAGAACTACCCGAGGAAACAAACAACAACATTATCGGGTTAGATATCACACCTAAATCTCCTAATAAAGGGTGGAAGTCGTTGTCGACCATATTAAAACGAAAACATAGAGGTGCTCTTACTTTAACACCCGAAATCGAAGCATCTATAGTGAAATCTGAATGTTTGGCGTACTTAACAGATAAAGAGTTGATTGAACGATATGACCAAAATAAAATGGTCCACAGGGTAAGATGTCACATACCTTACGATGATAATAATGGTGATGGTGTTACGCGTTTGCATGTAAACATTTTTATGTCAATTGAAAAGCATGGGTTTATTATTGGTGCTTTAAATCTTTAATATTACCTACTTTACAGGGTGATTAACATAACTTAAGATATTTGCATTTCTCAAGAAGAGTGTCTTACGTTATATTGATCTCTTTGTATTTAATCACACATTTTAATTGTCATCATGCATCAAGATATATTTTCGAAAAACACTTTTTAGACAGTTGAAATTCATACAAATTTGCAGAGAGAATCATTGAGATAAGAAATTTGATGAGGATGGTACTTTATACAGATTTTTTTTTTTAATTTGAATTTCTTAGTCTAATGCCCTGAAAATAACGTAAAACAGAACATTGTCGGTTTTCAAACGCAATTGTTTGATATTGCTTTCAGTTCAAAACCAATAAAATATCTACCTACTATAGGTAAATTGTTTGCTTTTGTGACCCACCCAAAACGACGAATAAATTCTAATCAATGGATCCAAAATCTGAAGGTATATTAATATTTTAGCATTTTTAATTTCGTGTATTTTATGATAGTCAGGAATACGAAAAAAAAAATAAAGACAATTCAATGTACCTAAGTATATGTAATTCATGAGTTATTAAAAGTTTTAAAAATGTTCAATTTTTCATTTAAACGAATTTGCTTCGTAAAAATTAAAATTATTATATTAGAAAAAATACTTAATATTTAAAGACAATTAATGGGCGTTCTTGGAATTTAAAATGTATTTGTTTGTATTATAACTATGTCATTATTATTGTATGAATAGTGTCTAGTCGTATGTTCGTCATACATGACGGGTTATAGTGGTTATTGAAATGTTTAAAATGTCATAGTACTAAATTTAAATGATGCAAATCGTTATGACAATTTTTACGTACGAATATTAATGAAACCAAACTTTTCAACGAAAGTTTTATTTCATTGTTAACATTGAGATGATCATTATTATATACAGACTAGCTATGCACTGACTTATACGTAGACTAAAATATAATAAATGCTATTGAATGATTAAATATTAATAATTGCTAATAATTTATCGTACGTTGTACACTCTCATCTGATAAAAGTTGACTGTAAGAGCCGATAAAATCTTGACGTGTATTTACGATTTAGGAAATTGGGTGCACTATAACACAAAGTTGCATTGCAGTCGTAATTATTACAAAGAATAAATTATAAATATCTTTAACGCAGAACCGTATTTAGGTAAGGACAATAGGGGACAATTGCCCCGGGCATCCGAATTTATGGACCAGCTTTAATTTGTATAAAGATATAAAAATATAAAGAGATCTTGGATTGATCGGGTGGCAGGCGGTGATGACCTTTTTTTTTCATCACATTTTTTTTGTTTCCCCAAGGCTGCAAATTCCTAAATACGATCTTAGTATGATGTGGGTACAATTTTTTGATTAAAAAGATTTCATACCTGCATGTGTTATCTCCGTCTTACTAATATAGCAAATTTAAGTTACTTAGAATACAAATTGGAGTTAAATCGCAAGTAACAAAATTTAATGAATTAAAGTTATTTTAATAATGCAAAAACTAACATGGCTATAACTTATTTTTATATTTTTCTTTTTAGAAAAAAGTTACAAACATCTTCTCTATACATTTTGTTAGGTTTTTGTGTTTTAACTTCAATTCCAACCCAAACGACATAGTTTATAAAAATAAGAATTGAGAATCAGAGAAACAGCGTTATGGACAAACGAATGGATCTGGTCTTTTATACAGTTAAGATTTATCTAAAATTTGATAATTTGATAAAACATATAGATACTAATTTTATAAATCGAATGTAATTTAATTAACTAACAATTTGTATAAATACAAATTTGATTGACGTGCATTATGACAGTAGGTATACACTATACAGTATACATGCATAGATGACTGATGACTTTTAAGTTTCAAATACAATTATACAACACAACCTACATATAATATAATAGGTATACATATATATCTTGCAGTTTCAAAAAATAAAAAAAAAAATAAAGAAATTGAAAACTAACATAATATGTTATAGTGTACTTATAAACAATATCTAACGCATAAAGAACTATAATGAATAAGTGTTCAAGGTTTTAATTTATATTGTATTAATCTGGTAAGCAAAAGGCAGGTATCTATACTAACCTGATAGTCAAAACCCTTTGGCTTTTTTTTATTGTACTGTATGCATTATTATGTAAATAATAAAATATATCGGTGATGGTTTAAACTAATAATAAATATTACGTATAATAATATAATGTATTATAGAAAAACAAAATAATAAAAGATGAAACTATTGCCTATAGAATATGCAGTATCTTTATTATATTTCAATTTCAAAATAATTATCAAAGTCATCAAAGTTATTACAATTTAATTATTGGTATATGATGTTTAAATTATAATACGAGTAAAGTATATTGAGGAACTGAAAGCTGGTTTTCATATTGCTAGTACAGTAGTACACGTACCTACACTTGTACACTAAACGCATAACATCTCATTATCACTTAGACCATTGGTTACCAACTACGACCCGCAGGTCAAATCCGGCCCTCGATTATTTATTAATCATCTCATCAAAGACCAAAGTATTATATCAAAATTTAAAAAAAATAACTTCAAATTTATAACAAAATTCAGGAACTTATTATTATTATTAACTTATTATTATTTTAACATTTATAACATATTCATTGGTAATTCATTCTATTAACCATCCACAAAAAACATAATATTACATTATCATTTATTAGTCTATAGGAAACGGATTTATATACACTTAAATCCGATAAAGCACTTATATCATCAAAAAGCATTCAGAAATATTTAAAATACCAAAAGTGGTAGAGTGAGAAATTTTTAACCCTTCTACCATTATTGGTCTTTTAAATATTTTTTAAGTGATCTTTTTAGGGTTTTTATGACGTTTTTAAGCTCTTTTTTTGTGCATATAACTCCGTTCCCTAGTTATTTCCAAAAATAACCTTATATTATAGGTATATATATTAGGGTGTTCCTTGTTTTTGGATCAAGTTTCTAAGTGAAAAAACAAAATCAAAATTAATTTTCAAGATTTCCAGTAATTTTTCAGATTTTTATTTTGACACCAAATAGTGACAAACGAGAATTGAATTTTCCTGTTTAAAATATACGTTTTTCTACAATGTTTAAGCCTTTGATTTATCCCTATATGCTCAATATATCTGAAAAAATTCTTAACTGGTAGGAATACCTCTTTTCGAGGAAAAGAACCTAATTTTGATGAAGTAATACGCAATGTAAAAAATTACAGGATTTTTAAAGAATTATTTTGAACTAGTTTTTCACTTGGAAACTTTCAACTCAAATAAGAAACGCCCCAATTTATGTATATTTTGTAATTTAAACAAATGTTAACTTTTGTAACTATTATGTATTATAAAAAAAAGAATTTGCTTAACAAATGGTGGTTATTTTTCTCACTAATACTTTTTATTGTGTTTTACACACTAATGCAGATTTTATATTTTCAGCAAATCGAAGAAAAAGTTTGGAAACAAATTAATGGTGCTTCGGAAACCGATTCCCCTTGCTGACCGACTGATGAATTGTGTTTATTTGGTTAATAACTTATATTTAAATTATTATAATTGTCTATATTGTATACAAATTTTTATTTTGTGCTATTAATCCTATTTAAAACAGTATGCGATATACAAGTGATCCTTCCTGAATTATATTAAACATGTTATTATATTCGATACTATTCTATTAATCTATATTATTATTATTATAAAATATATATATTTATTATATATTTGCCGTTCTATAAATCATTATTCCTAGTAAGCAAAATATTAAAATTAAAAAAAGAATTAAAAACATAAACAAAATTTATACAATGTACTTTTTTCTTTTTTTCTTTTTTTTTTTGTAACTGTCTTAAATATTTTCTCTCTAGGTTATAAATTTATATTATACAATTAACTTTATAATAAATATATGAATTATTATTGATAAAATTTTGAATTTTGTTCAAGTTCAAAAATTGTGTTCGAAAATATAATAATATAATAATATATTATTAATATTACTATAAAAAGACTAGTAGAATAGGTAATATATTATAGTTTTTACTCTTGAATATAGATCAAAGTTACAATTTATTATTAATATTTTATCTCATGTTCATATGTATAATTATATATACCATTATAAATTTGTTATTTATTTTTGACTGTGATTTTGTTGTTTATTAATATATTAATATTTTAGGTATGTATATTATTATATGCCTATATAATATTAATATATGTATATTTAAAATATATAAAACTTGTTAGTTATAATAGATATATTTAATATTTATGAAAAATGTTAGAAATAAATATAAAAATATTAGTTACTATGTGAGTATATATATATATATAAATAAAAGGTTTATAAAATATGTAGAGAAATACTAAGTACCCTTAGTGATAATTTATAAATATAATTATATTATTACTAAATAAACCTATTTTCTTCTTCATTTTCTCCTTCTCTTTCACGATCATCCCAAATATTTAGGGCCATCCATTTAAGTCCTAAACTTCAATTTGACCAGATCTCCCACATCATTTTCGTACCTATGTACTTATCAGGCGTTCTCTGTCATTCTCAATCGCATTTAACCACCCAGCGGCGAATTTAGACATTATTTTAAAGGGGAGCACATTATTTATATTGACAGTAAATAAACTATAAATTATTATCTTTTTCCTTACATTTATTTTCATTACAATTCTTACTGCTCCCAATTCAGAGCTCCTCATGACCTGCCCAAACCATCTCAGTCTATTTACTCTCAATTTGTCCACTACTGAAACTACGCCTAGGCTACTTTTTATATAAGTATTCGTTAGTTGTTCCAAATCCTATCTTCTCTCGTCATTCCACTCATCTATCTAAGTATTCTCATTTCCACTACACTCATTCTCACTCATTTAGTCACAACTAGTACGTGCCATGAACATAATGGTCATATATTTATAATTGTGCCGCGGCCATGAGTATCTATATGGAAGTATATGATGACGATTAACTATTATGATCTTTACCGATAAGAAAAAAATGCTTTAAAATATACATCGATTTAAATACAACGATTATACCTATTTCTGGACTAGGTAATGACTATGCCAAATCTCAATGTAAGTTCACTTCTCTTGGGGGGAGTGTGATCGCCTCTGTTGCCCCTCAATAAAGACGCTCCTGATCCACTCAGAATCGTTTTTCGTTAGCATTGGTTAATCGTTTCGTAAGGATATAAATTATATTAATCCTCTACCTTCCCAACTTCTCTACATCTATAAGAGTGGCCCACCCATTGTGCAAAGTATGTACATTTGTTTTTTATGATTTGTCAATTTTATTTCATTTATTTGTTAATTTAAACGCCAAAACGATCAATTTCGTACAAGATGATCTAAAGTTAAGTATTTCACTAGAACTAAGTTGAAACACCTCCCACTTAGTTCTAGTTAATGCTGACACCCGTGGGGCAGGTAGCTTAGATCTACATATGGGAAATAGTTGAAAGGGCCTGAAATGTAAAAGTATTACGCATAGCACGGCGAAGGGTATTATTAAATCCATAAGAGGTATAGTAAGTACTTATAATTTATAAAGAATCCAAAATATAATATATTGTCATTTAAAATAACGTGGTCAGTGATTAAAGCGCACGCGACGTGTTAACATATTACATTTTACTAAAATGGCTGTTTTTAAAAAGTAAAACAGACAAAGGTATGTTAATGTTTAATAATTATAAATACAGTTTTGGTTCAAATAACGTAAATACATGTGAGATTCGTCGGCGTAGTGTAAAACATTCATGTTCGGCTACCTTTTTACACAATCAAAAAAAATTATTTTAAAAGAATTAGCACAAAACTATCAACTTTTTGATGGCCTAAAATGGAATGATTTTAATACTATTAGAAAAGTAATAAACAGAAGTAGATACAAAGTTTTTCCTGTTTTTCCAAGTAACATAGTTGACACACACATGGCTTTAAATACATGTGAAACTGTAACTTCAAAACACGAACCATTTGTTTTAATAAATGATCAAGACAAAAATGGTATTATTATTTTTAAAGAATGTTTACCATTCATGGTTTCCAAAATGGACATTATATACCGTTAATTTTTTGTCTACTTCCCGATAAAAAGAATGAAACATACTTGTATACCCTTAACGCAATTATTGATAAATGTAATGAAATTAATTTAAATTTCTCACCTAAATATAGAACTATTAATTTTAAACTAGCCATACACTCAGCTGTTAATGAAATTTGGCCTTTATCAAAGATCGTTGGGTGTCGTTTTCATCTAATTCAGGCGTGGTTTCGAAATATTCAATAGCATGGTTTAGCTACAGAATATAAAACAAATTCAGATATTGGCGAGTGGATTAAATACACTTTTGGTTTATTATATTTAAACCCCGAAGAAGTGTCTGATTGCTTTATTGAGTATTTGATGCTGGAATGCCCAACTGACGGTAGGGTCACTAAATATTATTATTATTTGATAAACAATTATATTTCTGAGGATAGTAGATTTACTCCTTCTCTATAGACATGTAATTCAACGAATATTCTGCTTACGACATTAATAATTTTCGTTAACTGAACAATTTTTTTTATTCAAACATTACATTATTATATAATTTAAAATTGATCTAAACTAGTCTGGGCGAAACGGGAATCACATAATAACAAAATTTGGTCAAAATGGGTATCCGGGAAAAACGGTGAGGGTCATTTTTGGGCGAAATGGGTCCCATCCCCGCAGATGGATCCCGAACGAAATTAACTGTAGCTCAGGTATGTGAAGAAGAGACTCGACGTACCCCATGATTCACAGTACCCAGTAAACAAATCTACGATTATTCTATGTAAAATAAACCGTATTAAGGCGTATGTTATTTATACATTCTAAGTAAAAATGTACAAAGTAATTGTATTTCCTGTTATTTTTACGTCAAAACTTTATGTATAAAAGAGGTAAATATTTCCTACACCGTTGAAACCTTCACGGTAAAATGTATTTATAATGATAAGTTCATACTATATTATTCTTATGTTTACGAATGAAATAAACGGGAGTGGGAGTAAGTATTTCCTATCGTAATTACACATACACAAAAGAAAAATATTATTTGGTGTGTCAAGAATAGAAAATAGTTCTGATGAATAAAAAACAAATGCTATAATTAATATTATAAACGAATAGGTAGCAAATAAAGTGCTAGCTTTAAACTGCGATACAACAGCATTTAACATAGGCCAGTAAACATAATGAATGTATTTTATTAGAATTGATGGGAAAAATATTTTATATTTACCTCGGAAATGACATATTTTAGAATTAGCGTTAAAAAGTGTAAAGGTTATTAAGTGGTTACAGTTTTATCAACATTGAAAGATTATTAGGGCCTTTTTACTGTGAAAATATGAATAACACAAGAATATATAACCTCCACCCCCCCTTCCAGTTAATCACATTTACAGACGTAAGAATAACGTAGTGTATATTTATCCCCATTGAGTAGGTTATAATAGTGTAGGATATAATTACCCTCTATATGCTATTATCAAGGAGGTGACAATAACAGTCTTCGAAGTACATAATTTATCCAGGCTACCCACTATTTAACAATTAAATCACCAACAAATTTGTTCCGCTACGCTGAAATTACATTTTAGATTCTCACTTGAGCAAAGAAACTTGTGGTTTTACAAAGTTGTTTATTTTTTTTTTTTACTGTGCTCAACTTTTCCACCACAAATCTTGCTCCAATTTCTAAGTGGTATAATAGGGAGGTTATATTTGGATTTTCTAATGTTTTCTCATCAAATGTGAAAAACCGAAAAAAAATGGGAAAATATAAGAAATATAGGTTTTAGTTAAAATATATTACGGCCTTCTTTTTCCCTGTGAACATCTTTTCTACAAGTAATTTGGCTCAGATTTATAATAATAGCAATTTTTCTGAAAGGGAATTTAACTGGGAAGGTACTTTAAAGAGGAAATTTTTCGATTTTCTAGAATTTTCCCAGCAAATGTGAAAAATCGGGAAAGAATATGGGGAAACAGAGAAAAACGTAGGAAAATTGGTACAATATTAAACAAATATTATTAAAGAAAATATATACAGCTTGTTTAATTATTTTACTATAATATGACATATTATATATTGTTGACAAAGCATCACTATCAACTGAACTCCGCTCAGAATCGTTTTTCGTTGCTTACAGGTATATATTAAATTACCTATTACAGTGGCTGCATCCATTCCCATTATCCTAGAAAGTATTTTTCTATTTAATTTTACAACCTATAAAACTACACAAAACCTCAATAATAATTCATTATAGATTATAATACATTGAAATACACAAAGTATAATTTTTTTTGGATGTCTTTATTAATGTAATATTTTATAATTTTATATGTGATAATTTCTTTTTCTCAAACTACTATAATACTTGGCTATTAAAATGTAACATTATTGTATTAATAATATAATAATTATAATACAATAATTTCATAGTTTTTAAAGTTTTTAATGTTTTAATACAAATTGTTAACGCATTTACTAATTTCGTAAATAAAATATAACATAAAATGACCAGGCCACCAGGCCAAAATCTAATCCCGGCCATTTGGAAAATTCCCATTTCCAAACCAGCCACTATGCCCCTGCTGCAAGTCGTAAAAATACTCCAGGAAGAACTTACCTCTTATATACCTCCATAAGAGATCTTACTAATAAACTCTTACTGACCAAATTTTTTTTATTGACCACAAGAAATTATATGTTGTAAAAAATGTATATTATGCATAATATCATATAATTTATATTAACAAAATAAAAAGGCTGTACAATCAAAATTTTAATTTCATATATTTTACTTAAATATTGTAAAGATACTAGCACAATAATGTACAATTAATAGTGTTTAACAAGTATTTATTTCTTTGACAGTTATTATAAATATTATACATTTTTACTACCAATACTGACACCACTGAACAATAATTTAAAAACGAATATTGAAAACAATAAGTTATTAATGTTTTTAATTATATATTAATTAAATAGGTAGGTATTGATTATTATTTATGAACTATCCATCAACAAAAAACAATTATCAATTGTGTTTAAACAAAAATAATACATTTAAACACAGAACATAACGCTCTTTTAAACACAATTTATTTTACTAAGTTGTATAAATATGTGATATAATCTGTATGTACCTAATAATAATATAAGGTTAAAAAATTACCATCACATTACATTTTATTTATAATATAGCAATCTCAACATGTAGCTATGTCAAATGAACAAATACTTTCATAAATTTAATGCAAATAGTTACAGAGATCATAATAGATAGGTACTTAGAAATTTGAATCTTCATTCTACAATGGCCTACAAATTGATTAATTGAATAATTTTATACACCTAATTTTAGGTCATATTTGCTCAAATAATTAAAGTAAGTATGTATAGGTGCATACTTATACTTGTATAATATGTTAAAGTTAATATATCATTGTAGATAAAATAAGATGATATAGATGATATAGATATTATTCTATTTTTATACATTACTCTGTCAAAATAATGATGCGAGGTTAGAATTTTCAAGTTCCACTTTTAGATAAATATATAATAATATTATAGTTTGATTAAAGATATACATACAAATATACAAATAAAAGGTGAATCTATTAACTTAAGTACTCTAAACTCAATTTGTATTTTAATTACAAGAGAAACATTTTTATTGCAAGGGCAAAACCAGATGGAAAAGATTGTTTGTTTATATGTATTTGAGAACTTGAACTAACTGCCTAACTTTCAATATATATATATATATATATATATTTTAATAATATAATAAATGATTTAAATTTAAAATAAAATATTATAGTTAAATACCTATTTAAAAATACAATGTTAATAAATGTTACAACATAAGAGTTTGAAAATATATTATTAGATAGATCTGGTATAAATATTTAAAAATATTAATTAGTGTATTTAAAATTAATGTTTCACATATAATATTTAAAGACATAAAAACATATTAACTTATTTATCATGGATATCTTCAATGGTGGATATCCCCACAAAAATATGTGCCGTTGAGGATATTTCTGAGGATCCACCAACCTACCTTTGTAAAATATATTAACAGCATAGGCGTGCTCACAGGTGTAGCACATGCAGCATATTTCTGCATCTAATTATTTTGAGACCACAGATTTTTATTTTTAAGTATACCTTCAAGTTTATTGACAGATGAAAGATTTTTTTTCTGTATGTTTGTGAAATGATTAAATATTTAAAATTATATCTTGATTCTATCATTTATCAGTACCATATATGCTTCATTAAAATAGTTACAATACCACAGCTGTTTACAATAGTATAAATAGATAAAGATGGATAAACAGTGATTAGGTAATAATAATTTAAGACGGGTTAGATACTATTAAAATTGAATACAATATCAAATGGTTTGTACTGCATCTATAATTTTTATGCAAGACAAGTTATTAGCAGCTATGATAACTAAATATTAATAAATAATGGACAATATTTTTTTTTTCTTTTTGTTAAAAGTATTATTATTAGTATTATTTTTTAATTTACTAAATAATGAGTGAAAAACAAAGAACAAAAAATTGACTATACTAATGACACTAATAATAGAATCAAGACTACTTGCCTTTTAATCCTAATAGTTATTTTTAAAATAAAAGACATTAATAATTAATAAAATAGAAATATTTGCTGCGCCTGATTGGGAACTCTGGGCACACCTATGGTTAGAAGTGATATTTAGTAAATAACTAGAAAACATAAAAACTGGAGAAAAATCAACCTTATCACATGTTATAAACTTAAGTAAATACCACTAAATTTGTTACCAACCAACTCGTCTATCCACCTACCAAATTGTGTATGTGTTGCTGAAGTAACACTTAAACCTTAGAATAGTCTTCATTGATATCATTAACTCAACTATATTGAAGTGAATTCACAAAATAGATATTTTTAAATGATTTCAATCATAAACAAATATATTGTTGTTTAATAAAATGTAATCAAAATACATTTGATCAATAATTACATGAAGTCGTTTGACATCAAAATTATTCCATTTTCATAGGACAAAAAAATATATTGCTTTGTGCATGATACAAATTTTAGAATATAGCTTGAATAAATTTAAGACGTTAATAAGAAGATACTCACTAAATATTATTTGGTCTGATGTTAAATATCGGAGTATTACTATTTTACAAAACAAATATTTAATTTAAAATCACACAAATAATTAAAAATATTGACAAGAAAAACTCAACATTTTATGTAAGGAATATATCAGATAAAGCGTAGAACTAAAATGTATCGATTGGTAACACTGGATTAGAAACATTCTTATAAACACAATCATTCATAATCATTATAATTTGTATTTCTTATAAAGTTTAATTTTATTGACTATTGTTTGAAAATTTGGTTTATTCAAAAGTTACCTAAATTCACTCATCATGTCTAATATAAGATAGCATAATTGACAAACTTCATGATCAACTGACTTGTCTGTAGCAATTTTTTGTAAAATTGCAACTCCATTCTCTTTACTGAGCATTTCACAATACTTTTTAGCTAAAAAACAAAAATACATACACAAAATTAATGTGTTTTATTTAAAACTTAAAATTAAAAATATGTACAGACCATTTTTGGTACAGACATGCAGTATTGCCCAAGCAGCCCACAACTGAACCTGTGGTGTATCAGTTGAGTTGAGTAAGCCAAAAAAAGGCTGGAAAGATCTATATGCAACCATTTCTCCCTCTGGAGGCACCCATTGTTTTACAGCGTGGCGTAGTTCAACCAAAACTTCATCTTTACAATTTACAGTATATTCATTCCAGCCAGGTTCACATGCTAAATGTGCTATTATGCCAGCAGCAAAGTAGCTTACATCAATTTGATCAGATTTCAACAAACGTCTGAACAAATAATCAAAGTATTAATCAGTACATCAATACATAGATGAATAAATAATAAATATTTACTAAATAATGTAATTACCTTAAAGTAGGAATAATATTATTATTAAATAGCATAGCTCGCAAATGTGGTACTTCAGCAATATTATTTACCAAACCAAGTACTTTAGTTTCTACAGTACTATCATGGATAAATGTATTTAATATTTTCATATATATCTCTAACCCACCTTCATCAATGAACACTTTGCATGTTGTAGGGGATTCATCTAGAAAATAATGTAAATAAAAATTTTTTAGAAGACAGTAAATTAACACAATAATTAATAAATAATTCATTTTAAAACCATAGCACAATAGTATAAAATAGTTTTACCTAAGTGCAAACAAATATATTGAAAAGTATATTAAATTAATTTATTACAAAATAATATATAGAAAGCTACCAGTAAGATTCCAAAGTGCACTCAATGTAAACTTCATAGTCACATCAATTGTTTGAGTAGATAATTTTTCACACACTATTGATAACAATTTAGACATATATCTAGGGTTGGATCCTAATTGAGACGTTTCAAAAGTAGAAATTTTTGCAGCTACAAAATATCAAATAATAAATGTATTGATTACAATTTTTATGTTAATAATGAACAAATGTATTGCTTCATTTAAATTCATAGTAAATAATTTACCTACCTAATATACTGCATATGGCAACACTCATGCGGTTCATGACAATATCATTAAAAAAATTTAATGAATCCAAGACTAATTTTGCACATCTGAACTTATCCATTTTAACATCCTGATATATAAACACAGTATTACAATATTAATATTGTATTCATTAATTTTTGTAACATATATTTCATTTAAGAAAGTGTTTATATGAGTGAGTAGACTGAATTATAGAATGCAATTTTTTTTTTTTTTTGAGCAAAATTATAAATGAATAGTAAAACTATAGCTATAACTTCAATGTAAAAAATAAAATACAAGAGATAATATTTAATACCTTTTAAGTGAACTTTATTATACTATTTAGTTTGGATTTTAATGAAATCACTAATTAGTAATTTGTATTAAATATAATAAATTGATAAAGAAGGTAATAGATGAATTTCACATAATTCGTAAAAAATTTATAATTTGTACTGATTAGTTCTAAATATTTTAATGGAAATATATAAATAAAGTAAAAATAAAATTGACACAAATGATGTTCAGTATCAAAACAAATTTATTTCAAGATATAAATTGTACGTTAAATTTAATTAGGCAGAATTATTAACGATAATACTATAGAAAATTTCAAAAATTATTTAATATACAAATTTAAAAAAAAATGAAATGACCTTATATTTTAGATTTGGAGCGTATGAAATATATTTATTTATTTTTTGTCTGTAAACAACTTTTCGAAAAAAAATATTTCTCCGATGTACAAAGTGTAGTACCTTTTCTGAAAGGAAATTTTACATAGTTTGTATATTGGAGGTAGTTTTTAGATTTTCCAAAAGGTTTTAAATAAAATTAGATAAAACAGAAATACACATTTTGGAAAAATTACAAACATTTAAGGCACACCGCAACGATTTACTATCTAGCAACTGACAGCAGAACATGACATTTTTTAATAATTTCAGAAGTTTTCAAAATAATTGAGAAAACCAATAAAGGCAAAATATAAAATTTGTTTTCAAATTACAGCACATTTTATTATTTAAAATTTTAAGATTATATTTATCTATCAGAAATATATCAAAAAATATCTTAACGAACTTCATTTCAAATTGTTTTTTGTTAACAATAGTTTATCTTTGCATTCAAATATAAATTATATAACTTTATGTATCCTTCCTTCCCAAATTCCCAGCTTCAACAGTAACTGTGCCCGTCTCCAGTATCAGCTATTTTTTTAAATTATTTATATTATTTATTATTTATTTATATATATATATTGTATATTATTTATTTATTTAACAACCCAAAGCGGTAATGAGTACAGAATATTACTATATAATACATAAATACTTAAAACTATTGTTATTATTATATTTATTTTTATTGGTTTTTAGGCAACTTTTTAAATTTCATATATATCTAAGTTTTTTTTTTACTACATAAATATTAAATGATTATAGTTTTAAAAACTTCCTACCTGTTGATATAATTACATTTTCCCATTCTTTTAAAATATATCATAAGTTATAATTTTATGAATTATAGTAATATACATACTTGTAATATACGATCACTACATAATGTCAATAATGTATTTTTCTGCAATTGGCTATGATTGGGAAAATGTTCCATGGCATCTAAGGTAGCTTCAACTACTTTAGCCAGTATACAAGGATGTATTTTTGAAGCTAAATCACTCTTTGTTAAATTATACAGACAAGCAGTTGCTGCCATTTGTACAGGAAAATTATCAGAAAGACTGTTCATAGCATTTATAATTAACTAGAACATTAAAACAAATATTATGAGAAAACAATATTTTAAATTGTAATTATACTAATTATATACTAAGTACTTCAATAATATCAACTTTTGGGGAACTATATTTCTCTGTCCACTTAAATAAATGAAAAAGACATTTTTGAATATACGTTGGTCGTTTTATATAACGTTTTAAACCAGTTAGTAATTGTTCTTGTGTCACAATACCAGAAACCTGTAAACATAAATTAAATTTCTTAATATACAATGATATAAATTTAAAAACTAATGTCTATAACTATACACATAATCTAACAATATTTAACATTTATCTATTTTGACAAAATACAAAATAAATTAATTAATACTAACCTCTAAATTGGGATTATATAATGGATGAGTAGGAACTGTAAACATGGCCAAACCACAATCATCCATATGCATGAGGCCTAAAAATCTTAATTCTTTATGTGAAGTTAAAAAGTCTCGCATAACATTAGGACCAACATTTTCACTGCCTGTAAAATATAATTACTAATAAAAATACAATTTATAGAAGTTCATATTTCATATACAATTATATCATGTTTTTTAAATGAAAATTTAACAAAAGACTCATTATTTTAGTTAATTTTTTTCTCTATTCTTAATTCTAAAGTAAATTTAACAAATTTAGAACAAACAAAATTAGAAAACGGTTTTGACCAATAACTTATTTAGGATCTAGTTTTTTTTTAAATATTAAAATGTATTTTGTATTAAATAACATTAAAATATTCAACAAGTACAAAAAGATAATAATTTTATTTTACAGAATATTCAATGAAGTATTTAAATTAAAAACTAATTTAAAATTACTACTGTTACTATTTTTTTTTATTCATGTTTTAATTTTCTAATTCTAAATAATTATATTTATATTAATTATATTTGTCGGTTGTCCATACATAATTTATTTTATTTATTTATGCTTCAATGAACAATTTTACATAGAAATATAGTATATAGTACTATTACACAGAAAATTGCTTAGAATGTTAGATTAACAAAACTTAAATAACTTATCGTAATACTAAAAGTACAAAGGATAGCTTACAATGATAATACAACAAAAGAACACTGAATAAAAACATATAGATTTATAGATTAAAAACCACATCATATGATGTATGTGCTGATTCAGACCAAAGTTCATAGTATCTGGACAAAAAATAGAGCATGAAAACATAAGGAGTGAAGAGGAACTCTAATAGGAGGGAAGGAGACTCAATAGAGACATTTAGTAACTTGCTCAAGAATCATTATTCGAGTATTATTTATTAGCAGACACTCTTCTGTCTGCTAGTGAATCAAGAGAAAGGTAGCTAAGGACACTAGTGTAATCGTTCTGGGGATGCTTTATATTATAATCATAAGCCGCAAAAGCAAGAGAACGATGCTGTACTTTCTCAATGTCACAAGACCCAAAAGTAGTACAGGTTCCAAAGCACTGAGGATTACTTTATAATTGAGCAAACAAAAGAGTAATAAATAGATTTTATAAGAACAGCAAGTTTAAACTCAATTTAAAAACATTTTATAAAGACTAAAACTTTAAGAGCTTTATAGTATGTTAACTCGATGTAATGATTGAAGTCTAGCTTAGGTGTTAGGGTAATACCTAAATATTTAACAGAAGTAACCAATATTAAAGTAGATCTGCGAATTTCAAATAAATATTCAATGTTAAGGCGCCTTCTATCAAAAAACATACTTGCATTTGTCAATATTAAAATGCAAGCCAAGAAAAGACAACTATTTGACTAAGTTATTTAAGTTGTTTTGAAGTGTAGGGCAATCATTGATTGATAATATTTTACAAAATAATTTTAGATCAGCAAAAATGATAAAATTAAAGTTAGCTGAAACTCGCTTAACACCATTAATGAATACAGCAAATAGTAAAGGGGACAAATGACCCCTTTAAGGGACATCAGTTAACATACAAGTAAAAGCTGACTTATTACCAAGTATCTTAACCTATTGGACTCTACCTAAAAGGTAGGACCTAATCCAGGATAACAATGGATCACCAAACCCAGATTTATTTAAAGTTATTAAATGTAAGTATTATTAATAATTTTAACTTTTTTAGATTCTGAGTGGTTTTACAAAGTTATTATTATTTTTTTTATGAACAACTTTTCTACTATATCTTTCTTCATAATTTTACTGTAGCACTTTTACTGAAAGGAAATCTGTGAGAGGAGGTACTTTAGGGAGGTAATTTTTTGATTTTCACAAGCGTTTTCGTAGCAAATGTTTTAGCATCAAATGCGAAAAAATCGAAAACAAAAGACTGAGGGAAACAGAAACAATTTTTTTTTCTGTGCACAACTTTTTTACTAGCAATTTTGCTCCATTTTATAATAATAATAATGTTTGAAAAAGGAAATCCAACTGGGAAGATACTTTAGAGAGGTCATTTTTCGATTTTCTCAGGAGTTTTCATAGCAAATGTGAAAAACCTGGAAAAACATGGGAAAACCAGGAAAAACTTAGGAAAAAAGGGAAAATCGGTACAACATTAAATAAATATTATTAAAGAAAATATATAAAGCCTACTTAATTATTTTACTATAATATGGCATATATATTGTTGACAAAGAATCACTGAACTTCGTTCAGAATTGTTTTTCAATAACATTACCTATAACAGTGGATGTTAATTAGATAAGAGGCTATAATTAGATATATTAAAATCTTTTTATTTTTCATTTAATTTACCAAAGGAAAAAGACACAATCAGAGTTTAAAAATTAACTTTAGAAAACATTGGGTTCATCCATCCAATTTTATTAAACCATGAAAATTATTTTAGTGTTTATAAAACTTTATATTATTGTTAGATCCCATCAAATGTAAATATGTATAATAACACAAATTACAATAATGAAAACAGGTAAACAACTGAAAACATTCCGATAACTTGGGGGTTGCCAAAAATATAAAATATTGGATCACTATGTGTAAAATATATATTTAAGGGTTACTAAAAAATTAAATATTAATTTAGGGGGCATGACAGTAAACAGGTTGAGAACCACTATGATAACAGAAGCAATGTTGAGGTAATTTTTAAACCTCTGTTAACTGGTTGGGCAATTCTTGAACATTAGTTAAAATGGATAATGTGAAAAACTTGATAAACTTTTCTCAACTTAATATGTTTTTATTTTCAATATTATGAAAGTAGCCTTACCAATTCCTATATTTTATCAAACTATACAATTTTAATCTAATGATGAAGCACAATAAATTATAATATTTAATATATTTTAGTACGATAAAATCAGAAAATAAAAACCAACCTGAAATATCTAATGAAACTAAATTGGGTAACCAATCAGGATCTGTCAAAAATGGTAACCACAGTGTTTCACAGCTGAATGAAATAAATGGATTAGTATATTTCTCAGAAGACAAATCCAAATGTGTCAATGATGTCATAGATTTAAGTGGACTGAAGGCGATCAAATGCATGGTAGGTTCCTATTAAAAATATAATTATACAAAATAGTATTTTCATTTCCAACCTTTAATAATCTAAAATAAAAAGTACAATGATATGGTGTTGGCCAATGACCTATTATTTGTCTGTTTGAAAGAATGGAGATTATTTTTTTTGAAATTTAAATATATTAATTAACATTTTTAAAAATTAATTTATAATGGTGCCAGAGATAAACAATTAACTAGTAACTTTTTTGTCATCATATAAGTTTTAAATTTAAATGTAATATGCTATGAGTTACTTTACAATTAATACCCTACTCTGAAAATGTGCAACTATTTTATTAACCCATAAAATAAATACAACATATCATTGTAAAAATTAACTTACAGCTATCTAATAAATTACTAAAGCTAGTTTTTTTAAATTTTATGTATTGGAAAATTAAATTTAAAAAATCCTCTTTATAAATATTACATACTGAGTAGAGCTATTAGTTTTGAAAAGTTTTTTATAAAATCTATATTTTGTATAATAAAATTATGTGTATGTTCTTGTGATCTTAAAATTTAACACAGTTTGTAATTTGAATTTATTAATTTTCTTATTGATGTAGAAACTGTCCTTTTAAAATTGTAAGAATGTACATTTTAACATCGGAACATAGATCAAAAGTTCAATTTATGCCAGAAAAAAAAACATTTTTAAATTTAATGTACTAATTTTAAAACCTGAGCTTTACTCAAAATGTAAAATGTCCAATTTATTAAGAAAAATTAATTTTATTTTACCATTAAATTATAAACGTTTAACTTCTTTATTTGATTTTTTTTTTTTAATGGTAGTAGTGTATCAACTTTTGTATTAGAAATATCTAATGACTCCAAATTTGGCAGATCTTCAATAATAGCAATTAAATTGTTGGTAGTAAATTCAGTATTGCTTACATCAAGTGAACGTAAATTTTTCAGTTTTGATAATGAAACAGCAACATTAAATTTCAAGTCACTAAAAAATCATAATAATACAATAAACACTATAATAATATAATAAACACAATAATAATAAAGGAAAAAGTTAAAATTTAAATTAATTTTAGATAATGATTTGAACATGGAAAACTCAGTTTCAAATCAAAGACAAAAAAATAATAATCCAAACCAATCCATTTAATTACAATATAGAAGTATGATTTAACACATTGACGGACACTTGTAATATAATTTTTACTGTTATATTAGTAGTGCTATACCTACATCCAAAATCTATATAAATTGACAGTGTGGACTGCCGTAATGTGGCAGTCCATTGTCTTCTATGATTTGATACTATTAAATACTGCTTCAACAGTAATGATGTAAACTGACATTTTACATATTACTACTATAGCAGTAATGTCCGTAAATGTATTAAGATTATAAAGAACATGGGTAATACAATGCTATAAAGAGAAATTAACACATTTTTATAACGACCGGTTTTTCTTTCTACCTTTTGTAAATTTTTATTTATTCAAATTTATTTATTTTAGATTAAATTCTGAGCGTAGTGAGGAATGTATTGGTTTTGTTATGATGTGTTCAACATTTCAACTAAAAATCTTGTTTCAATTAAAAAATGACACAAGAACTTTTTTGTAACATTTTGAATCTAATTAGTGCATTGAGGAAGTAATTTTTTGATTTTTCTTGTAATTTTCTTAGTATTTATGAAAAATGTAAAAATGCACAACAATAACAATTTTATTATTTTTCGATTTTATTTTATGTTGTAATTCAGTTAAAAATAATTAAAACGATTTAATATTTTAACATAATATTCTTATTGGCCATTTAAGCCGAGACAGTCAAATTTTCGGGGCAAAGTTTATAAGCGTCTTACATTTTCAAGTTTGTTTGGTCTTATGTGGATACAATTGTCAAACACAGATGTGTATAAATTTAAAAATGAAAATGTTAAGTTGTACTTTGTGTTTTTAAGTTCAAATTTGAATGAAAATCTAAAAAAAACTTAATTATTTCAAAATATATTTAGCCAAATTTTGCTCGGAATTATATTTCATCAGCAATTATTTATTATTTATTTATGTGTTAAGATATAAATTAAATAACTTTATGAATCCTTTTTTCCTAACTTCTGACCTACAACAGTGGTACCCCCATCAACTCTTTTTTTGCCATTATTCTACATATCTATCAAAAACAATTTAATTTTGTACAACATAGTTCACAGATAGATTAACATATAATATTAATGTAATAATCACAATATTAAGTTTCTCTCATTTGATACTTTAACAGATTCACATATTATATTACTGTTTTAATTTAATATAATATATTTTAGTAGTATTTACTACTTTCAATTTAAAATGAAAATTTCAAAAATTATCTTTGTACAAAATTTAACCTATAGTCTCTCCCACAAGAGATCAGCTTTTGTGAATATTTAATGTTAAAACTGATGTCGAGCGTCGACCAGGGGTGATTAATGGGAAATATTGCAGCATGGGAATGCACAGCGAGCGGTCTGATCTTTCATGGAACAGACTATAGACTTAACAATAAAAAAATAAAACAAAATATATTAAAAAAATTTTCTTAACTGAAAATGTATAACCACTTTATACTGAAAATAAAAAAACTTACTGAGAATTATTTATAAATGAACTATTTGATACGAATAATGATTCTAAATTATGTGTTGTCCATTCACCTAATGAGCCAACAAGCTCATTTACTGTACAATTCATACCATAAACTTTTAATTCTCTTAGTTTATGGTTTTTTAATGTCCTTAGTCCTCTTGTGGTCAATTTGTTTGTGTTAGGTAATATCACATTTCTAAAATATAAAAAAACGTTTATTATAATTTATAATATTCATAATCCTGAACATATTCACAATAATAAAGAAATTAGTGTAAAATGAATAGAAAACATCTAGTTCAAATATTATTATAAATAGTGCATCATATTATTATTGATTATTTACATTACCTAACTATACCTCTTTGATTTTTATTCTAAAGTTGTATAAAAATAAGTAAATAGGTACTATTTAAAATATAAACAATTGATATTCCTAAGTTCAGAAGATACTTTAAATATAAATTTTAGTTTTGACGTTTAGAAAGAAATACAAATAAATAATTTGGGTTATATTTATATATAGATATGTAACTAAATTTTAAGTCTTGTATTTAGTTGGGTTAAGTCCAGTTAATCTGGATATTTAAAAATATAATATATGTTACATTCAAAGAAATTCATACTAAAAGACTTTTCAAATCCATGTATTTTTAAAAATTTATATTAAATTATATTACCATCATAAATTTAAGTCTAAAATATTTTTTTATTTTTTTGATAAATTACAATCTATACAAGAGTATGTACATTAAGCAATTGATATGTAAGAATATGAGTAATGCCATTGAATATTTTGAATATGGTAAATTACCCAGTGGTAACACCCAGCACATGATTTATTTATCAATTTGGTTTACGATTTTTTTTTTTAGTTTTTCAAATACACAAGTCTAAAATAATTATAATCTTAAATATGATAAAAAGTTAATCATTAATGTAGAATTGATTATTAAAAAAAAATATTGGTCACAGATATCCAACTAGGCAGGTGTTAAATTTGATCTAAACGCCTACATTTTCAGTATTGCCTAGTGTATTTTGATAAATTATAGATACAGATCATATAATATGCATCTTATGATAGCTACTTATAAATCTACATAAGACTATAATTTAACTTAACATAAAAAAATGTATATACTCAGTTTATTACTTAGTATTTAATCATATTACACTAAACATACAGGAAAATTTAAATTTAAATTGGATGCAGGTCAATTAAGTTATTAGTAAGTAACTAATAAATTTTTTTAAAGAGAATAAATAAGGTATGTGGTATGAATGAATAGGTAGTACATGTTTATTGTTAATGTTTTCAAGGACTTATAACAAACAAACCTCAAGTAAACATTGCTATGACTGAATAATGACATTATTGTATCATTTAGTTTATTGCGTATACTAAGTTTTGTCAATATTATCTCAGATACCTCCATTGGCAAGTATACATTACTGTCGATGAACACATATTCTGGTTCAAAAGATAGCGAGTCAGTTTCACTGTTTTGTTTTTCCACATAAAGTTGTTCAATGTTATCAACAATATAGTGAATGCACAAGTCTTTCAACGTCTCAGGATTGGCATACATTATGGACAAAAAAAATCACTTACTTTAAATGTGCTAAAAAATAAATATCACCAACAAAATTATAAATATATATATATATATATACATATATACACATATATTTATGTTTAAGTTCTTTCAAGTTAATCCGAAAATTACATTATTGTTTAAAAAAAGTCAGCTGATTTAAGAGTAAGAATACTGTGTAATAAAAATAATATAGTAAATTTAATGAAATACACCAACACCATAGAAGTCTGACGAGTAAGACTACTGAGAAAAATGCCTAGACATTAATATCTATGGTGGTGCTATGGACAAATGTGACAAGAAACGGTTGTAGATCTACAACCCTGGTGACAACTGATAACACGTTTATACAAGATAGAATGGTTGCGCGTCGCACGATGTCTAGTGGTAGGAGAATGCTTATGTCAATTTACTAGCTCTTACCGTAATCTAGTGGTCATATTAATAATCTATAAGGATTTTAATAATGCTTCTTTTCAGCACGAAGTGTGTACCATAATATATTTTTATTACATAAAACCCATTCTTTCATTTTTGATTATCCAAATCAAATATCATCATTATATCATTATTAAGAAATGTTGAAATAAATATAAATAGGTAAATAAAATAAACCGTAATTATAATCTAGCTTAAACTGTCCTCATGACTAGCGACTAGGTAGGTATTTAATTACTTTAAATTATATTAAATGATTAACAGTTATACTCAGTACTGAGATTGAATACAAATATAATATTTAATAGTTTAATACAGTGTATATAATATTTCAATAATTTTTTTATTAAAATGTCTAATTAATGATGTAATCATAATCCACACGGCGATATAAATCCAAAATATCATTTAACTATCTAAAAATTGAAAGTGAGCGTAATAAATGGGAAGAACATTTAGGGATGACCTTAAAAAAAACTCATCGTATTTGCCTACATTTTAAGTTAAAAATAATTATGAAAATAAAATTAAACATTTGATATCATTATATTTGTTTAGGATTTCAGTATTTAAAAATTATTATTATAATAGTAAATAAATAAAAAATGTATATATAAAAATAATAAATAAATGAATGAATGCGTAGCCTGGAGTATTATGATGAATGTATTATAAGACCGGTTTCAGTCGTATAATTGAAAATTAAAAATTAAAAATTCATCATTAGTTATATCAGTCAAAATTTAAAACGCGACTGAATATAAATTATTGAAAAAAATTAAATGAAGAAATACATAGAAAAAGACTGTACAAATTAATTCGTCATTTTATATATAAATAATATATTTTAATAGGAGAGATTATTTAAAATGGGTTATTATTAGAACTTGATACCTATGTTAAGAAATATAAACAATTTGGTTATTATTTATTAATAAAATAATTTACCCTTAACTCTTGATGGCTCTTTTCGTGTTGTCTGCTCTTCTATCCCTCCCTTCCATTGTTTCACAAAATTCCCATTACTCGGTATGCCATTGTTTCTTTTTCCCGCCTTAGGTTCGGACATAACTGCCTTCTAGCTCATTCCTACTACTTGTCCCTCAATAATTCCCCTTTTTGTCCTTGTCGCGACGGCTCCGCCATTTATAAGCTTATCATTTCCTCTTCAATAGTCCTGCCCTTTCCAATAAGCATCATCTTCTCTCTTCTTTATGCTCTTCTAATAATGTTCCTTTTTCGCTCCCTCATATTTTCCAATCTTCCAATATTCCCTTATCCAATCAATAATTAATTTCTTTTCCACTGAAAGCTTTCTTTTATAATTGTCATTTTTTTACATTACTTTGTATTGTTATTTTTATAATCGCTGAGGTATATATGTTTATTACACCTCTTGATAAAAAAAATAAATAATAAAGTATTAAAATATATAAATATAGTAAAAAAATATATAAATAAATATAGTCGCGTTTTACATTTTGACTATGAGATACCTGATAAAAATTGTTTAATGCGAAACCGGTCGTATCATAATACTCCAGGTGACGCATTTTTTCATTTATTTATGTATTTTTTTATTATCTAAAATGTATTGATGTAAGATATTATTTTTAAAATCGGTTTGTACATTTAAAATATTATTCAAATTATTTTTCTTTATTTCATTGTATGTACGTAATTCTTATTACCCATTTTAGTAATTTTGTTTTTACTTTATTATTTTATTATTTATTTTTATTATTATTACTACAAATTCTTAATTACTAGCTAATTTATCCAACAAATTTAAATATTCACATTGCATATAAAACCAACGTCTGGCTATTTTTATCGCGTCTGTTTTTCCAATATTTATAAATAGGACTTCTCCCATACATGCAACGCAACTATTATATATTATGAATTAATTTTTAAAAAATACGTTGTACGTAACTATATACTCAAATTTAACAACGACAATGGTAAAATAGTTTGCAAAAAAGTAAAATGGAACAGTGAAATAGTGAATAATTATTAATATACTTATAAGAGATTAAAAATAATAAGTAGATATAATATATATTGTAAAATACATATACAACTATAATAGCTTTGAATAATTTAGTCTAAATGCCTATACTTCAAGTATGCTGTTTAAAACAGTTCTTACTTAAGTATATTTAATAAAAAAGGATTGTTATAAACAATAAAGTATAATATAATATAGTCAAGTATCTATCTATGTATAGTATATAAAATTCAAATAACACTATTTTACAAATGTACCTAGATGGCATTAAGATCGACATTGTATCAGGTAGTGTTGCATTGGGTTCGCTGATCCTACACCACAAATTATTAATCTGTGATAATACTAAGATATTATTATTTTAGTTCGTCATGCCTATTTATTTTGTTATGACTAAATTAACATACTCATTATTGAATGCTCTATAATTGCTATACTATATGGTTTATAATATAAGTCTATGACAAAATAAGATTCAAAACATTACTCCAACATTGAAGTCCAAAATTTCCCATTCATCTGTAAGATTGACCATACAAAATAAAGTGATATTATCAGTATCATTATCAGTTGTTATGTCGTGATAAACGAAACTTCGATGGTAGCGATTAGTGTTAAATATTATATGAATAAATAATGAGGAAATTGCGCTTATTGTTTATTGGTGCTGTAAGTTATATACTTAATGACGTAATTTAAATTAATCATTTACAAAAGGATGTTAGGTATTTGAGTTTGAGTGTTAGCTATTGATATGCTATAAAAATGTAAGTACATTTTAAGTACCTGTAATATATATTTAACATATTTGGTAAACTAGGTTCCTATTTATATATTTTAAGTGTCGACTAGAATTGTAAATAAAAATCCATAATGGGATAAACTTCAACTGGATCGTTTATCACAAAAAACTGTATAATGGAGAAGTTTGCTGTTGATTTGGATAAAGTACTCGATGAATTTGAGTTCAATGAGGGTAATTGTATTGAAATTGCATAAATGTTTGATTGTTATTTTTTATTTGGTAACATTCTAATTAGTAAACATTTATTTTCATATAGAAAGGGAACAACTTGCTATTTCAAATGAACGATCAAATATTGTAGCAGCAACACAGGTAATTACTCAATTTAATAAATTTTGTACATATATTTATAGGGTAATTTTTCAGTTGCAAACACCCATTTCTGGTAAATTATTACCAGCAGCAAATTATCGACGGCCTGCTTTTGAACCAATAAATTTAGCTGATGCTGATTTTGGTATAGAACCAGACACTTCATCTGCCAATTTCGATTTATTGCATAATGGGTTTGTTGAATCTATTAAACCCGAAGAAATTACGCCACTCGTGGATATTGACTTTCCTTCAAATGAAAAAAAAGTTGACAGTATTTTAGATATAATTGATGAATACCAATATAAATCATTTAATTCAAATGTGCCACCAGATCACTATAATGGTCAAGAAACTTTAAAAGACTTTCGCCCAGATTTATTGGAATTGTATGATTCAGCTAAAGATAGTGATGAAAATCATTCTATTGATAATGTCCAAAGGCTACCAGATGTTACCTCTTGTCCTGTACTGATTACCTCACCTGATTCATCTAAAGACGATTGTACCATATCTAGTGAATTACAATCCTTAAATACATCAGAGATTTATGATATAGATAGCACTAATGCAGATTATTCGGATGGAGAGCTTTATAAATGCCTCCAAGAATATGAAGAACGAGAAGATTTATTGTCAATAAATAATAATGGTAATAGTTCGGCTGATATTTTAACGCCTCATTCTGAATTTTCTGATGAATTAATTGATGTAAATCCATTGATATGTGACGATAGTGTGTCAGAAATAAAAGATACATTATCGTTTGAAACATCAGATGATTTACTATCAAATAACGATGATGATGAACCTCAAGAAAATAATAAAGAACCTCTACCACTTACTGAAGAAGAAAAATTAATACTTGAAGAAATACTTGAAGATACAACAGATTTAGATGTTGATTTTGAGGAAAATAAAACTGATAAACAACTTGAAAAAGAATTGGAAAAAATATTAGGAGTTTCTGTTGAATGTGAGGTTACAAAAGCGAAAATTCAAAAAGATTTAGATAATCACAGTAACATTCCAGATTCCCCTAATGTTCCTGAGTTAAGCGCAGAATTAAAATATCAATGTAATGAGCCAATTAAAAACATAAACCAACAGACTGAAGAAAAATTATCACAAAATAATATTCAAAAAGAAGTAACAGTTGAAGTTGAAGATAATACATTTTTTTCAGAACCACAAGTTAAGTGTGAAAAGGAAACTACAGACTCTTTGTGTAGCATAGAATCAAGTGAAACCATATTATTAAAAGATGACAATCAAACCAGTGTTAACACTGTTACAGACTCTTTAGATTCTCAAAGTATTTGTTCCTTACCTTCAGAAGTAATTGGCGATACTATAGAAAATTCAGAAGAAAACCGTATACAGAGGCCTAATACACTTGATTTAAATGGTTCGACAAATTGTGAAACTCAATTACCATCTACATTAAGCACGGGTAAATTTGGTGATTTTTATTTTTTGGTTTTATGTAATTATTTACATATTTTTCTAAATTTTAGATTCAGATTGTACATTATCATTGATTGATCGTCGACTTGGAAAATTACAACCATATTGGGTACCAGATGAAGCAGCAAAAAGTTGTATGCGATGTCAATTGAAATTTACTGTAGTTAAACGCAGACATCATTGTAGAGCTTGTGGAGAAGTATATTTAAAAAAAAAAAAAATGAAAGAATTAAATAATAGATTTACTTGTATTTATTATTGTAGGTTCTCTGTTCAAAATGTTGTAATTTACAAGCGCGTCTAGCATACATGAAAAATAATATAGGACGAGTATGTCTGCAGTGTTTCAACACACTTGCTAGAGGTAAGATATTTTGTGAAACTCTTCATAAAAATTATCTCCTTCGCCTTAATCCCAAGTATTTGAGGTCAGCTACCCTCGTCTACTTGACTCGATCCCTCACATCATCTTCGCATACATATATATACATATTTTATCCTCATATTCTCAATTATATTCAAACCTCCTCTTTCCTCCTATATCTGTTTTCATTGCATTTCTTACTGCTCTAATTTGTCTTTCCTTGTGGAATATTATTATACTATTAACGTTTTTTTTTTATTTTTTATTTAGCATCTCAAATGGAACAAAAAGTTGCTACAATCAAACATCCAAACCCAAATAATCCTATGGAATATTGTTCTACAGTTCCTCCATTACAGCAAGTTATTGATTCAAAAAATCAACCTGTGCCATCTGTTTTAGTTCCGGTCAGTGTACTCAAAAGAGAAGGTAAACCAGAATATGTAATTAAACATTTATTTTTACTTATTAAATATGGTTGTTTTGAGTTTTAGTATTAATATTAAATACGAGTGTTCTGCATTATCAATGATGACTAAGTATCATTATTTATTAATAATTTTGTTCTTTGTTAAAGGATATTTTCCTAAATCTAGCAGTAATGCACTATACAAAATACAAATATGTATCGGTTTACGTCTACACTGTTTTATAAAACGTTATTACGTGAATATATGTCATTAATTTGCATACTTTTAAATTTGATTTTATTATACTGTTACTCATTGGTTAATATATTAATTTTTAAAGACACTGGATTTTAAGTTTGCTCACAGATTGTGATTTTTTTCAATTATTTATTTGGTATTTATAAGTTACTGTGATTATTTTTTACATTTAAATTTAGATTCATTATTTATTAATTTAAATTCCATATGGTGATTTTAATGGGATACATATTTTATTCGGATCACAGACTAAGGTATCTTAAGTCCATGACACAAACTATAGCGAATTTAAAGTTATCAAAATTTAAATTATTATCTCTATTAGATAAGTAGTATTATTAATGAACTCAAAATTCAATAGAAAATGTTGTGAAGTGTTAGTTAATTGATTAATAAAAAAAAATGCTTAAAATCAATACAAACATTTACATACTAATAGCAACCATATTTTTATTTTTTTATGTTTTAACTGTTGCAATGTTTTTGATGTTGAGTTTTAACTATTAGTATTCAATGGTGTTGATTTTAGGGCGAGTTAAATCAGATGTTCCCAAACAGGTAATGTTTAGTGATGGTATTCGACCAGGAGGTGATTTAACAGATTTAGATGGATCTTCAGAAAGGATTTTACCATTGCGACGACAATCACGGTCAATAAAAAAATTGAGTCCAACTGTAAATAGTAAGTATTATTAAGTTAAATTATGCTATTATTTTGATAATAACATATTTAATTTATTTTGAATAAAAAATAATGTTATATATTAAACGGTAAATACTAAATTTTATAGACTTTTTCATAGTTTCTTAATAAAAAATAAGTATACCTACTAAATATTATTTTTGTATGTTTATTCAGCTTTTAAATCATGTATAACATGTATAAAAATGTATATTTTGCAGCTATATATTTTACTGTATTCTCGTGATAAACATTTTTTAATAGTCTATTAAACCATACTAAACTTTTTTTAATAGTTTATAAGTTTTTTTCTTTAGAAAAATCAAAATTCAAAAACCAATTGTGTTAATGTTAGAACTGTTTCATTAGCTTAAAATAAATAGTGAAAATTCAGATTTTAGAATAATTATTTAACATTTCATTTCTCCATTCTTAAAAATAAAAGTAAAACGAATAAATGATACTGCTGATGGGTGTGCCACTGTTGTAGGTGGGAAGTTGTGAAAGCAAATTATATAAAGATATTTAATTTATATATATAAGCAACTTTAAACCATTGCTAACTAAATACAAATTTAAGCGAAATTTGGTTATACAAGATAATTCACTAAGTATACTCACTTATTAAAGTTAAAGTTGATATTTTCGAATACTTAGATCTTTCACAACATTTAAGGAGTATCTTGTGGCAGTACCAACTTAAAGAGGGTTATTTTTTGATTTTCCTAGGGGGTTTTCCTAATAATTAGGAAAAACCAAAAATTACGAAATATACATTTTTTTCAGATTATGATATCACAAAGATTTCATTGTTTTAAATTTTTACGGCTTATATTTTCTACCATAAATATTGCTTCAATAGAAAAATATCAAGAGATCTTTTTTGTTGAATTTTTAGTATAGTTGGTAACCAAGAAAGTCATTTTAGATTCTGAGTAGAGCGATGAATGTATCAGTTTTACAATGATGTTTATTTTTTTATATTTTTTTTCTTGTAAACAACTTTTATACCAGCAATTTGTCTCCGAATTATAATGATAACACTTTTTGATTTTTTTGATTTTTTCAGCTATTTTTTAATAAATGGAAAAACGTACGGTATTCAACAAATATTATTAAATAAAAAATGTATACATAAAAATTTAATTAATTAATTAATTAATGCGTTGCCTAGAGTATTTTCTGAAATATAATTAAAATCAACTGCCTCTAATTCAAATTTTGCTAAACATATTTTAGAAAATAACCATAATATAAGTTTTGATATTGATGCAGACTTAGAAATATTAAATACCCAAAATAACATTTACATTAATTCAATTTTAGAAAAATTGTATATACCCAATGAAATAAAAAATAATAATTTGAATAATATTTTAAATGTTCTAACTGATTTTAAAAATAATATCCTATATCAATACATTTATAATTTAGATAATAAATAATAACCAAATCATTTTTATTTTTTAACACATCTATGTCTAATAATAACCCATTTTAAATAATCTCTCCTATTAAAATAAATTATTTCTAAGTAAAACGGCCAATTTATATAATTTTTTTTTTCTTATGTATTTCTTCATTTAATTTTTATATTCAGTCGTGTTTTACATTTTGATTGTGATATATCTGATGAAGAAATTTTTAATTCGTATAATACACTTATCATAATACTCCAGGCAATGCATTAATTAATTAATTAATTTTATTTTTATGTATACATTTTTTATTTATGTATTTATTTACATGTATTAACCATTTTAATAATTTTGTTTTTACTTTATTATTTTACTAAATAATATTAAAGAAAATATATAATACATATGTAATTATTTTATCACAATATGACAAGGCAACACTATTAATAGAACTCCGCTTAGAAACGTTTTTGTTTTTTGAAATGTAATTGAGTTTAAAACATTCATAGAAACTTAAAATATTGACAGAAAACCTATATTTAATTTTTCCAGACTTAAAACTTTCAGAACTTTTGAGCTATTTATAGACATTTTAATTTTGCAAGTTTTTTATTTAATTTCTATATATATAAAATTTAATTAGCCGTTGTTACCAGTTTGCGTCCGAAGAATCTGATGCAGTATTCTGATGGTTTGACTGATTTTATTCTGTATTATTCTGTAGTTGCTTGAGTCCACTCTAATCTTTCACATCTGTAGAAGGTGCTCTACATCCAATTGAGGAAATTTAACGTCCAATGATTTTTAACCACCTGTTATTAATTTCAACTTGCCTAATTTATTATCTTTTTATTGTTAGACATTATTCATAATAGCTGCCTGAACCTTCTCCATTGTTGTAATTATTCCTGTCACTATTATTTCTACACTGATTTGTTGCTCTCTTTTGAGTTCCTATAAAAAATTCGTAGTTTTCGTCTTCGACAATATTTTATTCCAATTCTCAGAGAATTTGGGCCAACAGTCTGCTTTAATGTTAATACCACCGAATACTGCCGTTGTATATACTTTTGTACCGTTTGTATTGTTAGTGTTCAGTTCAACAAGATAGTTTCAGGTCTTACTCTAGGTCTTCTTTCCACACTCTTTCTTGTCAAAAGTGATGATCTTTGTCTCTGATTTGGTTCATGGTCAACCATTATATTGTTTTTTTTCTTCACCTTTCATTTAAAATTTGTCCTTCATCTATCTTTGTAACAAGCGCTGCCAACTACTTTACTGCCTTTTGCTGCTTACTTTTCTTCCGTTTATTTTACTAATAACCTCTTGGATATCTCACTATTTTCCTGAAGATCATATCAGTGTAGTTTTTGAGATTTTATTATTTTGTGGCATTGATTTCCGTGTCCGTTTTCATAGTGGTGCCAAATAGGTCATTCAGTGGCTGCACACATTCTATCAGCTTTGTCCCCATATCGACCATCATCTTGTGTGGTGGGATTACTTACAGAGCCGTCTCGAGAGTTTCTATCATTTATACCGCTAGTTTCAGTCTCTTTGATAGGATGCCTTTCTTTTTCTTCAAATTCCTTCTCGATGTGCCATCACTGTTAAACAGGTCTTCTGCAGTCAGTGAAAGCGTTGAAGATGTTTTTGGCTTCTTTCTGCTACCAGGTAGCTGGTGCAATTCATTGTGAAGAGATTCAATGGATCTCTTGGAGACCTACTCCTTCAAAACAGTTTGCCCTCATTCATCATCTGCATCTTAATTATTATTTTCTCCAATATTCTTTAAGGGGTTGGCCACTTCCATTAGAATTTCCCCAAATAGATTTAATTTGTCAGCTAGATTATACGACGTAAGGATTTTGCTGGTGCAACCTTAGCTGAACATAATTATTTAATCCTTACTGCTTTAATAAAATAATATCTATTCTCATATCATTCTCAATCACATATAACCACTCCTTTTTCGGTTTCCCTCCCTCCATCTTAACTTCTATGTTCATTTTCATAAAGTCTAACAAGCAAATACTCAGAAAACACTCTCACCACACTTTTGTAGAACTTAACTTTAAATCTTATAGGAAGTCTCTTGTTTCTTAAAACACCTGATACTTCTCTATACTTAAAATAATCACACTTAATTTTATGTTTCACATTTCTCATTCTGTTCTGTTCAACTGTTCTTTTGTTCAGAGATCCTTGATACCTAAAACTCTCAATCTCACCTATTATGTCACCACTTATTGTCATTAGCTGTCTTGTCCTTAGTCCATTTTTTTCAAGTGCTACTCTCTAATCCTTAAGCCTATTATTATTTTACTTATTTCAGATTTTCTCCTAACAAAGCTATATCATCTATAAACATCATGTATCATGCATATTCTCATCTATTGTTTCCCCCTATATTCAAGTCCTCCAAAGTCTTGTTTAGAACTCCTCATATCTGACAGAATCTTTCAATAATTGTCAACCTAATGCAATCACATTTTTGGAAGAATTCTAAACTGCAGTCCAGTTATACTAATTCCAATTTTAACAATAATATCTGCCATATGTATCAATGATTTTATCAAAAAATAAAATGATTTTACTTAAGTGTATTTTGAAAAAAATACTTTAAATTCATCATGTCAATTATTCAATTTTATAATTATAAATATTCCGTAATTTTTCCATTTTAAATAGATTTTAATTTTCTCAATTGTAACAAACAAAATATTAACAGTTACCATAATGTTTATATTATCTTGAAATTTAAATTGATTAGCTTGTTACTATATTATTTATATTTAATTCACTATATCTATAGTAATAATATCGATCTCTAACTAGTTTTAATCTCTATAATTCGACCTTTTTAGGTGTCGTCCCAGCTAACAGAAGACCTCTAAATTCCCAAACACAGAGTTACATACCCAATATAGGACTGCCACCAGCAGCTAAGAGAGCTCAAGGTGAATTAAAGTTTGATGATACTGAACGTCCAATAGCCTTAAATGACCCAGAAACTATGTTTGCTATCAACCCTAATCTATTTCTTTATGTCAGGAGAGTTTATTGTAAGCATAATTTAATAGGCTATAGTGTTTATTATTTAATATATAATATATTGTCTTTCTAACAGTGGACTGTTGCGTTAAACGTGAAACTTGGTGTATGAGTACTGAAGGCCTTGCCTGTGTTGGTCAAGATGAGGTGATAATTTTATTGGAAACACTTCCAAACGAAAAACATCCACCTCGTGATATATTTTTATTTGTTAATAATTTATATAAAAACGCTTCATTAGGTATGTATTATAGTTTTTAAAAATATTTTATTATTTGAGTTATAATACACGAGTTCATATATTATTTTAGGTGTAACTGTTAATGACATGTCATTTACTGCGCCTGTTAATTCTACATTATTAGATTCTAATAATCATGGTGGATTTTTATTCGTAAGACAAACATACCAATGTATGCAAAAATTACGTTTACCATCGCCTCCTTATTTGTTTGCTTTACTTGTTCACCAGTAAGTAGATCTCATCTCTAGTTTGTTATTAATGTATTATTTAAAATTAATGTTTATACATAGATAGTTAAGATATACAGAATTTGATTTGAAAACTCACTAGGTTCGTGGTGTTTCACATATTACTTTGATGAATTGTGTCATCATTTTTATGGATGTAAATTAAGAGTGTCAAAAAAAAGTTGAGAACCACTGCACTAGGTTACCAACTAAAATTGGGTTGATCCATATATTACCACTCACATCTCTTTCTTTCACTGTACATTGTACAGCTTAATTTTTAATATCAACCTAGTATACTCTTATTTTGAATAATGTATTATAACTCAGATTATTGTGAACTTATATATTGTGTATATTTTGTTTTAGATATGAAACACCTTGGGCCAAAATGTTTCCTATACGTCTTATGTTACGATTAGGAGCAGAATACCGTTATTATCCTTGTATGTTAGTATCTATTAGAAATCGACCATCTTTGTATACAGAAATCGGTCAAACAGTCATTAAACTTTTAGTTGTAAGTAATTTATGATAATTGTGACTTAATTTAAAATATTTATAATTTAAGATCAATTAGATAACAATAAATAATTATACATTTTGTTTTCTTAAAAGGATTTTAGGCAGTATTCATATGGTTTACCAACTGTTAAGGGTTGCTACATACATATGGATGAAAAACAAATTATGGTGCTATTACCACGAAACAGATATGATCAAGTATGAGCTTAATACATTTTTTAATATTATTTTTAGATTCAAAGCATAGCATAGGTTTAAAAGAAAAATATGTTTATTTTAATGAACACTAACGATGAAACTTTTCCCCTAATAAACTATTTGATATCAATTTAAGGGTAAGGGGCACCACTGCTTTTACATTATTAATAAATGTAAAGTGCCTATACATATAACACAAATATAGTAAATAAATATATAAATAAAAATAATAAATAAAAGAATTAATGCGTCTTCTGGGGTATTATGGTAAGTGTGTTATAGGTTTCGAATTAAAAATTCATCGTCAGGTATATCACAGCTAAAATGTAAAACGTGATTAATATAAAAAACTAAATGAAAAAATACATAGGAAAAAAAAAATTATATAAATTGGCCGTTTTACTTAGAAATAATTTATTTTAATAGGAGAGATTATTTAAAATGGGTTATTATTAGACATAGATGTATTAAGAAATATAAATTATTTGGTTATTATTATTTATTTTCTAAAATGTATTGACATAAGATATTTTTTTTAAAATCGGTTTGTACATTTAAAATATTATTAAAATTATTTTTCTTTATTTTATTGTATACATTATGTAATTCTTCTAAAACTGAATTAATGTAAATGTTATTTTGGATATTTAATATTTCTAAATCTGTATTTTTTAGTTTAAATTAAATTTTGCTAAACATGTTTTAAAAAATAAACACAATATAAGCTTTGATATTAATTCAGACTTAGAAATATTAAATATCCAAACTAATATTTACATTAATTCAGTTTTAGAAGAATTACATAATATACAATGAAATGTACGAATATAAAATTTATAAAATATATTATTAAAATATTACAATTTTTTTTTTATTGTGCACAACTTTTCTACTAGACATTTTACTCTGATATGAAATTATAGTACTTTTTTTGAAAGGAAATCTGACTGGGGTTATACTTTAGAGAATTCATTCTTTGATTTTCCCTGGAATTTAGAAAATTATAACACTACAAATAATGTAGAAATAAAGAGTAAATAAGTTCAATATTAAATAAATTAATATGTATTTAAAGGAAATATATAAAGTCTATTTAATTATTTTATTATAAAATATCATATATATTGTTAACAAAGCATCCACTATTAATTGAACTTCGCTCAGAATCGTTTTTTCGTAAGCAATAGTTTATCGTTGCTTACAGATATACATAAATTATCCATAATAGTGGCTGTACCCGTCCCTATTATCCTAGGACGTCTTTTTATATTTTAAAAATTAAACCACAAGAAATACCAAAATTGTTGTCAAACGTTTAGGTTTTGTTAACAAAAATTATACAGTGAATGCAGTGGCCTTTATTAAAAATTTTAGGTCTCAAGATTGGTTTTGGCATCCAATCGAAGCCTCTTAGCATTTGGTGCCAATTTTAGTTCAGTTGCCGATTCTCATCTTGTATGTGTTCAATCAACTAAAGATGATGGAAACTATAATACACAAGCTATTAATATACATAATAAACCTAGGCAAAGTAGGTATATACATTATTATGAGATATATTATATTAACTAATCAATTAATTTATGGGTTATATTAGTCACGGGTGCAAGTTTTATTGCATTAAACGATGATTTAGACGATGAAGCAGGTACTAGATGGCGCATTGTAGAAGATGGAGTTATGGTTGAAATGTCCTCTCAAAAGATGGCATCATTACGTGATTCTCTCCGCTCAATGAAAGACTTTGAGGTAAACTGTGGAACTAATGATGAGCAAACTGTGATATTTCATTGGACAGAAGATGACATTAATTTTAATATAGGGTATGAATTAAAAAATTATTTTAATTAATCAACAATGTTGTTGAAATAATATTTTGTGATTAAAGAGTTGTAAGTTGTATTGATGGCAGACCATTAGATGGTATATATTCAATAAGAGTACATAATGGAATTGATTATTCAGGAAAAAGTCGTTTTATTCGGTGGACTGAAGTGTTTGTTATACAAGTATGTTAATATATATTGTAATTCATGTTTAATAATAATAACCCATTATCACTCACGCGAGATATAAATGTATTGTATTTTTATAGTAACATAATACTAACTAATAATAACACATTATCTTAAATTAATAGTATAAAAAGTTTTAGATTCTGATAGAATCGAGGAATATATTGGTTTTACAATAATGTTTACTTATTTTTTTTTGTATATAGTTTGTACAAAAATTCTATCAGAAATTTTACTCCGATTTACAAGTGTATCATCTTTTTTGAAAGGAAATTTTCCTGAAGTGGTACTTTTGAAAGGTCATTCTTAAAATAATTAGGAAAAATGGGAAAATGTACAAAAATAATGCTTTTATTATTTTCCAATTTTGTTATTTGTTGTAATTCAGTTAAAAATATTTGTAGAGACTTGAAATTTGGACAGAAAGTATTTTGTTTTGTAAAGGAATTTTAATATCAAAGTTTGATGAAAATTGTTTGAGTAAAAATGTATGAGGAACAAACCTAATTTTTCTTTTTTCAACATATGTATATTGCCGATTTAAGAATGATGGTGAAGTCAGAATTGAGCAAACTGACTTAAGTTTTTGAAATTATAGCTTTTGGTAGTTCTAATATTACGCGAATATTATATGTTATAATAATAACTCTATATTATTTTCTTTAGAATATGTTTGTCGTAGGCTAATGATTATACATACTTATTGCCATCCTAAGGTTTTCGAGTTTAAACCCGAGTTTCGAAAAAAAATGTTTGCAATTATGTTTCCCTTTTACCTATACATGGAAAAAAACAAATACATTTTAAGTGTACTTAAAGACCTAGCTATCGCTCGCTCGGATTATTTTAATTGAAAAATACCTCTCGATTTATTGTGCAAACTATTCTACCAGAAATCTTGCTTCGATTTTTAAGTGTTGCACTTTTTCTGAAGGAAATCGGACTAAAGAGGTACCCGAAAGAAAATATGAAAAACGCGAAAATCAATGATATTAAACAAATATTATTAAAGACAATATATAATGTCTATTTAATTATTTTACTATAATATGACTTACATATTATTGACAAAGCATCACTATCTACTGAACTTCGCTCAGAATCTTAACAATGGTTTATCATTGCTTACAGATACAAATTAATTTCCTCTCTATATCCCACATTCTCATCTTCTCACCAACAACAGTGGTTGCACCCATTGTGTGAAGTATATCTGTTTTTTTTAAATATATATACTATGAAAACAATAAAATAGAGATGCCCTAAAAATGACCAACAACCTCTATCAGTGAGCAAATAACTATCAATTATCAAACTATGATTATGTTAAATTACCACAGCGATAAAAATAATAATAAATACAGCAATAATCCCAAAAATAATTTCAACTATAAACCAATACATTATCAAAAGATACTATAAGTTATAGACATGATGTTATTGAGATAATTTTGATTTATGCAGTTGAAGTTTGTTTAAGATGTATTTGTGAGTTTGTCTGGTTAATTACTTTAATCGTCTTTAAATGTATACAAATATATAGTAAATAATACCTATTTATTGATGTTTTTTTTTAGAAATTTGTACTTTTGATATTTGTATGACTTACTATACAAAGATATTTAAATTATAATAATTAAATTGAAACGAAAATTGGTTTTTAATTTAAAACTTTTATTAAAGTTGACTTATACTATACAAGATTTTAAACATTTTAATTAGAAATTTAATACTTAAAATAATAAATGTTTTTATTATTCATTTAGTGTGAAGAAACATCAGATCGTGTCGAGGAACCACTAGACACTAGTAGAACTGCTGAGTCCATATCTAAGGCTACATGCACTGCTTTGGTGCCCCTATTAGATTTATTATCTGCAGCATCATTGACTCCACTTGCCTTACGCATTGTCATTAATCCAGATTCAGTAATTTATCCTACTTTTTTTATTACATTTTAATTGTATCATAATAATAGCCTAATATTTCAGGTAGGATATGAAGCTGGAAGTGGACAGACTAAACTACCTCCATTATACATGCAAAGTTTGGATGAACATCTCGTTCCAGTAGTTAATGCAATAGCAATTAAAGCCCAGCAGTCATCAGTTGTATTAGAACTAGTATTCAGAGTTATGGAACATTAAATTAAAATATGTTGTTTTTTTAAATTTTATTCCATAGTTTGACCATATTTTACCCTTTAAAAATATACCATTGTTCTCGGTAAATTTAACTTTATTCAATAATTTGTTTAACCATGATTACTTACCTAAAACCCCAATATATAATTCCCAATATATGGGAATTATACATATTATATATTTTTTTACTTTGTTTTATTGTCATTTATATTTACGTTTAATGGACCTCACTAGAAATTCAAGAAGACAAGAGGCGTTATGTAGTTACTGCATTCTAGAAACAAATAGAACATTGCCATAGTGATTATCAATAAAATTTCTTGTAGTTTCCTGATTTTGTTTTGATGTGTACCTAAAACATGTTATCATTTATAAATTCATAGTATACTAAGAAAACTGTTAATTGTTATCAAAATTTATTTAATTTAGTGTTAAAAACAAATTTATATTAGGTACTTTTGTATTTTTAATAGATTACTTATTAAAAAAAATATATGTATTGATTTACATATTCAATTAAAATATTATTTAATTTATATCTTATATTTCTAAATGCCTAGTCCTGATTAATGGTCTGTGTTGTTTATTTAACGTTCTATTAAAATATATTTATGTATTTCAGAATGATATAAAAGCCTATTATTATGAGTGTTATGATATTGAACTATTAACATGTTAATTGTTGGTCTATGTTTTTTAATTATAATTATTTATTTAGTCATAATTTATACTAGTTATATATAAGTTATTAGTATTGTTACCATAGACATAAATTTATATGCTTATGGTTATTACTAAGGTACTAATTATATACGTAGGGCTGTTCTTGCAATATTCCGTTTAGTGTTTGTGTTACGCTAACCAGCAAAAAGCTGTCAATTAACCAATGATTAGCGCTAATAAAAACTTAACAGAACACTGTAAAAACAGTCTTTGGCATATAATATTTTAGTTGTGGTTATTATTTATTACATTACTTTATTATTCTGTATAAGTATATACTAATTATTTTGTTTATTCCTGTTGGCTGTAAAATATATCAATTACTATGTCAAGTAATACCTGTTAATATACATTTTACATTTTACATTATTGAGTATGATCAATCCAGTATAATAAACTCATTATCTCTGAAATTATTAGATTCTGAGCAAAGCAAATAATGAATTTGTTTTATAATGATGTACTTATTTTTTTTTATTTTGTCCGTGTACAACTTTTCTACTAGAAATCTTACTCTGATCAAAAAATAACAAGAAAACATTTTTATTATATTTTGAATATAGTTAATGAATTCAGGGATAAAATGTAGTTCTTGGCATCTTAAGAAAATTTGTTTTCTTTGGTTTTTTTGTTATGTTTAATAATAACTTCCATAGTTCCATCACATAAAAATAATATGGTGCCCAATGAACAAAAAAACCGTACTGAACAGGATATTGTGATATAGGTATACTTTTGTTGGAAATCTATTTATCTAAGTACATACATTTATCTTATTTTTCTGATTTATTGCTTGAAAACTATATAAAATCATAGGCGTACTTGGGCATTACCTGAAAATTTTATACAAACATTTTTTTTTTTTATATATGTTGACATATGACAACAGTAGGTACAAGTTTTATATTTTGTAAAATTGCCATCACCAATTTTTTCCTTACCTAATTTAAAATTTAGTTACATACATTTTAACTTCACTGCCAATTTCGTACTTATCTTTTACGACTGTGTTACCAAATATACTGACTTAATTGTAATATTATCAAAGTTATTTATTTATAAACTATGATCTTGACTATGGGAGAGGGGGGGTGAAGTAATTAAATTTAATATTAATGATCAATAAGAAAAAAAGACTGTCATACTTCGCACGATGGGTGGATCACTGTTATAGATGAGAAATTGGGAAGATAGAATATTGAGGGAAATTTAATGTACATCTGTATCAAGACAAATTTAAACATTGCCAACAAAACACGATTCTGAGCAGAGCTCAGTTAATAGTATTGCTCAAGAGCGTCTTCAGGTTAATTTCATGGAGGGGAATGGTAAATAATTTTTACCCTTGAATAGACAACCGCTTTGGTCAATAAAAACTTAAGAACTTTATGTCTGATGTCATTTTAACTTACATTAGGTTAGAAGACTGTGGATATATTGGATATATTGTACAAATGCAGTAAAACAGTAAAATTTAAAAGTTAAATTAATTTTTTCCTATTAAATAAATAATAATTAAAATAATGATAAAATATGAATAACAAAAATAATAATAATAATAATTAATAATAGATGACGTCCAAAATACTTTTATTTTAAATAGCGTTTTGCAAGCGGTTTGATCAACAATATTTTTTATATTAATGTTTCCATTTCGATGAATATTTAAAAGTGGTAAGCCAGTTAGCCTCTGCTTAAAATTTTTTTTCTTACTTCAGAATTTGACTTTTAACTGATCCCATGTTAAATTCTCTAGCATTTCTGTTTGGTCTGACAATTTTATCCATAAAGTACCTACCAAATAAAAATTACCTACAAAACTTGCAAAATTAAAGTTTCTATAAATTGCTCAACAATTTTTCCACGTCAAGAAAAGGTTATTATAAGTTTTCTGTTCAAATTTCAGTTCTTTACGAATATTTTTAACTTAATTACTACAAAATTGAAAATAATAATTACATTATTTTTGTAAATTGTCCGTTTTTCTTACATTTTATTCTGGGTTCTCCTGATATAAAAACTGCTTGAAAAATCAAAAGATGACTTTTCTAAAGTACCATCTAGTCAATATGACAATATTTTCTTTCAAAAAAGGTGCTACTCTTACATATTAAAACAAAATTTCTAGTAGACATTTTTGTCACAGTATAAAAAAAAAAATATTGTAAATCCAATAAGTACATTGTTTGCTACACTCAAAGATTAAAATTTAAACTAAATTCATTATTTCCAATTTTGATTCTAAATACCTATATTATTTTATTTATCTTTGCGAATTGATTGGTCCAATTTAATTTCTCATAATTCTATTTCAACATTGAGAAACTATTTATTGAAATTTATTTAATGAGAAGTGTTTTATTATTGTTTCAATCAAAGTATTTCCAAGATCAGGAATTATCTTTATGGCATTTAAAACCATTTACATTTATAATTATTTGTACTTGAAAACTATGGATATTTTGTATAACGAAAAAGAGCATCACACAGTTTATGGGGGGTGGGGGTGGGTATCATCCCCTGGCCACACCTCAGGACCCATCTGATTATCGATTGAAGATTATAAAGAAACTTTTACTTTTTAGAGTGTATGATATTTAATCACGTAATTGATATAATGAGAACTAATTTAAAGACAGTGTATAGAATTAATTATTATTTTGTATTTTGTATCAAAAGATAATTCAAGTTGATTGGGGAGGGGGTGGATTCACCTAATAAATACATTTTTCTCGGGCACGATTTGAATTTTTTAAGTCTGCACACGCCTATATATAGAGTAGTATAAAAAATATGCTGTAGCTATAGGTACCAAATATGTGTTATATTGTATATTTGAATTCTGGGTTTTTAAATTATAATTTTCGTACATATATTTGTAGTTAATTTATCTATATCCGCTATTGTAAAAATATCTGATTGCAGTTTTTATAGTAGGTAATTAGGTATTAAATAAATATTGTTTTCCTACGTCAGGTATTTTTTCTTCTTATGGGGTTTTTGGCCAAGACTCGGGAGCTTTTTTTTTCAGAATACCGATGTAGAAAACACCAATATCATATGATCTAAAATATTATCTATGATACTGAGTTTCAAAAAAAAAAATATACCGGGCGACACGCATCCCCCACCAAGTACCATCAGTCATGACAAGCGCGCTACAAATCAGCTGCTTGTTATGAACTGGCAATTGGCATATAGCAGCTTGTATCAAATTGGCGTTGTCATTTACCATCCCCCTCCCCTAATAATTCATACCAGCTGCTGAATGTGACAGTTATTTGTCGTTGCATACGACGCGTACAAATATGTAATCATTGATAAGAGATAACGCTTGAACGCTTATAAAAAGATACTTGGTCCAAGGTGTTTAGTCTTATCGAAGTATATTATGTTATAAACGTTTAAAGAATTTGATTACGCGAACAACAATTTTTTTTAGAAAGGGTGGTCACTTTTATCGTCGACGATCGACCGTCCGTTCGTCTATTACCTTTTCTGTGTATTAACTACAATATACTACACGGACGCCCTGAATTCCGATTTTGGGCCCTGTACCTAGTGACGCGATTTTTCACGTCCACATTGGCGTCTAGAGAGTGTTGTATTCGGATACCTGAGTGGGGCACAGTGCGGTTGTGTTCACGTTCTTTTGAAACGCTTGATGTTTTCATTTTTTTCCGCTGTGTTTTTCCGTTGTCATACTATGTGAGCGTTCACTGTTTATAGGTTTAAGATGATTTTATTGTAAACGATATACATATCAACGTAAATATATTCATATTTTAATTTACCTATTCCAGACGTATAACCTTCCGATGTTGGTTAATAGTTTAAAAAAACTAAAACATTTACACTTAACATTCTGTCTGTTACACCGCGTACTAGACGTGGTTTCAATTTTTGATACAAGTTTAGTTTTAATACAATCTTGAACAGCTGCTTTGTTTCGTTCGTTTGTCTGGACAAACGCAGTATTTACCTGGGTAAGTCATTACGTGAATTATTTTATTGTTATATTATTTTCTTGGGGGTTGAATGTATCTAGTATTGTACTCATGAAACATTTTCCAGAATGTGTAAAAGATATAGGTTAGACCAACACATAGGGATATACTGGTAGTCGAAATACAATACTAAGAAAAATTTAGTAGCTATTAGGATATGGATAGGATCCTCAATGACCATCAGGCTAATGAAGAGATTCTATCTGTATTCGGGTTTTATTAATAATCAATATATTAATTATGTATGTTGCCATTACAGCTGTTTTTAGGTCAAGAGGAAAAAAAGGCTCGACCAAAAACCATACTAAGAAAAAATTGTAAATTTATACACCTATATATTATACAAAATGACGTGTCCTGACTGATTCATCATCGCCTAGCGCAAATCACTGGACAGATTGAGCTGAAATTTGGTAAACATATAGCCATTATGACGTAGGCATCTGCTAAGATTTTTGAAAATTCAACTCCTAAAAGGGTAAAATAGGGGTTTTTAATTATAACATTATGTTTTAAATAAGTATTAATTTGTTTACTGGGGTATGTTTTTTTCCTCAATTTATTCTGAGCAGTACCATTAATATAAACTAAGTAAGTAGGTACCAATATTATCAACAGTATGTCAGATACTGAGCATTTTATTAATAATGTACTGTAAGTGCTATGAAAAAACTATAATGATGACTGATAAAAAAAAAAATTTCATTATCAAGTTGATGAGGTATTTGTTTATTGATGATGATATCAATGGTGTGAAGTAGATAATGAAAATTCTACATATTATTAATAATTAAACCAAAAGTATACTGACTAATACAGATTAATTGATTACTATTAAATGCAGAAGACTGAGTACTGATTGTGTAAGGGTTGTACTGTTAATATGAATGATTGTGTGAGTGCTTTTTAATGATTACAATGTACTTTCGTAGGACTATAATATTTTTTCTACAAGTATTTTATTTCAAACTTAAAATAGACACTATACTATGGTTAAACATCACCAAATGCATCAGTGATTAATTAGGTACTACTCTATAATATAAAATTACTATTAGATGCATGGTCAATTTTCTTGTAGATGTAATTGGATCATTTGTAAGATTTAACACTGGTTTAATTTTTTAATATAATACCTATTGTTAGTAAATTTAGTAAGTAAATCTATTAAGTACCTATATACTTTATAATATTCATAATATGTATGGTAATAACTAATACTTGAGCCTAGTATATTATTAGAAATATGTTGGTACTTATCTAAAAATTGTAAACCTTTTAAATTGTATACATATACTTAATGTAATGTTAAAAAATGGCATTTGAAACTAAATACTTCAAAGTGTCAATAGTGTTATAAAGTAATTTCCCAAGAAAACTAATGCACACTACTTTTAATATTATAAATGCAATACTGTATTTATGCGCTCTACTGATAATTATATTATTCTTTATTAGGTAAACAAATTATTATTTATATTATAGGTAATTATTATATATATATATATTTTTTAATTCCCCTTTATAAATAGTTTCATTAGCTAATACTTATTAAAGCTAATTATATTAATTTTCTTTAAATTAACTGCCTATTTTTCTTTGGATTTTATTACTATTAGTATAACTATATTTACCTATATAAGTTATTATTTTTTTTAACTTTTCATTTTTCTACAGACCTAATTTTTTAATTTTTCTAAAATTATTGTTCCAAGTCGTATAATCACCTATCAGTGTTAGCTATAAACTAAATGCAAACCGGAATACAAACTTAAATATCACAAGGAATTGAGGGAAAAAAAAGCTCCTGACCAAAAAATACTAGGAAAAAAAATGGCATTGTAAATTAATATGAATATTTAAATAATAATAAAAAAAAAATATTTATTGTACTTATTATTTTAAGGTAATAAAAAAATAGGCAATTAAAAAATTATGATTTTTTTATGTTATAAGAGTTAAGAATGTTAACAAAAAAAAAAAAATAAAAAAAAAAACTCCAATTATTTAAAAAAAATATATAATATAAGTAATTTAAAAATACATAATAATTTGATTATTATTTATTAGCATGAAAAAATGTTGTAAACAGTTGTTAATTTATGTTACCACACCATGTTTCTCTATATTATTTAACGCCAATTTTAAAAACAAAATTATATGATATGTATAATGTAGGTACTTACGTATACTTGAAATCTATCTACATAATATTTATCATATTTCTGATTTATTACTTGAAAAACTCTTAATATATATACTCTATTGGGAATCTATTAATCTGTATATATTGGATATATTTGATAACAAGTACTGTAGAGTTTTAATCACAATAAGTCATATAACATATGAAAATCATGTTTTTTAAAAATTATTTTTAAATTGCCTGTTTTTTTTTTTTTAATTAACTTAAAATTAATGGTTTTTTTCGTTAAAAAGTTTGTTTTCAGTTGTTAAAATTAATTACAAGTCTGTAACATAGGGTTATAAATTATAGACTGATAAATGTATAGCAAATTTACTGAACTTATTCTCATAAATATTTTATAATACATTTTTCCTTATTCATGTTTTATCATTACCAGCTACCATAATGTTGTACACTATTTATTGTTTCATTTAAATAATTGAACATTTCAATATTATTTGCTAACTATTTTTTACTATCACAATTAATATTTATTCCGCAATACAAATAACAATACTTAAATATTCATAGGTTTGAAATATAGAGGCAAATCATATAAAGTTCTACAAGAATTAAATGTTAGCTATAGATTTTAAATATTTAGAAGAATTGGTAATTCCATGTTATCTTGACTACCCAAATATTTCCAAGGCTACCTGTTAGAATCATCTGAGTTATTTCGACTACCTCTGTAAAGGAATCTATTTATACATGTATATTTCCGTGTTGTGATCTGTATCTTCGTAATATACAATCTATAATTTATGTCGGTTTTTATTTTGTCAGTCAATTGACAGTCATCCATTGTTCATAGTTTAGTCAGTTATTATAATATACTATACTGTACCTACGTGCTTTGTCTTGTCAACACAATTTGCCATCATTAGAAGCGACAAAATCTTACAAACAATCCACCATTTGATAGAATTCTAATGGATATTAAAACCAACTTTCTTCGCAAAAAAGTTATTAACTAAATGTTTTTTTATTTTATTTTTGCTTAAAATATTATAAATTGTTTTTTTTAAGTATACATTATTTTTTACTATACTTATTATTTAATTTTTGCTTGACATTTTAAAATGTTAATCAAATGTTAACTAAATTTTAATTAACCATCAATAATATAATACGAATATATAATTTTATTATTTAATAAATTGCGGTAGTAGTTGAGATAACACGGAAGCACCGAGGAATTAACTGTGTTATCAAAATTTATTGGTGATGCCTTAGACTTTCTACTGGGTGAAAATCAATGTTCTACAGTCAGCTTTTACCTGTATTATATTCACTTAAAACTAGATTAAAAAAATGCTCGTCATTTAGCTAATATGATTATACCGTTAATTAATTCTTTATTAAAATGATTTAATAATTTTTTTTTAATTATCTCTGAATGAGGATATTTTGACAACTTGTTTCCATTCATGCTATAAATTTAAATGCATATGACCACAACAAAATGGAATTCTAAACCTATGTATAAATGTTACAGAAAATATTTTTATTGAGCATACATTACATACGTACATATGTCTACAAACCATCCACTCTAAGATATTGTACTACATAGGTAAATCAAATATATTAAATATTATGTAGCCTATTGGTAGGGAAACAGCTCTTTAGATATTTTTAATCTGTATATTTAAGGTGTTATTACCACATTAGTTTTAAATAGGTACATGATTTATCTACTATATTTTTGTCTATATTTATACATTTATTAACTTACTTTTTTTGTTTTAGAAATCAATTTGTGATACAACATGGAATTCACTATAAAAATCGAACCTTCTGAAGGAACCTCAGACTTAGTGGATTTGTTGTCAGACACTGAAGTTTCTCCAGAAGTTCCTGCCTTGAAATCACCTGAACGTCCAGCTCGTGTCAGGACACCACCTGATATGCATTGTTCAATATGCCTTGAAGAATATAACAACAAATGCCATCCAGATATATGTTGGCATAAGTTTTGTTTTGAATGTTTAAAACGATGGTCACTTGTAAGTTAAATAAATTATTAAAATTATTCATCAGCATAGTACACAGATTTATATATTTTTAAACATTTTCTTTAAATACAACCCCCCTACTATACATTTTAGGAATGTGATCTCAAAGGGACCATGCAACATAAAAATCATATTTTTTTTCATTGTGTATTATTATTATTATTACAAATTTATAAAAACAAAAATTGTCAGCTGTGATTCGTTTTAAAAATTGCTCGTGATGTCATGATATCCAATTCTATGGCAACTGTGTATGTTATTACTCAGGAAAGATAGACACATTATTGTTAATTTGTCAAACAACTGTTATTATTTTATTATGGGTGAACATTATTTTATTTACCTATATCTAGCACGGAGTAAGATTATAATTATCTTAGTCCGTGATATCTAGTAAGTAAATGTTCATGAAGACATTTAAATGTATTCTTTCATAATCGCCTGTTCTATTATAAATTTGGGCTCTTTTCACATTATACAGTTTTGACTGTAGTAAGTATTTAGTATAATAATTAATTGTAACATTAAATTTAACAGTATACACTACATGTAATAATATATAGTTGTAGTACAGTATATTAATTATTATATTTCCATAAAGAATAGAAACAGTTTTTTCCTGTAAAAAACATTCGAATATTGATCTAAATAATCTAACCTATACTACCTACTCAACATACGCGTACAAAATATTTTTTCATTTATATTTAACAATTATCAATTATAATTATAACCATCTATATATTATGTATTTAAATTTCTATTATAAGAAATTATAAAAATTACTTTGTGCTCTATGTACCATTAGAGTGAATACAGTTATAAACAATTTTCCCATGGAGTTCATTTTCAAGATTTTTCTTGTCGTACTAGAAGTTTGGTTAATTATTATAAATGAACAAATTGCAATCTTAGTAATGAAGTTAGAATTTGTTCAAAAAATTTAAACCTATAAAATATAAAGAATCTACAATTCCTAAAAATGTATTTCATAGTTCAACTACTATTTTTTTAATATTTATCAATTGAGAAAGGAAACAAATTTCAAAAAATTGCAAAGAAATGATAAGTTGAATTATTAGTGACTGATTTATTATGCGATGTTGAAGACTAACATAACGCATAAAAATAATTTGAATATAACTATAACCAAAATGAAATTGGTATACAATTGTGAATTAGGTAGTGATTTCAAAGTCAACATGATTTTTCATTTAATTTACCTCTTGATGAGTTATCAACTTCAGTTTTGATGTTTATGATGAAGATATCGAGGTATTTAAACTGAAAAAAATCCAACAAGTTAAATAATAAACAAATAAAACAAGTCAGTGACAAACAAGTAGTTACAAAATATGAAAAAAAAATGATTTATTTAAAAAATTAATTTTGGACCACAATGTATTAAATGTGTCTTTTAATAAATTAATTTTAAAGGGTACTGGTTTTTTATTGCCCTGCCATCCATATTACAATAAATATAAAATAATTCAACGGAAAATATGTACCATTACTATTATGTTCCTACCATGGGTGTTTATCACAAATAATCAATAATATAATAAACTGATATAGAAAATAATGAGTTTATTTATTGATATATATTAATCTAATAATTCGACAATATATTAATGTAATATCATGGGAATCACGGAAAGCATAAACATTTGTATACATTTTTTAACATTATATTATTATTTCATTTTTTAATATTTTATCAATATATTGTTGAATTATTAGATTAATAAATATCCTTAAATAAACTCATTATTTTCTATATCGGTTTATTATATTATTGATTATTTGTGATAAACACCTATGGTAGGCACCTAATAGTAATAGTAATATTTTCCGTTAAATTATTTTATATTTGTAATATAAAATATTATGCAATTATATATGTAATTATGTAAATTACAATGTATTTATTTTTATATGGATGACAGGGTGATAACAAACCTAAGTAGTGGGGCTTTAACAAACCAGTACCTTTTAAAGTTTAAAGTAGTAAAACAATTGAATATAATTGAAATACAAAATAAAGTTTGGCGATACTTAGCTTATAAAGAATTTATTACATGAATAAATGCATGCACAGCAACTGGTAAATGTGGCAGAATAGTAATTCCATCATATACAATTCATAAAATTAGACTTATCTAGAAGAAAATAGTGTTTTAATTTATTATTGTATGTAAAAATATAATGTTTTTTAAAACATATACTTTTATTATAAAAGCTAGTGATTATTTTAGTATAATAATAAATTATAAAGAAATTTAAATTGTATACTTATGTTTTATACTAATAAGTTAAAACAATTAAATTAATAATATATTATTATTCTCATAGAAAACAATATGTGTTTAGAAATATATGAGAGATATTTAAATGCTTAACTTTGTTTAAGAAAACAATAATATAGGAACAATTCAACAATCAATCAACTGAGATTGGAACAGATTCTCGTGTAGCACATGTATATACACTGCTACCGATAAGCAGGATACTTTGATGTCACGCTTTTTTATAAATGTCATAATTCAGAAATTATTCAATGTAGACAAATATTATCAGTATAATTTTTCTTTGGTCAGATTTTTTATAATTTTCTAAATAAATGTAAATTTTAATTGTTTCATGATCATTTAATATATATTAGACAGTCATCAATGCATGACAAAAAATGTTCTTATATAATATGAAGGAATCATTAAGTTTTATATTGTACTAATTTTAGTTAAGTACTTCTTCATAATTACTTAAAAGAACTTGGTTAATTAAAGCATTAAAATGTAGTTTATTAATATTGTGATTTTTTAGATTGAATCCTCATGTCCATTGTGTAAGAAGGATTTCAAACAAATATATCATTCATTGGTTGATGAGATCTTCACTGCAGTACACAATGTTATTCCAACACGTCCGCAATCGTAAGAATAAAATTGTATATTATTATTATTTACCTGACTGGTTCAAAATTCCCAGTTCTATTATTTTTATACAACAATGTAAGTAGGCACCTATTCTATTCAATAAGAGAAACAGATCTTTTGGTACATATCATCAAATATCACAGCCAAATGTATGATAAGTACATTTTTATTTAATTTATGATCAAAATTTTCAATCAAAATTATCTAGATTGAAGAATTTGTTTTAGTTACTAATTAAACATAAGAAGAGTTATAATAGCAAAATTCAACAGCATGAATTTAAAAAAAAAAATATATCATTAGTATATGGTTCCAAAAATTGTTTAAATAATAATGTTTAAAACCATAACAATTATATAAAGACAACTAGAACTAATAAAACTAAGATTAAGAGTAAAAATAAGATTGGTAACTTATGTTTTAATTTTCCATTTGGTAGTGCAGGCTGGGTTAATTCTCAATATCTCCTGTGAATTTTGTTAGTGTGCATTATTTAATATGTACATAGTGGTTTACTTTTGACCGTCTGCTACTTAAAAGATATTTTGCCATTCCCCACTTGTATAATAGGTAATTGCATTTTCTCTGCTTGATTCCTATATGGTTTAGGGTATCCTTAAGCCACGTGGCAAGTAGGAACCTGGTTTTTTTTTTTGTTGAATCTTCGATCAGTGATGAATTTCGTACTTCAGACTAACCATATTCTTTTCTATTTAATTTGTGAATCAATTTTGATGGCTTCTTCCCATATATGATGTCTGAATTTAAGCCTTTTAATTGGATTATGTACTATATTTTTGTAGATTGACAGATTAATGATCTTTTTAAAGTAAATAAGTATATTAATAAAAAATGTATACATAAAAATAAAATAAATAATTGGATCGCCTGGAGTATTATGATAAGTGTATTATACGACCAGTTTTTAATTAAAAATTCATCATCAGGTAAATCTCAGTCAAAATTTAAAATGCGAGTCTTAATCATTTTAATAATTTTGTTTTACTTTATTATTTTATGATCTTTTTAATTTTACTGGTGACACTTTGGGTAGTTTTTATCTTCTGATTTCTGGAGGGGTAATATGTGAAAGAACAGATAGCATTGGGTTGGAGTGCTTCTTACTGTTCCTCAGTCCCTGTGACTGTTCTCATTGCTGCATTTAGTAGTTAGATGTACATTTTTTTGCAGTGAGCATTCATCTATACGGGCGCACAACATTCAGCTACACTGTACACTAAGAATAGTACTGAAGTTCTCAGAGTGCTTGCATTATAGCCCCAGCTAGTTAGCATTGAACACAGCACACTGTATTACTAGAGTTGATATATAATATTTATAAAGGTAGAATACTGCACATGGGTACATCATTGCTGTAGTTGGAAATGTGGACACATAAGGTAGTTAGGCTTTTATTTTATATGCAATGACTTGTTAATTTGTTATAAAATAAATTACAATTACTTTTAAAGAATTTGTCATTAATTTGAACTTATTAAAAAAAAAAATTCCAACATTAACATTTTTCATTTGCCACTAAACATATGTTTCATCTATGCTATTCAAGTGTCAAATTTACCCAAAACTATTAGGTTTCATGAAATAGATTTTCTTCAAATTTGAATCATGTACTTCTTTTTTAGTCCTCTATTGACTCTTATTCGACAAATTATTGAATATAGCTTAGTGTTCTAGGACCCCCATACTGCAATGACCTGTAGTCAATTAAAACAAGTATAGCTTAATTTCTTAAGCATGTAAATTTCCTACTGAAAATTGAGCACTCAATACATATCTATGACCCTATCCTCTGTAAACTTGAGTAAGCTTAGCCAACCGCAGACTTTTTGCCAATATTGAAGAACTCCTCTCCAATAACATTGATTCCCTATTCTTATTTTATCAACTTAATTTTTATATTCTTTCTCATATTATACATTTCAAATAAAAATATTTCAACCCCTTTCTACTCTACTAATTATGAACTCAATGAACCAATTATCCGTCTTATGTCTATTGCCAATATTAGCCCTTCTTTTATTCTTAATATTTTTTGTACCCTTAAATTAAAAATTAGGGCTGCCATTACACGTGTAAACAAAATGATAAGTACTTTTAGAATTTTAAAAATTCCTGTTTCCTAAATTTTTTCCCAATTATTTTGAAAATTGCTTAGAAAAAAAAAAAATAACCTCAGAAAAAATTAATTTATTAAATAAGTAGATAGGAAATTTTAAGTTAAAAATTTACATTACCATTTGTATGTAACAGTTAAAATCAAAACAATATTTAATGTCACAATCATAATTAAATTATAAAAATGATAATAATAACATAATATAATAGACTAAATATTAGCTAATTACTATTTAGCCGACCTCGGATGGTTAATTAACTTAACGGACGTATAATCAATGGTTAACAGAAGTTAACAGGTCAAAGGTCTTAATTATAATTTAATCACTGTTTAATAACGCACTGCATAACTATCTCTAAATCTATATTTAGGTCTCTACATCTAAGCTTGGGTTAGGTAAGATTATATACTAGGTTACCAACTATTTTCAAAAATGTATGTGGATTTATTGTAGTTTTTTGTATAAATTATGTTTAGAAATTAAGAACTTTGCATTTTGTATATTAGGCTTTCTTATCCACCATGTATATTTTTTAATTGTTTATGGTTATAAATTTATTTGGTTTATTTTTGTAGACCAAGAATAGTTGTGCGTCCATATGGCCAATTATTTGATGAAAACAGGTAACATACAATAATATTGTTTATTCATTTAAATTTATATTATATTGCATACAGTATAGCTCATTGGTAATCTAATAAAAATTAATTTTTAACACCATAAATTATAACAAAGCATTGGTAAACAAATTAAGCAATATAACCAAATTACAACAAAAATGAACTTAGGTCGGCATTAGTGAGGGACAACATATTTGTTAATGTCTAAACATATTTAATATAATTAGTCTATGTATGTATATATAATACAATGCATAGTTCCATTAGTAAAATTGTATTTAAAATTAAAAGGTTATGCAAATATAATGTAATTTTTTTAAATAAATAAAATTAAATGTTTAATTTAGTATGTTCAGTGTGAATATGTTCCTGGATGATCTTCGAAGAAACCATCGGGATAATAATTATAATGTTGGTGTCTATTCTCATTTGAACATTGGAAGAGGTTCAAGAATTCAAAGTAATGTTCAAAATTTAAATGTTGCACCGAATCCCTACCTTGTTGATGGTGAAATATATTTTTATTATTATTATACATTTATATTAGGGTGCCACTAAAAATTCAATTCCAATAAAATCACCCATAATATTTTACATGGCTATTTTATTTTATATTTTTGAAAGTTAACAATTTTTTAAATTTAGCTTAATGAGTTTTAATATTGTAGGAGTATAATACAAATTATAGTATAATTCAAGGTACTAGTTAAATTTAGTCATAATAACCAAAATAATAAAATAAAAAAAAAAAACTTGATAATGTATGTACATAATCATAATACATAATATATATATATATATATATATAATACATAATATATATATATATATATATTTTTATTATTATGTATTTATGTGAACATAATATTGTATCACAATCAATGTATCATATTTTTATTGTGACTTCATTCATACAGGAAAAAATAAAATAAAACGTCGTTTTATTATTTTAAAATTAAATTTTCCTCTATTAAGAAAACATTACCGTCGATAAAAGTTTAATACAGTTATTATAGATAACAGATTTTTTACAATATCAATAAAAAAACCCGTTATAACATCTGTATAGTCATTATACAGATATCATAATAATCTATAAAAATTAGAATGTACAATATTATATATAGAAGTTCAATATATGGTCAGTACACCTGATATGTCACTACAACCAATTTTATTATAAATGTTATTTACTGTAATTAAAAAAATAAAAGATACAGTATTAATATTTTAAAGTCTTTTTGTTTACATTATTATTTATACATTTATTAAAGTAAGTAATAAATTAAAGTTGGATTGTTTGAATTAGAGAATCTTTGATGGGTTCTCGATTACTTATAAAAAGTATTGCTTTGGTCTTCATGTTTATCCAATGTAGAATTAAAACTTTATAATATAGTAATTCTACGTTCAGCAATATTATTGACTACTTTCAATTCCATAAATCTTCTTTTTTAGTTTATTTTATTTTTGAATTTATTCAATGCACTTGGATGATTTTTAAAAATTGTAAGATTAATTTAAGGCTTCAAAAAGTTTTGGAATATTTATTTTTAACAAATTTTGATAGTTGTATATTTGGTATACTGCGGTCATCCAATTTGATACATTTAAGAGGTTCTTTGTTTCCTTTTAGTAAAGATAAAACCAATGATTCTTTTTATTCTATAATTATATGATGATTGAAAAATGTCAAATCTTATTTTTTTTTTTTCTAGCTTCTTCCTTTTCTTTTCTAAATTCTCTACATTTTTCTATTATGCTCAATATTTTATGAACTGAAACCATACTCCCCCATTTACCTATCTCTCCCTGAGCCATTAAAAACTAAGAAGAAATCACAATCATAAATGGAATTCACCCAAATACTGTACAATTATTTTTACTAGCAGTATTGTTTAATTTTGCAAGATATAATATTAAAAGATTATCAAATTATTTATTATAATAAAATAGATAGTATACTATACAGATTATCTCAATCACAATATCTTACTACTATGGTTTTTCCATAAAGTAACATTATATTAGTGTGCAAAGCCACGGGTTACAATGGGTAATAATAATACTCATATTAATAGGAAGAAGAATGCGAAAGACAAAACATTAGGCATTAAGTATAATGTGCTCCGAAAGCGAAACTGAGAGAGACAGAGGTCCTTTATCTGCTGTAAACTAATTTTAATAAATTATTATTCTTTTTTGTTTTTTTTTTTCCCAATAAATGATGCAATACAAATATGACGGGGTATTTGCCCTTGTGAGCAGTCCCTTGTAGCATCGCAATACACCCACAAAAAAAAATATAATAATGCTCATGTATAAGACAATACCCAGTAATATTTTAAGACTGACTATTTTGAGTGACCAATTAACATTATCAAATAGGAATACAATTTTTTGCGCTAATTCTTTATATCTAAAGGAAAATAGTTATGAGGTGTCATAGAAAACAATAAATAACATTTACATTTTTGTTTATAAGAGATTGGCACCCTAATTTGTATCTATTTATACTTAATATGTTTTACTTTAATTTAGTTCAAGGAATTAGAAGACGAGTGTATTCAGACAATATGTGGGCTGAACCATTACCCGATTTAAGTGGGCGATTTAGAGATTGTAGCTCTAGTTTTTATAGGTAAAATAATAATTACAATTTTAAGTTTTAAGTTAAAAATTGTTAAAATGTTTGATTGATTAATTTTTTTAGAGAAAATCCAGTACAAACTTATAGATTGCATGGATTTATCATAAGAGATATCACTGTTATAAGATCTCTCATTGCAACCGATTTAAGACGCAGACCTCCTTCAAGTGTTAATGATGAAGCTCTAACAACCTATATAATGCGTTCAGTCCTACTGTGTGAAATAAGAGACATGCGTTTGATAAGCATATTATCACCCTATATTGGGCAACATGCAGACCATTTTCTTCATGAATTATATAACTTTGCCAATAGTCCATATGATTTGGTTGGTTATGATCGTAATGTACGCTACTCTACTGGTCGAAATCATCGTCGTTACATAATACCATTTTCTGGTTACAGCGGATTAAACGTAAAATAATCAAAATACATATTATATTTTTAGTATTTAATTTTTGTGTTCAATTTTTAGAATGCAGATCTTGTTGAGCTACCAATACCAAATCAAAGAGATCTATATTTTATTAATAATTCAATTGATCCGATTGTAGTAAATTCAGATGACGACGAGGATGACAATAATCACATTATTGTTATGCCGTCTTCACATACGCATGTTCCAACAGAAGTTATTGAAATTAATTCTTCTGAGGATACTGAGGAATCTGATATTGAAATTATAGATATCATTGATACTGAACCTTCAGATACATTTTCTAGGGATCAGCCATCCACATCAACCGGTATTCGAGATTCATTGAATAGACCAAACACTAGGTACTCAAATTACTATCATTACTTTTATTGTTCTTGTTTTGTTTTGCTGTTTTGTATATTAACATATGCTTAAATGATATTGTTTTTTCCTTAAACAGGTATAATTTAAGGAGACGTAGATTATTTCAGTCCAATCAGCAACCAAATTGTCCAAGTTTCCCACAGCGGAATACTGTAGAGAGGATTGTTATAGATAGTTCGTCAGATGATGAGATAATCGAAACTAATACTCGCAGTACACAAATTACGAGGAGGTCAGAAGTTACTGTGAATAAAAGGAAACGAAAAATCAAAAAATCCAAACTTAAGAGAAGGAAAAAGAATGTTGTTGAATCTCGGCCTGATATTCGACTTGGTATCAGAACTCGATCAGGTTCAGATTCTTCGTCTTCTAGTGATACAGACATAAACTTAAGTAGCAATTTAATGAATATTCGCAATGTTTATTAATAAAAAAAAAAACAAAATTGCATTGTACAAATTTTAAAGTTATTTAGACTGTAGATGAATTTATAATTTATTATTCAAATACATAAACTATATAATTACTATTTTATATTTAATAACGTTGTATATAGTTTCTAGGCAAAAAGGAATAAATTATTAATTGATTAATAATTTTATGATTAAAACTAATTCATATAATATATTATTATAGAATTTAATTATTAGTCTGTATAACCGACATTTTATTTTATTTTTAAGTTTTAATTAATGTCTTATTAATATTAAATATAAAATAATACTCTTTTAGAATATAATGTGATCTTTTTTATTTTTACTGAATCACTAAATATTTTAGTTAGATAATCATTAATTTAAATTTACTTTTGAGCGTTGATAAATAATACTAAATTATTGTAAGTACTAAAAGTCTGTCTGAAATATTATTTCATTTAAGATAAATTATAAATTTTTATCCTATAGTTGGGCACATACATAATTAAATTTAAACTTTTTAAATGGAAACCACTTATGTTCACCATCAGATTCAAATAGTGCTAATTTTCAAGCTACATTATCTATATAATATTACTATTTTCTATCTCAAAATTTACCCAAATACAGCTATCCTAAATTTGTTTTTAAAAAAATTGTTTTGATTTTTCAAAATATGTAATATATATATATATGCTTATATTATGTATTCATAATATTATGATTTTATTTATTTATGTTTTTAGAATTTAAGTGGATCGGGGAATTTATTGGTTTTATAATTTTTTTTTTTTTTTTTTTTTTTTGTGAACACTTTTTCTACTAGATAGAATAATCCAATTATCAAGCATAGCACCTTTTCTGGGTGGTACTCTAGAGAGCCATTTTTTGAAATTCTCATTAATATTCAAAATAATAAGGAAAATCTGGTTCTTTAGGTTAAAAAAGATTGAAAGATTAAGTATAAGGTTGTCATTGGCCATCGTTTTTAATTATTTATTGTTATTATTAAGTTTAATTATTTTAAATCTTTTAAATGATCATTGTTTTCATGGAAAAACTCAGTGTTGTAATAATTTTACCATAATATGACATAAGTATATATTGTTGACAAAGAAACACTCAACTAAACTAACTGAAATATTAGGTATTACAATGCTCTGTTTACATTTAAAACGTATGATTCTTGTTTTATTGTGATTTACGATTCATGACATTAGTGGCAGCGCTGGATTTAGAGGGTAGGGGGTTCCAAGGGGTCTGTTATAAATTTAATTCTATTAATAAATACTTTTGCAATACTTACAATTTATCAGTATCCCTCTCCGAAAAATGTTGAAAATAAGGCTCTGAATTAATTTCCTGGCCATATTTCATATGTATATAAATTAATTGTTTTAATCAAAAATGTTTCAATAAATTTATTTTATAATATGTACCTATCCATATTCCTATTTTTAAAAATAATTAGCCTGATATGTGTGCTGGTTTAATGTAGGGTACCCATAATTAAAAAGTAAAAGAAAAAAAAAAGCTGATATTGGGGTTGGGAGCGGCCACTGTTTGTTGTAGGTTAGAAGTTGAGAAGGTAGGATACATAAGGTTATTTCATTTATATCTGTAAGCAATGGTAAACCATTGCTTGACAAAAGACAATTTCGAGCGTAGTTCAGCAATACATAATTTGAAGTGCCGTAATTTTTTTTACGATTTTCGTTTAAATTTGATTTCAAAACACTTATGAAAAAAAAAAAGTCCGATAATTTTGAAAATTTTACCACGTCTAGGTAACTCTAATATAAGTATTACCAAGTTTCAAGTCTACGTCGATTTATAACCAAATTACATCAAAAAAATTAAAATCCCTTAAAAGTTCAAAAGTTTTGGCGATGAAACCGTAAGAAAGTAAATCAAAAATGCAACAAAAAAGGTCTCTTGTGATTTTTCGATTAAATAATTTTTTCTGGTATAAAACGTCGTGTTTTTATAAAATAATTAAATCGTGGAATTTTATGTTTTCCTGCGTTTTCCCCTCACTCAAGTGCTTTTATTTAAAAAAAACCAATAAATGACTTCTTTAAAGTATAATCCTAGACAATTTGAGCTTTCAGAAAAGGTGCTATACGTAAAAATTAGAACAAGTTTATTAAGAAAAAACGTGTTCACATACTAGAATAAAAAAAAAATAATAATAACATTGTAAAACCAATTACTCCAATTACTCCTACTAATTTTTTATTATTAACGGCTTAGCGCCTAACAGCCAGATAACACACTATCGCGACCGATGACAATTTATGTACGGATATAAAAAACATTCGGTCATGCGGGTATAGCTGAATTGTGATAAATATTTATCTGCGTTTTTCCACTATACTACTATAATACGGTAACTATTACTAGTTATGTCTCATAATCTGTCGATAATATTATCACGTAGGTATTACCTACTGGTTTCGTATTTTATCTATTATTATTTTACTCGTATTATATTTATTTATATAATATAAATTTGTTATATTTTTTTCTCATTGAATAAGTTATTTACTATAAGTTAGTAAAATGTAAAATTTAAATTTGTATCAGCTTTTTTTATTAAATTAAATTATTAAATAAATAAGTTAAAATATTTTTCCACGACATAAACTGTATTTCTGATTTTATTTTGTACCTAGAAATTATAAACTATAAAAAAAATAAGTGATATAAAGAGAGGGGGGGGGTTGAAATCAGGGAGTGGTCCGTGACGGTGAAAAATTTATAAAAGTGGTCCGTGCCTATTGTTGAGTTGGGAACCACTGATTTAATTTGTTTATATTCAGTTGCGTTTTACATATTGACTGTGATATACCTAATGTTCAATTTTTAATTCAAAATTGGCCGTATAATACACGTGTCATAATACTTCAGGCGACACATTCATTCATTTATTTATTTTTTATTTACATATTTATTTACAATATGAAATTATTAACACTTAATAACTTTGCAATAATAAAATTAAATCTGCGTAATATTAAGTAATAAGACATTGTCTATACAATTGTTTATGTTAACAGAAATGTTGACAATCGGGAAATGATAACAATTGCTAATACGTTTAGGAAATGATGTCATTGCCTAGAGAATGTTACTATTTCCTGACGATAGTAGGGAATGTGTCTACGGCAAAATTACATATTAATTGTATATATAAATAAATAGTTTACATTTATATTTTTCAGTGGCGCCGAAGTCATTTAAAAATACTCGGGCAAACAAGGAAATACTGTATTATACTGGTTTTTTTTGAGTATATTATATTACTTTACTCAAAGTAGTATTTTTACAGTCATAATTGTAGATTCTAAGTGGGGCGAAGAGGCTTATTGTTTTACAAAGATATTTGTTTATTTTTTTTTTCTGTGGACAACTTTTCTATCAGTAATTTTGCTCCAATTTACAATGATAGCATTTATTCTGAAAGGAAATTTTAATGGGAAGGTATTTTAGAGATGTCATTTTTGGATTTTTTTAGGATTTTTCTCAACTAATGTGAAAAACCAAAAAAAAAAAAATGGAGGAAAAGCGGGAAAATTTACGAAATATATTATTAAAATATTGCCTGATAACATTGTACCATAATTAACGATAGTAATGCTGTTAAAAGTCAACTAACATATTATTTCCTTGGTATTTAGGCTTTATCATTATTTCCTGAATTGTCAATATTGCCGGTAACATACATTATGAGCATAATAACAACGATAACAGTAACGAGGAAATTAGACATTTTACTAGAAAAAGTTAATAAAATTACTTTTAAAATTATTTATAATAAAATATAATTAAATTACCATCAAATTACTTAAAAAGTAATTTCGTTACGATAACTTGTAACTTAATTTAAGTTACTCCTAAACACTGGTGCTTAGCAACGTGCATTCCTTAGTTAGTCCAAAACAAAATATTTTTTGGTTCGGCCACCACGAGTTCCACCTATAGCGTCCAAACAATTAGTGTATTTTATACGGTGAATATCAGTGTTCAGTTTGAAATAATAAAAGATTTGCGTTAAAAACGCATGCTTCCCCGTTAATCATAGATGCACACTCGTTTCTTTCATTTAAATATTATTGTAGGATGGCTACATAAATTCAAAACGCATTAATCCGGAAAGTAAAATCCCGGACTGAAAAATTGGAAACGTAAAATCTCTGAAAAATATCAATAGTTTCTAGAAAAACGTTATCACAAAAACGTCAAAATTTGTGTAACGCAAAAAAAGAAAAGGGCCAGATGAAAAATTTAGAAAAATAGTCAGGGAAAATAATTTCTCTGGATCTAGAGGTCAGGAGAAGAAAAAAGATTGGAGGTTACAATTTTGGAATTATTGATTTTTACTTAATACTGAAAGAGTTAATAAATGAATTCGGTGAACATATTAAGGTTTCTAAATTAAATAACAGAACTGTTATTATGTCAATATTTCCGTTTTCCTACGTTTCTTCCCAATTATTAAAAAAAACAACAAAGGAAATAAAAAATGGCTTCTACCCCTTAATTTGATTGAAAAGTTGTTTACTGCAGATAAGAAAAAAAATCTTTTACAAAATAAAACACTAATTTTTGTTTACGTTTAATATCGTTGGCCTTGCTGGACGGAGTTAAGATTTTCATTTTATTTTTATTGTATTACTGTCTTATAAGTTATCAATATGTTAATAAATTACTTTAAACCGGACGAATATTGAATAAGTAACTTTTGAAAAAAGTGTATTAGATTCAGAACATAGCGAAGAATGTATTGATTTTACAATGATGTTTATTTATTTAATTTTTATACTGTGTGCACAATTTCTACCAGAAATGTTGCTTCGATGTATTAAATGTAGCATCTTTTTAGAAAAGAAATGTTATCTAGTTGGTACTTTAAATAGGTCGTTTTTGATTTTCCAAGTAGTTTGCATAATAATTTGAAAAAACTGAAAAAAATAAAAACTTAAAATGAAAATTGATAAATTTACGCCATTACGGTTTCATTATTTTAAATATTTACGCTTTATATTAGAAATATTGCTCCAATAAAAAAACGATAAGAAATCATCGTTTTACATCTGATTGGTCAGTAAGAAAGGTGTTTTTTGATTTTCTGTGTAGTTTTTTCATTAATTGAGGGCATTGAGTAACCCTCACCCCAAAAATGTAGACAGAATGTAAAAATGTACTAAATAATGCTTTTATTCGAATTTAAATTTCGAATTTTTGTTTTAATTTAGTGAAAATATTCGTAGAGACTTGAAATTTGTATAAGTAATTTATATTTGCCTTTTCTAGAAGAGGTAAATTTTTTAGGCAACTTGCATCTTTAAAATCCTCCTACTTACCTTTCTCCACCTCTATCTATTTTTCGAATTCTCCTCTTAATCGTTTAATGCATTTAGCCAATGAGCACTCTAACTTTGGCTATTGAGCTCTCTTAGTTATATTCAACATTTCCACCTGTAACTTAAATATTGTTTTCACATTACTTGTTCTTCTATGTTTGGGTAACCCAACCCGTTTCCTAATAAAATAAAACATTTAAGCTATTTTAGAGCTATTTATAGACATTTAAATTTTGATAGGTTTTACGTAATTTTTATATGGTAGGTACTTTGTGGATGAGTTGTTTGACCAAACAAAAATGCTCGGAAATTCAACAAGAGATTTATTATAAGTTGTACTTTATGGTAAAAAAAAAAAATTGAAGTCAATGTAGTATTTTATTTTTTTAAGAAATTTAATATCAATATTTGACGAAGATCGTAAATATTACGATCTTTCAAAATATGTATAACTGAACTTTTTCTGAACTCATTTTCTGTTAGTAATGGGAATATAAATAAAATATTTTAATGTATTCTATTAACTTTTCAAGAGTGGCACATCCGTCCCCAGTATCAACACTTTTTCAAAGTAAATTCACATAGTAAAACAAAATAGCTGAATATAAATTTAGGACTTCTAGTGCTCTACAAATATTTACAACATCCAAAATCTACTCAGCATTTAAAATGTTTTTACTAATTAACGTTATATTAAATTGTGCGGTTAGGATATGTTTATATTATGTTACCTTGCCAATGCTTTACTCATTAAAAAATAACTGTTTGGTAGATACCTACTCATACCCTTAATATGAAAAATGGTCGTAAGTAACGAATCGTAACACACGGATATGTTTTGGTAACTATGTATAATATAATATATTGGTAATAAAAAAATTAATCATCAAAAGCGACATAATAATGATTATGATTATAATAAATAATTTTGTTACAAAAAACTGAAAGAACTGACAGCGATATTAGGTTCTTTTTTAAGTTTTTTTTTTTTTACATAATATTATGTTACTGGAAGACATGAGTTATACATATGTATGAATATAATATATAATATAATATATATAATATATGTATGCATATGCTTAAAAATAGTGGATGTTTGTAAAATAATGAACATTCCACGTTGAGTTATTAAAACATTGATAAATATAAGATCTATTGATATAATATATAATTATGTTTAAAAATTATTCTAAGCCTATAAAATATACACAAAAAAAACCAGCAGGCGCTGGTCTACAAAATGACAATTTTTTTTAAATTTTGGGTATATTTACATGCGTTTACATTTTGAAATTGATTAAAAAAAAAAAAAAAAAAAATAAACAAAACAAAACAATAACAGAATTTCTGTTCGGGGTAAGATATAATAAATATTTGCTTATCAAACTTCAAACTTATATAACAAAAACATAACACGTTTTAAACAAATATAACAATATTATACCTATAAATATCCCGTTAGTTCTAATTAAAATTTGTTCTGCTATAACAATAGTCGACTAAATGTACAAATATAATATATGGGTACCTAATCGTACCTAGGTATGTTCTGATATGAACAACACGATAATAGATGAACGATATTTGCCTATACAAATCTATCTATACAGTGTGAATTTTACGATAAAATAATCGAAATATTCACAACGAAATTGTTTAATATAGTTATAGTTTTTTTTTTTTTTTCAGTACGAAGTGCGGATAATCCGTTTTGGCCATCTGTTACAATATTATGAAATCGCATCAATATTATTACAAACAATTATGTTTTTGTTTGTGAATTTTATTGGAATACGACTGAATCGTATTGAACGGTATGATAGTATTATTCTATTTTGATAGGCCGTCAAGAGGTGTAGTCGCATTATTATTCTACAACGAATACGTTTTCAGGGTGTAGATAGGTCTGGTAAAAAACCACTCGAAATTTACAGTGTAATTTATCTACCAGTCAATAACAAATTGTTGCGTCGTTCGGTTGGGTCATTAATGGTGGTAAGAAAAAAACATATTGATATAGGAGGGAAATAATATGTCCCCTTGCATTCATGTATCCTTCACTGAGACCGGTGAGATATACATAATAATGCAGCGTGTAAATATTAGATCCGACGAAACGATATGTTTACTTTGTACAAATTCTTACTAAAAAAAAAAATGTGATTTTTTAATTATTTTTTTTGTTTTCAATATACCTACCTAATATTGTAAAATAGTATACAAGTTTAAAAAATAATTATAAAAATCGTGACAAAAGAAGTAATAAATACATATAATGTTATAATATAATATAGTGTTGTATATAATGTTGAGATTTAACGAATTAAAAAAAAAAAAAAAAAAAAACAATAACATTTTCGTAACTGAATTGTTATAATATTTTTTAAACGGCTAACAATTAAATTAAGTGAGTATATTATCTATATTAATATTATTTCATACGCGTATTAGGTATGTGGTATAATAATAATAATAATAACAATAATGCAAAATACACGAACAATGTTTTAAAAAACAAATCCAAACTTAATATATCGCGTATACAATACAGAGTGACCGGAAATTTATTAGGGGGGAGGGAATAAAAAGGAACGTGGTTTGATAATCGTTTTCGTTAAGGAGATTGGATACCGGGTATTTTTGTTCTTTGTCTAACACATACACACCCATCCTTACTGTGTACATTTTTGAGTAAAATTATTTAAACAAAAATAGTTTGATGAATAATTTTTCAGTGTTCGAATACGTATTTTAAACACTTCTACGAAAATTGCTATAGATATGGGTAAGTATATTGCATTTTAAATATTTTTAAACCTAAGCACCTTAACCTGTTTATATTTATAATCGAAATCGAATAATTATTTTAAATATCCATCTATTCGTACATTCAGTGACGTGGTGAATGATATTTGATTTGCTCACAAATCAAATTATCTAATACCTATTTCTTAAACAAATTAGTTCACTGATTTGTGGAAAGTTCATACTATTTTAATGTATTTTAAATAAACTATTATTAAATAAAAAATTGTAATATTAACATATGTGAGTACATAATAACTTCAGTAAAAAACTTTTGCTAAATATATTTAGTATGTATGTTATTGATTCCATAAACTGTGTTTGAAATAATTGATTGCGGGTAATAGCTCATTTTAATCTATTTTTGTGACACAATTATTAAAATATCCAACACCATGCCGAAAGTTAAATCGATTCAAAATTTGAATTTTGTATTAAACCGGAATTATACAAAAAAATGAATATTAACGATTTTACCTAAACGATTATCTATACAATAATGTGAAACAGAAAAAAAAATTATTCGAAAATATTTTTAAATACTTTTCATACCTAGGTTATGTATATAAAATAATTTATTAGTGAAATAGGTACTCACTTACATATTGTTATGTATTTCTATTAAATCCTATTACATAATTTAAAAATAATATCTGTATTCAAATATGTTTTAAAAAATAATCTTTTACAAGTTTATACACACCATAACATTTTGGACCGATTTATTTTCAATCTGTTTATCAATGCTGTAATGAAACGATAAGAATGTTGAAAACGGATTTGGATTCGACATGGAACATACGCGAAATTGAATAAGCCATTTATTTTCAATTTAATATTAGTTTTTTTTTTCTAACCAAATTGTTGGAAATTATATAATAAAGGCAATTCAAAAATGTAGCTAAGCCGGTCTCGTATACACTTCACACTGAATTTAAATCTGTTTCTGAAGGATTCTTACATCGATCGGGTTGCAGGAAATTGGTCAACATTTCTGTGCTGCAGAGTACCTATGTTGTATTAGATAAAAATATCGGTATCTATTATCCCCTTAACGTTTTTGTCTGTGTCATTTTCGCTACGAGTATTTCTGATCACCCCGTATATATATATATATATATATATATATATATATATATTATGTATACATATGTCAATTTGAACTACACAGATTCACTAGCACATATATTACCCCCTCAACCCCGATGCGCATCATACATAACATATAATATTATTACACATTTTAAATATTATACATGAAAAATATATCGTACGCAATCATATACGATTGTACATCGTTACAAAAAAAAAAAAAAAATTATTGTCTATAGTTTTCCTATGTCATAATAATTAGAATATAATAACATCGTTTTTATAATATTATTGTTTTTTTTTTTTTTTAAATTCATTCCAAAAAGTCAGTTTGTATATTATAATAATATTATTTATTATTATTATAACTTTTGACGTACAAAAATATTTCGGTAATATTAGTCGTTACGCGAAGGAAGACCCCGTTCCGTATGTATCATAGGTATATATTATTATATTATTTTATACAATAAAAACGCGCGGTGTGCCGCTACGCACGTTTATAAAGCAGGACGCGTGACGTTCCGGCATAATAATAATTATTATAAAACAAACGGCAACGACGCGGAAAAAGAAAAATAAATACAAATACCGAAAAGTTAAATCGAACAAAATACGACGCTATTATATGAACAAAAACAATTTAAAAAAATCATATTATAATTATAATTATAATTATTATTATTATTATTATGACAGTATTATCGTACACTTGTGCGTTTTCTTGGCAGGAAAACGCGGGCGCTGAGAAATTCGATCACATTCAGCCGAAATACGATGATCACGTTAACCATATGGCGGTTATCATGCTCAACAGTATCAGATACGAGGTGACCAACAGCGCCGAACTCGAACCGCATTGTTTGATCTCGATTTCCTATGTATGGCAGAAACAAAAACAAAATCACAAACTCATAATATTTGGTTCACATATTGCACTGCCGCGTAGATAACAGTACCTACATTATATTCTTATAATATACAAAGGGGTGATGTAATGAAATCGATAAAATAGACGAAGAAAAAAATGAAAAAGTACCTCTATTAGAAATTAATAATAATAAATAGTAAAAGAACAATAATATGTACCTACCAAATAAATGACTATATTTGCCATGGTTTACATCAACAATAAGGAAAAAAGTTAATTAATTTTAATTGCTCAGTTTTCGTTTTATAAAATCAACATTTTACAGTTAATTTTCATAAACATAAAACATTCACGCCAAAGGCGAATTTTGAGTAGGTATACTATTTATTTTTTTTTCGAAATATTTCGAATATTAAATATTTTAAAATGTAGGTTTTTTTAAGCAATCAAATATTTAAATTTAAAATTAACCGAGTTAAGTTCCTTTTTTTTATACTAATTAACTTTTGTAATTTTTTTGGTTTTTTAATAAAAATAAAATAAAACTAATATTGCTGCACAGTAGTTTTAAATTTTAATTTTTTATGGTAAAATATTGGGTTTTTAATTATTAAGACTAATTGGCCAAATGATTTCCACGTAAATCCAATAAACTCCATTCAAAAATTAGCATTTTTGTTGGTCGGACGGTCCTGAGTTTATTTTTAAAGAAAATACGTTAATCAGGTATTTGTGATGACACGGGACTACATGTTAGTGTATTTCAAAGTAAATTTGAGTATTTCTGAGTTAATAAATTTTCAGTAGCGGCTCATGAGCTTGTAATTAGTGGAATCAATAATTTTACCATTTTAAGGGAGACCCAAAAAGGGTGTTGAAATGAAAAACGAGGTGTTAATTAAGTCATTAATTCTAATTTTTTGATTATAGGCTTCATTTATAAGATGGCATTTATTAATAATCTAAGTATATTTATTGTAATAAGAAAATTATGTATAAAGCAGTCTTTGCTCATACGTCAAGTCGCCCTTATCAAGTTACATTTTATTATATACCGTATACCTATAATATATTCCTTTAATATGGGTGATATCATTAACCGTTTATTTTCAGTTTACATTAAAACAATTTAATGGTTTTTTTTTTTTTTTAGAATATTTATTGAACATAATTTAATGTCATTTATTATTTCAAATATCATTAATCTGTAGTGTTAATTAAACACAGTTGGTAGAAAACAATAATTATTAAACAATTAGCTCCATTGCTACACTATGCGTTTTGGCGGATTTTGTTGAACCGGTATTGTATCAGTGGACCGTGTCAATGTCACACTATCTGTATTCTGTTATCTGTATAGTGACGTATTTAGGGGGAGAGAAGGCTAGGGGATTTGCACCCCTCTTAGAGACACATAACTTCTATTAATATTAGTGGGCTTGGTATGATTGAAATTGAATTGAAAACGTAACTATTTAAACTGTGTTAATGCCCCCTTCAAAAATAAAAAAACAACAACAAAACAAGTCGTATGTATGCCATTGCATCTATATAAAACACTACATAAAATATTCCATATTAAAAAAAAAAAAATAATAATAATAATAAAACGCACAGTATGAATGCTATAATAGTATAGGTATGCTGTCGCGTTATGCGATATAATCAGAGATCATCAGCATGCAGCCCATATTTCACGGAATACGTTTTCTGCTGAAAAATTCAACGCCGGTCGATTTGGGAATTATCAGCTGCTACAATACTAATAATAGTACATAATACTGGGAGCTATTTCGATTTAACTCGCAGACGGTGTTCGAACATTATAACTTTTATAGGCAAATTTCCTTCCGTATATTATGATATAATTTATTATAATATCGAAACACTCACTTCTGGGTGATAGTTAATGCACTTTCCTGTGCGTCTCCGGAACAAGTTGTTTTGGTCTTGACAACTGTACACAGGTTGCCCGGATTCGTCTATTTCTTGCCGGACCTCCTGTGGCTCGATACTAAGTTGTTTACTGCCACATGGGCACAATGTATCCACCACCAGCAGTATTAGGTTACTGTGGGGAATTTTTTGCACACTGAATGGCCTATAGAAACACGAATAAATAAGTGTTTATCATAAAAGATAAACATACATGGAAAGCACTAGGTAAGTCAAGCTTTTCACTTTCGGTGATTTTGTAGTTGACATCTTTGTTATGGAATATTACAATTGATAAACGGTGTAAAGGGCTAAACATCCAGTCAGTTGAAAATTTTGGATATTTTGGAGTACACAATGTAAGTCAGTTTTAGAGAAAACCACAGTTTTGTTAACTTTCTGTTTTTTTTTTTTTTAACAGGAAAAAATTGGGTCAGTCTGATCTAGTTAATTCACACAAATTATCTTGGAAAGAATATAGAATTCTCATAGAATATAGGTTTTAAAAACAAAGGATCACTTATCTTAAACGGATTTAAAGATAATTATGATGCGTACACAACGATTAAGCCTGCACATTTAAATGATCTCTCGGTTACTAACCGTTCACATCCAGTGGCGTGACAATTGGTCAGTTTTCCTTTAAGCGGATTAAACGACCCACTCGTATTCAATCTGTTGGGCTGCAGTACGTACAAATCGACTGCTTTGCGACATGTCCGGATCACGCCTGGTTGAGTTCGGTTGTATACAGGGCCGAAGAATTCGGCATTTTTCATGCTGGGCACGTGTAACGGTGGAGTCGGCGGCACGTCTTTGTAGTCGTTGACAGAGTCGTTGTCGTCGTCGTTGTCATCCCCCATCATAGGTTTGTCGATTTGATCGCCTAATGTCCCGTCTTTATCATCGTAATCCGCATACGCCGGGTCTGCAAAAAATCGGAAATATCGGTAATACACTAATGTATCTGAAAACAGCTATATTGGGGAGCCAATAATTATCCTGTTTTTTTTTGGAATTAACGCGAAATCATCAAAAATGGCACGAGTTGTTAGATTGAAAAATAATAATAATAATAATAAGTGTATGACACGAATTTCACATTTTAAATCGTTTAACTCTATTAGTTGTGCATCATAATATAATCGAATATATGTGTATAATTAAACTTTAAAGTTTAAAGTGATTGATATTGTTTTAACGTGAGCACCAGCGATCTGCACATGACAGATGTCGTTCGAGGCTCACGTGATTTCTATTTTACATGGTCTTACACGAATCTCTATAACGATTACCTACGAATATACAGTTTGTATTTATAAAATTATAATACTGTACCACCATCATCATCTTGGGCTCCAATCCAATCGGGAAATAAAATATGATATATCTGAGTTTCGATTGCCAACCAAGCCAAGCGGCCGAATATCCATCTCACCAACCAGACGACCGGCTGGAAAGGCTGTAAAACGTATTACATTATTTTATTAACTATAAATAGTATTTAATATTGTTATTGCAACTTTTTTTATCTTCATCAAAGAAATATAATGTTCATAGGAATAGTATTAACATATTATAGTCTTCCTATTTAGTTTTATGTTATACATTTTTTCCAATTTTGTGCATTTTATGTGATAAAATGCAAATAGGTTAGGGTTATTTGGACAAAGCTAAAAGATACATACAAATATATTTATCTAACTAAAAATAAATAGGCAATCAGAAACTTTTTATATAAATAAATAAAAGATAATTCTGTTGTAATAACCATGTATCAGATTTGATATACATATAGATTTCATAAAATGTGTATGATTGATGTACCTAACTCAATTTATACTAATATATTATTTAATTCAATATATATATATAATATTACAAAGAGGAAAGATTTGGATGTTTGTAACGAATAAACTTAAAAACTACTGGACCGATTTCAAAAATTCTTTTACCATTAGAATGCTACATTATCTCTGAGTAAGATAGCTTATATTAATTACTAGAAAAAAATAGGGATCCTTACGAAAATAGAGCTGAAATTCGTAAACGCGCGCACAGGAATCCAGCACCGAACCCTCGCAGCGGCTTATGATGGCACAGAGAAAAAGACAACATTCGTTAACAACTAGGACGTGAAATAGAAGTTTAGCTCATAGTAATAAATTCAATTTAATTATGAATAACCATAGTAACACGGACGAAATGAAAAAGTTTCAAAAATAAAAATAAAATAATAATAAACAAAAATAAAAATTCCATAAAAACTATGACAACTTAAATTAAAGAGTCTGTCTGACTATCTGGCGATCTAATATTGACTTAAATAGAATGGGCTTGACCTTGGTAACATGAATAAAGAAAAAAACACAAAACTATGCGCTGTATTGGGTAGGTAAGTGAAAAGTGAAAACACGTAAACCGTCGTCTTTGAAACTTAGTATTTTTTGGTACATTATTAACACTAAAGTATACTATTATGTCCTCATAATTTTATCTTTACTGTAGTGGATATAATATAATATGTAGGAGTTAATTTCTAAAAATAAAATAAATAAATAATTTAATAACGTGTAATAATGCGCGTGTAATAAGTATCTATGGTAACATGGATGAAAAAAAGTGTGACACACTAGAACACTTTTAGTCCACCGTACTACCCAACCTATTTTCTTTCGTTTGATATACTGATACAGGCAAGGCGATATAGGAATAAAGGTAAAAATAATAAAATATTGTCACGGGAAACGCCGGGCGCAGGACAACTAATTATTAATATAAACTAAATATTTCACCTATTACTTTTAATAAACATATAAATTAGGAATTAAAAAGATTTATCTAGACGATTATTAATTTATTTCTCATTTATCTAGATATGACGAAAGATAATATTATAGATTTTTAAACAATTGATATTGATCTACACAACACCAGTTATTACTATATTACCCGAATGACAGATGCCGAATCGGTTCCGGGCTCGATGCCGTTGTGACACGCTCCTTGGTTGTCTAGTATTTTAATTTTCTTGTAGATACCATCTTGGACCAACGAGTCCATGATTGTCCCGTCGGTCTGCCCGAAGAACTGGCCAGTGTGATGTGACTGTTCTGAAATTATGATGAAACCGTTGTTGTCCAGCACGTAACAATCGAGATCGTCGGAAGCGCAAGTCTTCTTACATCCGGTCGTGCCGGTACACTGGAGAACAATTTTGAAAACAAAAAATATATCACGTTAGACGTAAAGAAATATTCTTTTATTTATTTATTTTATTAGATAAACGCCATACAAATTTTTTAAAAGGGTATGAAGTAGTAACGTAACCATAAGTAATACACATATAAGAAGTAGCTGAAATTAAAACAAATTAACAAATGATAAACAAGTAAACGAATAAAAAGAAAAAGTGCATGGTATATTAAAAAAAAAGAGTAGGTGGGGTCCAAGTTAGCTAATTGCATACACCAGCGGAGCGGTTGGTTAATAGCATATCTAATTATAGTTAGATTGAGACCAAGAGATGTGGAAAGGGACAGAGCGACGTGTGGGACAAACAGGGACATAGAAGTTAAGGTGGGATAGTAAAGTAGAAGAGTTAATTTTACCATTGAGTAAATTTTGAACAAATATTTTATGGTAGCAGTATCCCTATGATTAATTAAGAAAACTAAGTTAAAATGGACCATTATAAGGGAGTTATCATGAGGGCCCCCTCATTGATTGCCCCAATCAATGTTTTGTAAGTAGCTGGTGAACCTCACAAATGTCCGTTGAACCCTTTATAGATGACAAGAAGTAGCAGTATTAGGAACCCAGAGGACAGAACCGTATTTATGAATAGGTCTACTAGTGTACGATATAAAACTTTTAGGGGTGATGACAATTTAAGATGCCCCGAAACACGTTTTATAAAACCAAGGGGTTTGAAAGCTTTACAGCATACATATTCAATAAGTAGATTCAGACTCAGAATAAGAGTAAGGATAAATCCTAAGTCACGGACTAAGCTATTAACAAAAGAAACTGAGGTATTATTTATGAAACATACAATTTTAAATGGGGGTTTTGAGCGAGTAAATGTCATAGAACGATATTTACAGACATTGAAAGACAAACTTAAAGAATCAGCTCAGAACACAAGTCTGTTCAAGTCACTCTGAAGGAGAAGACAATAATTTATTGAACAAATACTTAAACATATTTTTATGTCATCAACAAATGCCAAAAGTTTAGAGCCATGAAGTACCAGGTTGGCACTATCAATGAAGAAGGAGAAGAATAAAGGGGACAAATGACACCTTGAGGTACACCAAAAATGACCCTATGAATTCTGATCATTTTCTTCTTATTGGAAACAACTGAGCGAAACCAGTACAGAATGAGTTTCTCTATGTCTGTACGAGCATGGTTGTTTAATCTGATCAAAAGCCTTAGCGAAATCAGTATAGACCTCGTCAACTTGGGAGTGGTCTTTGAATGCGTTAAATATGTAATTACAAAAAGTGATATTACAAGTAGTTGTAGAACGTTCAGGGCGGAAGCCATGCTATTCATAAATTAATATAGAATTGATAGAGAGCATGATATTACTTAGGGTAAGAGATTCAAGCAGTTTGGAAACACGAGACAAGATGGATATGGGTAGATAGTTATTGATCAAAGAGGCATAACCTGATTTAAAATCGGGAGTGATGTAGCTAAGTTCTTATTAATCGGGAAACACACCCTCAGATATAGAACGTTTGAAAAGAAGCTAAAGAAGGAAAGCAAATGTATATCTCAGATTATAGAGAAACAGAACCAATATACCATCAAGACCAACAGATGTAGTGCTTTTTAAAGTTGACAAAACGTGGAAAATATCATCGACCGAGAAGGAGCAATTATTAGGGAGATCAAACGACAAAATATCTAAATTAGAAAAACTAATATTGATTAATTCAGCAGCATTTTTATTTAGATTAGAGTACACAGAGTTAAAATACATGGAAAACATATTTACAGAGTCTTGCTCATCCTTACTATCAACTTCGTTATAAATAATGATTTTAGGAATAAAACAATTGGAACGGTTTTTTCTAACAAAGTTCCAGAATTTGTTGAGATTTATTTTTAATAAAATACCAGAACGCTGTACAACATGCTTTATAATATCATAATCGTCATCATTTTGATTTTTATATTTTTGTTATTCATATTAATAATTATTAAAATACGTACAGTTGAAGTGATATTGATGAAATGCGAAGCGATCGACGAATGTTGAAATTGTATGCCGACGACTGCAGCTGCCGCTCGGTGTCCTTTGTTTTCAACGAACATCGCATGACTAGCTGTAATAAGGGGTCGATCAAGTCCAGTTCCTGTAATAGTCATTGAAATTATGATAATTCATTTTTGTGATCTTTAAACTCGGATAACGAACAAATCCGATTGTAAATTATCTGATAACACTTTTTCAACAATTTAATCGAAATTAGAAATCATTACAAATATCAGTTATATTATTGATAATGATAACAATAGATAATTGAAAATAAAAATAGATCTAAGCATGTAAAATAATATGTTATTATACAGAGTAAATTATATATTGTAGTTACGATAAAATAATTATTTTTAACTATTTAAAACTAACGCTATGTAGCAATATGACACGTGTTATCTGAAAATTATAATTTGATTGTTTTTATCATAAATGAGGTATAATAATGAAATTTAACCGGAATTAAATGGCACTGAAAACACAAAGCTCTCAGGTTCTATGTTATGTTGGTCGATCGCTCTTTTGTACCACACCTCGTCTATGGCTTTTTTATTAGTTTCACTAAAATGTCTATATAAAAAAAAAATAAAAAATCATGCGTATAAAATATATTAATATTACAGATGGTATGTCAAATTCGAATCATTAAACTTACGGTTCGGATCCTCTATTAGTATTTGTTCCGTGATCCCGCCATCTTAACAATCCACTTCTTGTGGCGATGAATGTAAGCATTACGCCGAACATATGATGTCCTTGGCTAAGAATGCATGTAAACACAGTTTATAAAACATAAATTAATTCTAGATTTAATGATGACATTTTATACATTTTTTTGATCTGGAAATATATAATTTTTAAAAAAAAAAAACTTATCCTGAAGAAGCCACAAAAATGATGTGTAAAATGTAAGTATATAACAAGAAAAAAAATTAACTAAAGATATTACAATTAAATTTTGTATATTTTGTAACTAAATTTATTTTTAAAATTTTTGAACAATATTTATAATACATTTTTAAGTAATTTAATAGTAGTTACTTCTTCAGAAGTTTAAACATAAGTGCATAATGTGGGAGTGAAACGTCTTACCAAATCCGCAGCATAATAATTTTAAGTTTTATTGGGGAAGAGGGGGGAATGTATAATTATATATAAAAAATATGTTATTCAATTTGATTGAAGTTCATATTTTTTAGCTTAAAGTCCTAAGTTATATTTAGGTACTGACACATTGAGCTAATACACTATGAAATAGTGATCTACATTTCAGTGCAAATAGTATGTTTGAATGTACCACGTGTATCATCTACTTTACCTGTGCAGAAGTGCCATTAGTGTGGCTATTGGGCTTTAAAATGTAGACAAGGTTAGTGCAATTTTTAAATTAGGTGCAAATATAATAAAATATATTAAATATAACAAATCATAATTATTAATACAGAAAAAAGTGTTAATACTATAATAGCTTACTGCAATAGTATAATTATAATAATAAATAAAATAAAATATCTAGAGTAATTTTATTATTTGTATAGATTTGTAATAAACTGAAAAATATTTATAATATTGATATATTATTTATGTGTTATAGGTATAGTGATTAATTTCGTGTTAAAGTCAAGTTATTTCTTATATTGAAATATTTGATATAGATAATTAAAAAGTTTTTGATTTTGAGTAGAATGAGGAATGTATTGGTTTTTACAATAATGTTTATTTATTTTTTTTTTCTATGGACTACTTTTCTACCAGAAATTTCGTTCCATTTTACAATGATAGCACTTTTTTTAAAAGAAAATCACACTGGGATGGTATTTTAAAAACACCATTTTTTGATTTCCTCAGGAGTTTTCTCAATAAATGGGAAAACCGGGAAAAAAACAAGAGGAAAACGTAAGAAAAACGAAAAATAGGTACAATATTAAGCTAATATTATTAAAGAAATTGCATATGCAATTATTTTACATTAATATTATATATTTATTGTTGATAAAGTAAGACTGTTAACCGAACTCCACTCAGAACTGTTTATTTGTTAGCAATGGTTTATCGTTGCTTACTGATATGCATTGGATTTCCCTCTACAACAATCCCAAATTCTCATCTATAACAGTGTTACTGCACCCGTCCCCACTATCCTAGGGTAAGCTAGGTGAACAGCTTTTTTTTTTTTATCAATATTGATTTTTTTCTTCAAATTTTTAAAAATGCTTTGGAAAATTTAAATTAAAAACAGGTTTCATAATCTCCCAATTTAAACCTCATGTTATTTTAAAATAATAGAACGGTGTTTAAAAATAATTAAAAGGTTTTAATCACCATTTAATCGGATGAACATATTTAAGAAGTAAACTTTAACAATGTACTAATTCCAGACAAATTCCAGAAAAATTAAAAAAAGAATCACCATAATTATATGTATATCAATTTTATAAAATAAATTATAATATTTTTTAGAAATTAATAAAAAGTTATATTTTTTGATTTGTTTTAACTATTTAGATATTTTATTTTATAGTTAAAAATTAAAAAAAATAAATAACCATGCTTCTTAATAGACACCTACCTAAAATACATAAGTGCATAAGTGTGTTAGTTTATAATAATACATTTTGTGAGTATACATTTGTGTAATTAGATAACATAGAATTCGGTGATTTTAGTGCGTTACGAGTATAATACGTGTTAAATAATAATAGCCATAATTCGATTTTTTTTATTTTTACCTATTTTTTAAATGTATTTTGATTAACTCGTTTGGATATTTACTGAAAATAAAAGTTTTGGAGATTTCTGTACTTTTCACAACAATTATATTTAAATATTTAATGAATTTTATATAAAGTTATTCATATATAATTAAGTCAAATTTAGAGAAAAAAAACTCAAGGTAAAATTAGTAAAACACTTGTTTTGGTTTTCGTAAATTATTTATTAAGGTATGATCAAGTTTTGATCACTTACTGTTTGTCAGCTTTAGGTACTTGACCCGATAGTTTTTCAAGACTATCAGTGACTAATGCATCAAATACTAAAGATTGTAAAAGATTTTTATCACCTGTAAGAAAAAAAAAATTGGAATTAAAGATTTGATATTTAAAATTAATACAAATATTAACAAAGCACTTACAGTAATGAGAGTCTTTTTCTTTTCTCCATGTATTATAAATCTGACTTGTCCCTGTAAACCACAAATACTCGCAAGGATAAATATATTTTGAACTTTTTAATAATTTACTACTGTAATAATTACCAGGTTCTCTTTGTGGCATTCTAGACCTTAATGACATCCACTTCCAACCAGGACGTTTTGTTTTAGACAAAAAATGTAACACTCTAGCTTCAGGAGTTTTAAAACTATGTTCATTTCCATAGTTGTATTCACAATAGACCCTATAAATTAAGCATCATTATAGTCAAACAAATTTTATATAATTGTACATGAATTACATTTTGTGAAATGCATTCTAAATAAGACTTACCAATCTGGATGAACTTTCCAATTTTTACCTTTGAAATATTCCGTAACTAAAATAAAATGAAGTTAATTAAAATTAATTATTAAACTTTTTCCAATTACTTACTATTGAATTGGGTCAACTTGATTTCTTCTTCTCCGAGTAGTTCATACATACCATAACTTTCTGGCAAAGCTATACCTAAGCTATATGGCGTATCGTCGATTGGATGATAAAAGTATTTATATTTCCTTGTGAATACTCGTCTCTGTATATGAGAATAAAAATAAAATACCTGATTTAAATATATTGTAATTTTATTTGATATAAGACGAATTTGAACTATTTTAAACTTTTAATTTCATTTAGGAGATATGTGTATTATTATCTCCATACTAACTTACTCAGTAGACTATGACCATATAAACAATATACCATATACTTATATGTATTATTAAATTATACTATGCATTTATATTGTGTTTATTATTTTATAATACATTTGTAACGTATATAGTTTTATTACCATGTTATCCAAGTGAGTTTTAACCTTAAGAACAGTCTCTCCTTCGTGTTGCTCAATCATTTCTCTTCTCAACTAAACAGCCAAAAAAATGTATATATATATATAAATACACCATATTATGATTAAAATAAATAATAATTCACTGTCTAAACAAATATAAGCTTACCTCGAGTAATAGAGTGTTATTAACTTTATTATTAGCGTCTACGTCTGGTAACTCAATCTCACTCAGGTCGACCGTCTTATACTGAGGTCTGACCGAATCAGATTGCTAAAAAACATTCCGTACACACACATATATATATATTTATTATTAATTACATGATATCTATATTATAATTTAAACAAATATTTTTTAAGGGTAATTACCGTTGGTCGGAAGTCTGGATGATAAAGGACATGTCCATTATTGTCTAGTATGAAGGAGTAACCATTGGCACCGAGCTAATAAAAATAATAAGATTAAAAAAAAGTTTAAACTTCAAATTTAGAATTTTATGTTTTAGAATCGTATTTACCTTATAAGCCGGTACGAGTTTTTTGAGATCATCAATATAGACATCCATACCGACCACACCCAATAAATTGGCTACTCGTTCCTGTTATAACAAAGTATAATAATAACACAAAATATTATACTGTAAAGAACTCAGTATATTTACCGAATGGTTTCTCCTATCAAAAACGGGCGCAGATACAGTAGTCATGAGTCTACCATCTATGGTATCAGTGGCTTTCAAATTGTCAACCTAAAAAGAAAGTAAAAGATGTATAATTTTAAAATTCATTAAAATAGTTAATTTTTGGAGAAAATACTTTGCTTGCGAGATAGACTGGTGACCAATATACAGGATGATCAGTTTGATACATAACTAAAGGTCTAGCCATGACTAAAACATAATTTAATACTTTTTCTCGTAGGTTCCTCGTGTCTTCGATGTGTTCAAAATAACCTAAAATATACTTTAGATATATAATTTTGTAAATAAAAATGTGGTATATACTGAAGGAAATTTATTTAAAGATAAAATTAAGCACTAAGCATATGACTATAATAACTTATCTGACCGTCTCAGGCTAAAAACGAAAATTTCAAAATTAAAATAAATTTAATGAATAGTATAAACTTATTTGTTTTGTGGTATTTCATTGTGTTTTAATAGTACATCTCAAGTTTATAGCAAATAAATAGCTCCAATAGTTTTATACTATTTTAGATAAGTTCTTATTTAGATTCGGAGCAGAGTTTGATGGTTATTAGCGTATGATAATTATGTGATGGTATTTTTTTTATTTTTTGAAAAACATATTTCGGGATAGTAATCATGATTAAAGCGTAGTACGCTTCAATTGTATAAATAGGTTAGGAAAGCAAATACTAAATAGTATTTACATTTTGAAAATTGTAAAAATTTAAAAATGTACGAGAGTAAATATAATCAAGCCATTAATTTTTGATTCTGACTACACTGAGAATAATTTTTCAAACGGTAATGATTAAATTTTGAAAATAGTAAGTAGTGATTTTAAGCACCATATTAGTTTAACAATGGTGTGTTTTTAATTTTTTTTCTTCAAAAACATACTTTTTTGGCGTCACCTATAAAAATATTAAAAAGTTTATAATTTTAAACTTTATAATTAGGTAATTGAGCACAGACTGTACTTAAGGTACTTTTTACAGGTCATTTTTTGAATTCCCCGGTTGGATGGCAAAACAACTAGGTACGAAAATTAAACAAAACGACGGGGAAAAAAATACAAGAAATCATGGCTTATTTCCATTTTCCTTTATATTTATTAGATTTAGAATAAAATATTTTAAAACAAAATATAGACATATCTATAATCTTCGGCTCTATACAATTTGAATTGTGAATTATTTCTTAGAATATTTCAATAATCTGTAAAGCATAAGTATACCAAAACAATACCATTTAATTTTAAGTATTATTGAAAAATGAAAAATGAATTATGTATTGATCTATTTATCTATAATAATTTTGTATTTGTTGTATTTTCTTTATAATATTATTAAAGTGTCATATTGATGGTTATGTAATCATGGTGCACAAAAACGCAAGGATTGTCAGTTCACTCATTTCTTAACGTGTGCACCGCTGTACGCTTCATCCACGTCACCTTATAAACGGCATCGTGTATTTTAACCGTTTCAACTATTATGACAACATTTATATATTGTTATACTAATTATTTAGTTTTTTAGAATTATTTCGTATTGTTTGTTCTTTCTCAATATCTACGGACCTATTCATATATAAACTTATGTTAGTGGATTTTATTCTGGAAACGAGTTCGTCCCGGTAATTAGAGCAAATGTTGAACAGAGGAAGAATTAAAAATAATTACATTATCTCAATGTCGTTAATCATAAAACTATATTAAAATTAAGTTTGTACGGATGTTTATTCTGCAACGGGTAAACAGTTGAGTGAACATTAATCGCGTTTATTATTATCTATAGTTTATAATTTAGGACTAGACTTAAATAGTAAATTAATTTAAAGTAAAAATTGTATAACACATATGTATAACTTTGTACTTTACCTTTATTATTGCATGCAATCCAATTCATGTCAGCGGCATTTGAGTCATCTTTACCAATTAAGTAAGTAAAAACTCGAACCGGCATGTGCGGTTTGTTATGTTGTAAAACTTCTTTATACGGTCCAAATGGACCGTCGGTAATTATTAATATTGCTTGATTGCATTGGCTTCCTTGACCGGTCCGGTTAAACTATTTTATAATAATAATACGATTATAATAGTATTTCTATATTAAATAACATGAATGTAATTTAACCAAATACTAATTTTCATCCTATCTCGTTCCAAACATCTTAAATCCTCCCTTTATCAAACTATAAGTTTCCAAATTAATTTAAACGTACTTTGTGTAATATGTCGAATGCACGGGCTAGGGCTCCAGTGAAATTGGAACTGGCCCCAAACTTTAATTGTGTAACAGCCGATCTTAATTCCCTTAAATTTTTTTCGTTGGCCTAAAATCCAAAAGAATAAGACAACATAGTATTATTTAATTTTGATTTTAATTTGAATAATATAGTTTACCTGCACAATAACTTCCTTGAAACAAGGCACGATTTCATAATTCGATGACTCAAGAGATAGGACGTTGACAAAATCGTTGGCACCTAGGGTATCAAGTGCTGCTAGTGTAGTAGCCCTTACAAGACTAAGTTTATAGTCAGATAACGTGCTTGCTAAATCAGCTATTATAACTATATCTTTGGCACTAGTAGCAGCCTCTACAAACCACGGATTTAGTCGATAATCAAATAGTGCAGAAGGCGACAACCCCGAATATGAAGGCCACCTAAGCGCTGTAATAACAGGTAGATATATATATTAATATAATCAAAGAAAATTTAAATTGAAAAGGTATCAATGAATGTATTAAAAATTGATTTTATTATAAAATTATATCAAAATAGAGAAACATTTAAAAAATGAAAATTAATAGATTATGGTTTTTAAGTAAGTAAAATAAAAATACATTCAATAGAAAAAGTATACACAAATGTCATAATAATTTAATGTTATAATGTAGAGAAAATAATATTATGTCAATGGTAAATAAAACGAAATCACTAATTGTATTGTTGAATAGGCAATTATATTCAATGTATCGTGTGAATGCAACGAAATTGCCTAATCGAAACGCCGGGCACTTACACTTACTTGGAAATCTTCTGAGTGTTCCTTTTGTGCTACCAAAATATTGCCATGAAAGTACAGGATCCATTTCGTAATTACTTACAAATATTGGATCCAAATTTTCAGTCCATTCCATATCTCGTAATATATTTTCGTCAACAGAATCTACAATTTTCAATTTAATTATTGTACTTGTTTATATTTAATAAATAAATAGATAGATAAAAACTTTTTAAAAGAAACAAATACTGTTATTATCATATATATTTTTATTCTCATTTTTAGACAACTTGTGTTTTAGCCATAAGTTAGAAAATTAAAATAAAAATGCGAATCATATCTATGCTATTGCTTGTATGAGTTGTATATTAATATGTTGTAAATCAAATCAATTACATTTCGGAAATCTAAAAACATTTATTTGACATTTCAATTTATGCAATTTTAGTAATATTATAGGATCAATAAAAACATTAACTGCACATAAAAAATATAAAACCATGGAGAATTATATTATTATATTTTACGGATAGTACGAAAATCGATTTCTACGAATTATCAAAAAATCTATATAAAAATCGACAGTCTGTTATAATCGAGGTATTCATAATAAAACCGGATTCGCTTAATTTTTTTCTAACACGAACACATTATTGCCGGTTCATAGTCAGACACAAAATACACCAGCCACGGTATTTAAAATAATAAGTAGTATGCGATATATTTCAATAATGACTTTTAAACGGCCCGTATACATTTAACTAAAGGATAATGATCAACGCTAGGGCCCGATTTTAAATGCCCTTAAAACAAAACAAATATACTCTAAAAATAACCAAAAATTCCCTTAAAAAATGAATTTTACCACGAAAATAACTAAAAAATGCCATATATTTTTTTTATAAACTAATATCAAATTCGACCGTCGACCGCGATGTAACGAGAACTAAGAATTAATTGTTATTTTTCCGAGTACGGGTGACCCTCCATAGTCAATAATAGAGATAGATAAAAATTGAATCGAAATAAATCGAAGGATTGACAATGTGTATTGAAAAGCCCAACAAACCTATTAAATTAAAACAACTTAACTATCAAGAAAACAATTTATCTTTAGATAATATTTTCAAATTTTTCAATATTTCAATATTTTTAAATTTGATTTGTTTCATGGACATATATATTTTTATTAAAACCAACAAAATGTCTCAATAACGCTAAAAAAGAAAAAAAACGTCAAAATATTAAAAAAAAAAATGCAAAATAAAAATTTCAGCTTTAAAGCACTCATTACATGAAACGAATTATGTGCATGGAAAGCATTATCTCAGATTAACCAAAAAAAAAATGCACTTTGCATTGAAATCCGGGCACTAGTCATCGTCAATTGCTAACCATAGCATTATTCCATCTAAAAAAACGAATACTTAATTTTTTTTGGACGTAGATTCACGTTTAGAAACTCTTCAGCAGTAGTACAATCGGGATTTATTTTCGAAGGGGATTGGGAATTTCAAAAAATTATCTCAACACATTTGACTATAATAGACGCACTATGTTTATAAGCAATATTGTTTTCTAATTAACTAATAAATTACGTAATTGTATATTATGTTGGATTCGGAAAAGAATCTCTAATTTTCGATGTGGAAAGAGTATAACCCCTACCCAGTTTCTTGGTTCTTTTTTTTTTAAATTTTAAACGTTATAGACAAGAAGTTTACGAACGCGTCACGAATGTCACAGAGAGCATAAAAATACCCGGAAAAACTAATCTCGTTAACATTTTGTGATGGAATCTATGCGATGGAAGGCGAGACGCGGGATGGTTCGTTTAATAAAAGTCGCTGTTAAAACAAATTGTATTTTAAAAATATAACACTCGTGTGTGAATTTTGTGTCCGACAGTGAAATGTCTTACAACGCGTTGTATTCGTGTTTAAGGCTCGAAAAGTAATAAGCACCTGAATTCGGCAAACTAGTTAAAAATAAATTTGATTTAAAATACAATAGGGAATCGTAGAAGTCGATTTGACAAAACGATTTTTAATCTGTTATTTCGAGTAGTGTATTAAACTGGTACATGCATTAACCATGTTTGGTATTACTTTAATATACAGCATATTTCATTGAAGTGAGTACATTTATTATCACTGAAAGTATTAACTTTTTTCATAATTTGTTTTGTAGAATATTTAAGAAACAAACAGCTCTACAATTTTATGTTTATGTTATTTGTCATCCTTATTTTTGAGATGAAACCATTACCTACTTAAGATTTTCAAATAGCAATCTATATTTAAAAATCCATAAATAGATATAATATTAGTTAAAATGAATGTCAGTGTTGATGTATTTGATTTTCTTAAATCCGTTGACGAGATATACCACTTTTAAGTTTGGTTCGGAGGAGAGTAGTAGTGCATCATTTGTTAAAACGTCGCTCGCTATAGTTTTAATAACACATCACTAATCTTCCCCGACCCAAACTTAAAAGTGGAATATTTTGTCTACTGGTTGATGAAAATCAAAAATTTCAACGCCAAAATTTATTAAAATTTAATACTTCATCTATTTGTGAATTTTTAGTATAAATTGCCGTTTAAAAATCTGAAGTAGATACTGGTTTTCCCACCAAAAAAAAAGAGTTATACAGAATAACACGAATATGAAATTGTAAAGCTTCTTGTTTATTAAATGTTCTATTTAACAAATTACGAAAAAAGTTAATACTTTCGGAGATAATAAGTGTACCCATTGAAATAGAATACTGTATAAGGATTACTATCGAAATTATTAGAATTTTGCGTTTTAATGTATTGACATTTATGAGTTGGGTACCCAATTATTTTTGATACATGATTCACAATAGGCATATTGATTTAAAAAATAAAATTTTCTCTTTCATAACTTCTTTTAACGAACATTTTAATTTCGATCTTAATTTTCATATAATTATGAAGTTTCGTAAAATGTCTTTGTTTTAAATCATAATATGATAAATCTAAACTATATTTTGATTTATATATATTTAACAGACACAAACCTAAATTAAAGTATAAGTATGTGTATTTAAAATTTAGAATATAATAGTTATTCTAAATAATACAATTTTTAGATAGTTATCTAAAACTTAAGTTAACCAAAAAAAAAAAAATATATATATATATATATAATAGTACTATCTATAATTCTATTAAGGAGTACATAATTTTTAATTTTAATACGTGTGTGTAACTCTTTACTATAATAGTAAATAATATAATAAGTGTATGTTCATCCCGATGAGTATTTTTTTTGACAATTTTATTACATGACATTTTATAAGATGCTTTTCTGTGTTAAAATAGACATACAGTAAAGTTTATCAGATACCTAGACTAAACACTGTAAATGATTGAGCTAGATTTTATAATAAATCTTATATTTTGTGTATTATGAAATATTTTCATAGATGGGGGTTAGAGTAATTAAGTAGAGTTAAAGGCAAGGTTTGGTCGATTTGCTCGTTGAGATTTTTAAGGGGGATGAATGTACATATAGTGGATATTTACTATAAAAAACCTGTACTATTTGCATTACCTGGATCTACATATGTACTCTGCAATAGTATACAATTTGTAGTAGTGTTAAATGCGCATTGATCATATCGATCTGATACTGATTCCAAACTCTTGTAATCCTTATATTCATCGTTTTGTAAACGTTCACTTTTAATGGAAAAATCTTGATTGGCCAGAGCTGATTGTTCACCGGCTTCCATTAATCTCTAAAATAAAATATATAATGCAATAGATGAAAATTCTTAAATACCTATCTATTAGTATTTACGGATCAAATTATATTTAATAACAACTCAATCCATAAATCTGTAGTTTAAATTGTTTGCATGCTGATTTTTTTTGTTAAGTGACATTTTTAAAAATTCTAAACTACTTATATTTTTCCCCGAGTAAAAATATCATTGCCCCGTATATATGCACATATTATATAGCTACATTTATGGTGTGTGAAAATATTCTAGATGGAGGGATTAATATGCTTATAGCAGAAAATAAAAAAAGTTGCTAAACGGGTGCAAAACTTTTGAGACGAAAATAAATCGGAAAAACCTGTAAAGCAATAGTAAAAAGTTGGTAGTGAGTAATTTTTTTAAAACTTTATGCGACAACAACGGTTTATTAGATTTGTAAAAAGTACGTTGAACTTTATTCGCTGACCTGTATACATTATGGTAAATATATAATAAAGGATCCGCAGTGGTGCATACATATATATATATATAAAGGTATACGTATATTGTATAACACCGAAGACGTATCGATCAAATTATATTATTTCCTTAATATTAGTTTTAGGTTTATGCAAACGAGTTATAAATAATTCATAGCATTACTATTATGAAACGTATACATAATATACGTAATCGTTGTACATTATTATTTAGTTTATTGTAATGAATAATGTGTATTTATATTTTATAATATCAACAAATTATAGTGGTACCTACTAATTTAAGAACAAATAAATTAAAATAACAAGGAGGAATATGCAGGCTTGTGTTCAAATATAAGGGCTGTTTATTTCACGAGTACTTATGAAATTAAAAATTTCGTGCTAAAGATCATGTAATCCGGAATTCACTTAATTTCACAAATACTTCCCGTGAAATAATATGAACACGTGAATTTACGTGTCACGTGGAATACGCGAATATCTAAATACATCCGCGTACCTATGACACGGATGCACAGGTGCAATAAAACACATGTTCTATTGAAACTTCTACTTTTAAATATTACCGTATATTATCGTATAACCACATGCGTGCAGTATTGCCATTATTGTTAAAATAACAATTGCTATTATAAAAGTGTTTTTTAATGGCAAAAATTTCTCTTTAGGGAGGAATTTAGGTGCAGCACGTGGAGTAATATAGCAATGATTAAATTGTAAGAATAAATCGTAAAAATGTGCAAATTTCCATTTCTCAAATTAAAAACAATAAATTCATATTTTTAATTAATAGGGGAGGGATGACATTTTTGAAAACCAATAAAGGGGGTGTACAATAATAAAAAGTTAGGAAACACTGTATTATAACTGTAATAAAAATTATATTAATAACGATAATTATCTGAAATAACATGTTTGACCATTTTTTTTAACATCTTTATGGATTTTTAATACTTCAAATTTTGAGCAAAGCTAAGAATATAATAGTTTTACTATATATACTATGTTTAGTTTTTTCATTTGTAAATAACTTTTTGACCAGAAATTGTGCTCCAATCAGGAACATCCAGAGTAGTTTCTGATAGACAATTTTGTTTAGTTGTTACGTTATGGAGGTCATTTCTAGATATCCTTTTTGATGAGTTTTCTTGGGGAAAAACTGAGAAAACCCCATCGAAAAAGGGGAATATTTATACTAAATTTTCTCTTCATTTTAATTTTGTTTCTTGATTCTAATTAAATTAAAAATAATCACTCAGATTTGAAACGTTCATCGAATACTTATATATAATTACATTCTAGACGTGGTGTAATTTACAAAATAATTTACAATTTTTTGTTATTTGTAGCTAGAGACAACATGTTTATGGATTTGCATCTTTTTATTGATTGGCCGAAAAATAGCTATCTATTATCAAATTATGTTTCATGTCCTAACGAGTCTATAAATAAAATTTTATTTTACAATATTTTGATTTTTAGAATTTTTAGATCATATGTTTAGATTTAATACGATTTTACGTACGTTTTAAGATCGTATTTAGGAATTTGGAAATATTTAGGACATTTTCAACTTAACAAATTAAGAATAACAAAATAATTGTTTAAAATTAATAAATATAACCATTTAGCAGACGAGCTGATAAGATGTGTTTTAGATAAAATCCTGTAAAAATTCGAATTTCTGAATTTACTTCATTAAAGTTTATTTTTGTTTGGTTTTGAGATAAAGAACAATTGCAAAAGAGAAATATAATGTATAAAAATATAAATAATGTATTAAATATTTTTTTTTTTTTAAGTAGATACAGACGTACAGTATAATATATAAAATATATGAAATGTTAAAATAATTCATTTTTAAATAAAACATATATTGATAATTTTTAGACCACAACTGTATACATATTATATAGGCTTTTGGGGTATATTACAGTCGACTCTTGTAACGTGCAAAATAATAATAACTCAATAATAACACCAAAATCGTCTACGCAGTTATGTCACTTTATCACATAAGNCTTATCTAAATGTAAATTAATGATAATAATCCGCCATTTGAATTCCATTCGGCTCTCTGTCCCTAGACGCTTATATAAAAATCTAATTAAACGGGGATTTATTTTATACATTTTATTTTAAACGTCTCACTACATATTGTAACGTGCAAAATTGAATAATAACTCAATAATAACACCAAAATCGTCTACGCAGTTATGTCACTTTATCACATAAGGCAAAGGTCCGCGTACGTTGTCGCGGTGGTTTTTCAAACACACCACCACCCGACCGTCACTCTGCGAGCGTATATCGATGTGTAAAGGGGGGTATCGGCCAATCAGATGATAACAGTTCAATTTCGCGACCGACGGACCGCATAACGGCCATCGGATCGTTTTTTTTTTGTTGGTTGCTCCAACACCGTTCACGGATACGGACCTTTTTATTTTTGCTCCGTTTCCGACTCAAAATGAGAGGCTAAAAGTCCACACAAGTCCCCGGCACGGTCGTCCCCGACCGCCGGTCAGGTATGCATATCCCTTGTTGTTTTTTTTTTAATATTGGCCGATACTACCCTATTATTATTATTATTTTTTATTATGATTTATTTATTTTTATTTATTTTTATTTGTATTTATATTTCACCTATGTTTCCTTTCAGGATGTTCTATAATATGTTTCAATACGTTTAACTTGTTAGTACTTAGGTAAATCCTGTAACTCCGGCAGATCCTGTCGCGGTTGCACGTCGGTCCGTGGCGAACGCCCGGGTCGCATAACGCTCGTGGCGAACTCCGTCTTTACGGCTGCCAACTCTTGTTTAAAGTATTACAATCTTAATATATTTTTTTTTGTCAAGACGACGCGAGACGTTACACATTATTACCCGGTCTGTTTTAAGAAGTATTTCGGTCTTTAGGGTACTACTTTTTTTTCCGGCTATATTGCTCACATAAATTAACCCTCGCTTAGTAATTCAAAATAATAATAAAATACATTTTGGCCTTAGTACTTGTTTTATTGATGTTAAATATAAAAATAATAACCTATTTGCATTCAGAAGTCGCCGCACTGTCAGAGAAAAACAACATAAACTCAAATGTACCTCACAATGTTGGACAGAGAGAAATGAGAAAAATAATACCGCGACCCAGTAGATAACCGATATAAAATATATTATGTCCATAACTAATTTTTTTTCGTCTGTACCAAAACTTCGTTTATTATATTGTTATAGCTGTCAGAAAATTGATAAACGATAAACGACCAGGCACAATATTTCACTGTTACCAACCGTTACGTTTCGAAATATCGCAATGTTCATATAATTTCATAGTTTCGTTTTAGGGCACCCCGCTATGCGAATTTCCTACTCCGAAATATCTGACATTTTCATTTCCCGAACGTGTCTAGCGCAAGCGTCCGTGTATAACAAACATTTTGTCCAAAAAAAAAAAAAAATAAAAAAATAATGACATTAATATTAGCCGACTACAAAATCAGATTTTTCCGGTAAATAACGTGGATGTAAATGTGCGCGCTCCCGTATTGTTATTGTATTAACGCCTTTTTTACGTGGGTACATGCAGCGTGAGACTGACGAAAGTGATTTCGGAGGACAATGACGACGGGACGGGTAACAAGTGTTGAACGGTTTTACGTTGTCGTCTGCAGTGTCAAAATTAAATAAACGAGACGTTCGGGTTTACGTGTCAATTTAACACGTGTAAGACGGATAAAAAAAACAAAAACGAAGCAAATCGAAAAAAAGCGGATTACACTCGGCAACCCACAGCGGTATACTTCTTTGGACGGGAATGATGGCGTATATTATAATATAACAATGTTAAAATAACAATAACATTTCAGTGTAAACAATCTCCCGCAGCAAGACGTGTACGAGTGTTAAGTATTACATTTATTATTACACGGTGGCACATTTGAACGAATTTGTTTAAATTGTTATTTTCACCGTTTGTAAGCAGTTCTTTCCCTTCCGAAGTAAAACGAAATAACGGAAATAAAAACACCACCGTTTCTTGGAATAAATTATTAAAATAGTATTATCGTCGATTTTTTTTTTTTTTTTTACAACTGAAATGAATTATTTATTTGTAAAATAAACGATATGAATTCATGTTTTCTGGTTTATCGGTGATAACACTGTCGCCGGGTAAGTTATAAAATGATCTGGTCGGTAGCCGTAGTACAGTTTACTAGCCCGCCTACTTGTTTAGGTATAAGCAGAATAACCGCCGGGATCGATTTTTGCTCCATGCCACTCCACCCCCTAAACATTTGTTAATATTTATCAAAATGTCTTGCTGTTGAAAATGTTTTAGTTCGAATTATTTCGTTATTTCACAATCGTACTTTGTACGCGCTGTAAAATCAAATCCCTAGATCGTAAAATTCGTGATTTTAATGAATACGATTATGCGTACGATATATACGAATATGTAAAACGTATTATGATTATCACAATGGGTTGTCGCGTTGACGGTGCCGACGCATTGGCCAAAGCTCGAACGAACCGTAAGCCGTTATTGCCGCACGGTCCGCTGTGAACCGATGTTTACACGCGCGAGAGAAATTCTCGCCGTTGACCACTGCCGCCGTCCCGAAAACACCTCGGGTCGGTCCGTGAACGGACCCGGGGCCCGTTGTTCGGCGCCACGGGACTCGGCACAACATCAACGTGGTCGACAACGGACACGAGCCCCGAACTAAACGGCGGAACTAAATGCGCGCGTCTTATCGCACGGTCGGGCAATCTGGTTTACCGAACGCACGAACCGGGGAGGGGGGAGGTATATCCGCGCCCGGCACACCGGGATGGGAGGAGGGGGGGGGGGAGCGGGCGGGCGGCGGCGGCGGCGGCGGCCGTCAATAACATCTCATGTTCACCGTCGAATCACCGCGCAACCGTACGTACGCTACCCGATGGACGGCGACGATGACGACGCAGGTACCCGCGCGTTCACCCGAGGAATTAAAATACGTTTTGTTTCCTCCCGAGCCCCACACGCCGTCGCCGCCGCCGTCTGTTGCCGCGCTGTTCGTCGCGAGTCCCGCACCGCGAAACCGTGCGACGGCGGCGGCGGCGAAGCCACTTTCGGTCGCGTTTAATAATGTAAACCCGTGCGAGTCGCGGACACGGCCGCGCCGAGTGGTGCCGCGCGGTGTACACGGTGCCCTATACCACCTATACAGTTTATATATATATATATATATAAATATATAGTCTGTGAAAGTTATCCCCTCGACGACTGCAGCAGACTACAACTACATACTATATATACACACACACACACACAAGAGGAGGTGTATATATATATATATGTATACATTCAGAGAGGGGGATAGACGACGAAACAACGGAGTTTTCCATTAAAGCGGCGCGGGGCCGGAATACGTGACCGGCCGACTTTAAATTAGCTATACGCGTCTCCCTAGGCCTCGCACAGTCGGCGTATATTATACGCGATATTATACTTATATATAGGACGTACCTACGTCGTCGTCGTCGTCGTCGTCCGTGTGCGTATACAATAGTACCTACTGTATGTAGGTGTGTGTGTGCGCGTGCGTGTGTGTGTGTGTGTGTGTATAGGGGAGGACTTGCAGAGCAGACGAGAACTCTCGAAAACTGTATAACATAATACGTCGTCGTCGCCGTCGTCATCGTCGACATCAAGAACGTGCAAAGGGAAGGTATAGAAAAAAAAAAAAAAAAAAGAAAAAGAGGGGAGGGTGGGTAAAGTTGAAGATGGCTGGACGGACGGAGAGAGACGCGGTGAGGAAAGCGGTCGAAATGCACACACGACGGGAATGCATCGGTGTGCGCGGCGCTCGCGCCTATATTATGATGTTTACACAGCGTGCACTTTTAGGTAATTTGAACGTGCCCCGCCGGTAAGTATTCGGTTTTTTTTTTTATTTTTTTTTTTTTACACGAACGAGCGTAAAAAAATATACGAGACGCTATAAGTACATTACAACGGTCCGCAGTTCGGCTATATTATTATTATTATTATACGTCTCCAGCCGGTATACGGCGAGGAGTTCCGGCGACACGCACAACCTTTTAGCCTTTCGTCGCCGCCACTGCCTGCACTCTCCGACGCTATGGCGGGCGAATGCGTGCCACTTGTCGACGCGCGTCGCCACCACCGCCAAGCACGACATTAAAGAGCGTATTACGGAATACGTATATTATTATAGGTATTTTATAAATCAGCGGCAACATTTCGCCAAGGAGACGTTATAAAGAATTTGGAAAATGTGTAACTGTGTTTCCCAGGTAAAAAAAAAAAAAAAAAAAAAACAATTTGTAATTTATATTTTTTTTAAAAATAATTTATAATTCAATCCACCCTAAACGTATTATCATCGAAATCAAATAATTAAGCGTATACCTAGGTATAAGTAAATAATAATTTCTTATAAGCAACTAAGTAATTTGATATTTAGAAACATATTTATGGAATTATAAATATATTAAGATATCTTAATTCCAAGGTGCTTTATATATATAAACTTATATATCTTAAGCATTCACCCCAAGGATCCATGGAGTTAGTGCTTTTAGCGGAATTAGTAACTCAATTTTCTAACGAGATATTAGTTTTTACGAAATTTTTCACAGTGGACTCAGTACTAACACCAAAATCAGCTGTAGCATTAAAATTTAGTGCAGCATCAGTGCAAGTCAACGGTACTGTTTTCAAAATTAGAGCTGTGTTCAGAAAAAAGTTATGCGGGAACTTAACTCTCATCCGCTACGTAAAGTGAGCGGACGAAAAATCGGAGAAAAATGTCTTGTTCACAAAAAAAAATAATACAAAATACATTCCTCGCTTCGATCAGAATTTAATATTAGTTTAATGTTTAAAACTGATTAACCATTGATTACAAGCACCGATTCGGCAATAAATATTGATATTACAGCTGATTTTAGTGTTATTAGTGCCTTCGCAATGGAAAATTTCGGATTAGCAATTTATCGTTGAAAAATTAGCACTAATTTTGAAAATGGTACCGTTGTGTGAGAAAGAGCCACTTAACACTCCGAAGACAGCTGTAACCAATATAAATGTAACCACTTGAGTGAACCACCACCAACCACTTTATGCTTTATGAAAACAAACCAACTGATTAAAAATGTTTCATTAAAAACTTCTTCTTCTTCTTCTTCTTCCTTGGTTTCGGCCATTCAAGACCATACTTCTAGATAAACATACTGCCATCTATCCCTATCCTCTGCTACTTCCTGCCAAAGACACTCCGGCTCCACTGTTTCAGTGTCTCTCCTTACGCAATCCTCCCATCTTAAACGCGGTCTTCCAAGAGGTCTCCTCCCTACTGGGTTTTCCTCTATTACTCTTCTTATTAATGAGTCATGTTTCCTCCAGGCATGTCCAGCCCAAACTAGCCTTCTTTTCTTTATCTCTTTCAGTATATTCGGTCGTTGAAAAAGGGATTGCAGTTCTTCATTGTGTAATTTCCTCCATTCATTTGTGAGAACATCATAGTATGCCCCATAAANAGGCCATGTTTCTGCTCCGTACAGGACAATCGGCCTTAGCAAAGTTAAGTACATTCTAACTTTTAAATTCTTAGAGATTGCTCTTGATCTAAAAATTTTACTAAGTCCAAAGAAACATTTATTAGCTGATTGTAATCTCATTGAAATTTCTGTTTTAATGTCGTTATCTTGAGTTATAATTGACCCTAAGTATTTGAATTGGTCCACTCTTTTAAAATTGTATTCTTCCACTTCAATGAATTCTTCTTGTACCTGATTTCCATTTCTCCGACTGACCACCATGTACTTTGTTTTTTCTTCCTTAACCCTTAGTCCTACTTTCTCCGCAGCCTTTATAAGTGATTTCCCCATTTTTATTTTCATTAAAAACTTAGTTAATTAATACATAGTACAACATTAGTCTTATGTGTTTTATCGGCAATTATGATAATACGAAAAACCGCTTCAAATAAATTATATAACAGGATATAAATTATTAAATGTTAGTAGAAAAAAATTAATAGAACTTTACGGTTCATTTTCGAGCGCAATTTCCACATGAGCACTTGATCATACTTTTTATTATTATTATTATTATTTTTTTTTACGACGAATAAAAGCTTTTAAAAATCCATTAGCACGAATATTGTACCTATTCATAATACTATTGTACGAGCAATTTCGATGCACTCACGTTAGTCATGTACCGTTTGTATATATCATTTTCTTTATTGAATACGATTTGATTTTATTTATTAGTTAAACAGAACGCATTGCAAACCCGTCTCTTGATGAATATAATAAATACGATTATTATAAAGTCCGATTGAGGTCGGTTGCCCTTTATTCGAATATGAAATCTGTATTTCCACCATTTGTCACACGTTAACAGAATAATAGTTTTTATTATTATGTAAAACAAAAAAACTGTCAAAATTAACTATCGATGGATGACGCATCTATACATTAGGTTAATACCTACTCAAAGATAAGTGTATAAAACAACTGAAATTAACTGCCTAGACTAGATGTATACAAGAATATAAGATGACTTCAATCTGAAAGTAAACGATTATTATAGTTTTCACCAAGTGAACGACGTCAAATATCTTAAGGAAATTTATATAAATCAGTATACAGAAATACGCATCGTGGATTCAAGTTGATATCTACTGGCAACGTAAATTTTTATATTTTGGAAAAGTCGTCAAAACTTCTCTCTATAAGCGATCAAATAAACTTCTGCAGTATACTTAAGTTTCTCATAACTAGTTTTGAAGAAAGCACGTCAAACGAACAAAGAAAAAAATATCTTGTTCTGAAAGAAGTGAACTTGGGCAGATATTGTGAGTTAATTTAAAAAAATATATTTAGGTATGAAGAATAATTAATAGAAATAGGACGAATCTTCCGAAAATCCCTCTCAGGTATAAATATTTACTTGTTATGATCAAACGTCTTGAGCGGGTAGGCCAGATAAAATATCAATTTGAATTGTTCGAGTTGTTTCCGTGTTTACGGCGAAAAATACCATTACCATGTAATGACAAGGAATTTTCAATAGAAGAAAATAGAGGTAGTACATAATCTTTTTCTTCTTCTCCTTTGCCTCATCCCAACTATTTAGAGTCCGCTATTCTAGTTCTAAACTTTCATTTGACTAGATCTTTCACATCACATACACCAACTGGCCTCATATCATTCACTAGTTCATCCAACCATCTCTTTTTTTTTAGTCTTCCACCTATTTCCTTCTGTGTTTATTTTTCTAAAATGCTTACTGCTTTAGATTTCTCTTTCCCCGTGCTATGCTCAAACCATCTCAGTCAATTTTCTCTCGTGTAGATAGTACATAATAAAATCATAAATAAATCGTAAAATTTTCTTCTATGCTTAACTCAAAAATGGGAATTTAAAAGCCGAATACCGAAAAAAAAAAACTATTATTTAATAAGATTTTTTTTAGTAATTTAAGAGCAATGTATAATTTTAAGATTTATTATTATTATTTTTTTTTTTTGCTTAATACAGGCCAATTAGACTTCTTACTGCAACCATCATTTCTTCCCATTGTTATTTGTCTTTTGTCATCTCTTCTAAATTCTCTACTTCTATACAAATCAGGTTCTGATGTATATGGTCACACCAGCACTGTCTCGGTCATTTCAAGGGTCTCTTTCTATCTGACACCGGCATTACCTTTTTACGAATTTATTTAGAAATAAATCACCAAATAAATACTCAGAGTTGTATTTCTAAGCCAACGTGGGGGACATAACGCATAACTTCCTCCTACCAGCACACGTCGCTGCTACCGCGTGCAGTTGGACTTATACGACTTTGGAAAATTTATTAATAGCGTATTAGGTATGTACCATTGTAAGTATAAAGTGCATTTATTATAATAATAACATAAAAATTAAATTTGCTGCGTTTATGTAACGGGGAATCAGCTAAAAGTCACTGGAGACGAACATCGACGTTTGTACGTCACAAAATGTCTAAATAATTTATAGTTATTTACGGCACTGCGAGGCTGCAACAGCGTGCAGTTATTAAAACAGTGCTGTCGGCCCTATCTAAAATGCGAAAAGTTTGGGACATAAATTACTCAGAAAACTATCTCTACTATACGTAAGTATGCGCATGTAACGTGTTTTCACCATTCGTCAAACTGAAACCCACCCCCCGCTCTTTGACCCCCCTCCCAACAGTTTAACACGAAATAAAATGTATAATATATTATAATACTGTGTGACACTTAAATGGCAATAGGAAATATTTCGACAAAATCGACTCAGATTGAAAATGAATTTCCGGAGAAGATCGAAAATGCCAAAATATACGTTTCACAATTCTAACTATTGTGGTGCACGCATGCACAATATAACTTTACATACGATCACATCAAAATATCTATTTTGAACATCGGGTTCAAATAGTCTTATTTTATTTATGTAAACAATTTTTTAACAGGTTTCTAGTAGAAATGTTGTCTAATTGGTGCAATAGGAAGATAGTTTTTTTTTTTTTATTAATGGGGAAAACTCGAAAAACCGGGAATATTTATGCAATAACAGTAAGTGATCCCTGTTAATTTCGTTTTTTACTTTTCGTGAAAATTCAGTGAAAAATGATCGTAGACTCTACCGAATAGCTATCAATTACTTAGCACTTTCCATTGAAATTCAAGCAATATTTAAAATGTATCGTAATGGCACTGTCACTAATAATTTTAAGTTTAAATAATTTTGGTTTCGAAACTTTAGGATATCCTAGGATTAAATTCTTACATTTGGGACGGAACACGAATACTATATTCTCGGCAAAAAAAAAAAAATGATTATTATTATTGCAGGCGATAAAAACTGTCTTGTGTTCGATATACTTATTCCCGGGTGACTCAATAACTCAATATAGCCAGAAAATAATATAATAAATATACGATTTCCAAGACACGTGTCCAGTGCAGTATAATAGTGTTTAATGTGGAAGTGGGGTGACCATCATGGTTATTGGCCAAATACCAAAATGCATTATATTATTACGTTGCAATGTGTATATGCCGTAGTGATGCATAAAATAATCACGATCAAGAATAAATAATAATGTTTAATAAACTTTAGATGGCTGTATCTCCGGTAGTTTTAAAGATTGAGATAAATTATAACGACCAAAGTCACATACGAAAAAAAGTAGAAATATTCGAATCGGATGAGAAATTAGGTGCTTCTTCTTCTCTTTCGCCTTTATCCTAACTATTTGGGGATGGTTGCCCTCGTCTTAAATTTTCACTCAATCCGATCTTCCACTTTGTACACATCAGCTGTCCTCATGTCATTTTCAATCGCATTCAACCAGCTCTTTTTTTCCGTCTTCCTTTCCCCCTCTTTCCTCCTACATTTATTTTCTTTACAACTTTTACTACTTCTGATTCCTCTCTCCTAGTGATATGCCTAATATATAAATGGACCGAGATGCCAATTTTCTCTAATTTTGTCCACTATTAAAGTCATGCCTATGCCTATCTTGTCATTCCACACAGCCACCTGAGCATTTTCATCTCTGCTATATTCGTTTTTTATTTTTCTGTTTATTGCGTTATACTCCTATACAACATAGTCGATATCACCACACGTTTGTAGTACTTATCTTTAAGTCTCATTGAAACTTGCTTGTCAAATAAAACACCTGACACTTCTTTTCACTTTACTTTCCATTTTCTCCAACTAAACTTAATCATATAATTTATATCCATGTCAATGACACCGTTTTTTTATTTTTACAAATGTACTAGAGATTTAAAATTCTTAGCCTCGCCTATTCCTTCTCCATTTATTGCCGTTCGCTGTCTTGTCCTGTTCCTCCAAAATTATAGTCTTTATACTCTGTTTTACTTCTACTTATTCTTAATCTCTTTGTTCCGAGTGCTCCTCTCTATTTCTCAAGTAATCAAAGCTATATATTTTTTTTCGACTATATTATACCTACTTATATGTAAAACGTTTTAATTATTACAGTATAATATACTTGTATGCATAATAATGTACCTAGTATTCAAATTCGTAGTATACGTATATTTTCGATATTTTTTCGTGACATTTATACAAATATTGTTTTTTAATTTCAAAACAATGTTATTATAATATCGATTCATATTCGTATTGCATTATATAATATTCGGTTTTAATTAATTTTCGTTGTTTTCCGTTTAATGCAATTAATATTGTTACGAAAAATAAATATTTTTTTTACTATTCTTGTTTTTAATTGGAAAAATACGCTTCTTGATTATTACTCGTTCTTTATTAGGTTTTTTTTTTCCGCTTTTGAAGGACTCGTAAAACCTTTCATATTGTTTTAAACGAATATAATATAACGCACGAGCATTTTATAATATAAAATGTTATACGATATTATCGGTTTTGCACACTGCGTACAGTATCAAAATCGTCGGCAATTTCTCTTAACGATTTTCATATTGTTCATCTATGTTTTTGAGAACGTCAAATTCGATTATTACCCTAATGTTTTAGTGAAAATCGAGTTAGCAGGATGATCCGAGTGATGCGGTTTATTATACGACTCGGCACCGAACAGTATATTGAATATAATAACATACCCGCAGCCACCGTAACTCATGTATGTGAAGTAACAATGTTATACACGTCTTGTATTATTACAATATGAAATACGAGGGATTAATAAATTTCAATATCATGTATTATACGGTTTCACGTAGTTTAACCGATAAAATTTATTTTCGAAATTCATTTTTCTGCACCGGCGGAGACGTTCACCGTTAACGGTTAATTGGTGCGACTGCGTGGCAATGTATCACGATATCTACCGAAATTGGTGATCTACAATAT